GTCGCCGACCATAACTTTTCAGGCGAGCAAAAGAATGACAGAACAACAGTGGCCAAAAGGAGGAATAAGTCGGACGGGAGTCTGAATACAATGGTAGTGCAAGATCGACCAACGTCCAGGCCAGCACCAGTCCGCGATAAATGGAGGTCGGGTCCAACGTAGCCTCAAAGGATGGAGGTCGGATCTGAGGCTGACGTAGCCTCGGATGCTAACCTACTAACTCCTAAAACATCATAAGAAATGATGCTTAGGAGTCTTGAGGAGGAGGCATGTTGTTACGCACAAAAAATAATAATAATAATAATAATAATAATAATAATAATAATAATAATAATAATAATAATAATAATAATAATAAGGTATCCAGAGTCAGTCGGTGGGTTCTCAGTCGGTTGGTTCTCAATCAGATAAGCAAGTCAGATGGTCCGCGGTCGGGCAAGCAGGTCGGATTATCCGCAGTCGGATAAATGGGTCGGTTGATACAAAGGTTGGCTGCTATGGGGGTCGGTCGAAAAAGGAAGTCGGGCGAAGAAAGGTCTGTTGATAGGTCAGACGATTGAAGAGACCAAATAGTGGTCGTTTGATGGGGCGACCAGTGAGTCTTTTGATCTGGCGACCAATTATGTATCTAGATTGGTCGGTTGGTCGGTCGTTGGGTTATGCGGTTGGCGAGGCGGTTAAAGACATGTGTCAATCAAAGAGGCAGTTCTGAGTTCTGTAACTGGCGGGAACGGTTGGTGAAACAGTGCGACGGTTCTGAACGTTTTCTTCAAAGAATATTTAAGGATTTGGATCATCATTTGGCAAGGCATCTTCAATCAACTTCAACAAAGCAAAGTCAGATTTGGGGATCACCACTTTAAATTTCAGTCTTTTATTTTCCAGTTTATTTTCTGTACCATACAGTGTTTAGAAATTCCTAATCTCAGGCACTAATTAATCAAGTTTAAGGATATTTTCTATATCTTTGAATTTTACTTTATTTTTGTTGAAAAATTACATCAACAATTATAATTAAATATAAATAAAATTTATGATTATAAATAAATATGTGTTTGAAGTAGTATACTTAAATAAAATATATATTTTTGTAAAACCAATTAAATCTAATTTAAATGTAAATATAGTACTTCATCCCTCAAGTTACAAAGTATACATATTTCTATTTTGAGACGTCTAATTACAAAAGTAACCATTTCATTAAATACCCCATTTTTTTCTACAAATACCATTACTTTACATCACATCATTACTTTTAAACCAAAAAACAAGGACAAAAATGTCATTATACTACTTTTACTTACCCACTATAATTAAAATATTATTATTTCTTAAACTCTGCGTCAAAAGTAAATGCATATTTTATCCGTAGATGGAAGAAGTATAATATTTTTAAAAAAATAGAGTTTTTTTTTTTTTTATTATCTTTTGGTGGAAGAGTATAAAGATAAAAATTAAAATGCAATAAAAACGAGATTTTAAAATAATACGAGGTACTCTAATATTAAAAAATTCTCAATTTGCAAGATTTTAAAATTGTAAAAACTTAAAATTTCATTATCTATTTTATAATCAAATATGAATTTATTAGAATTTTAAATTCAAATCTTTACAAAAATTTCCAAATCCATAAACCAAACATAACCTTAGAGTGGGGAGTTAATTATGAGTGAAAGAATGTGAGCTTTTTAAATTGTCATGTCTTAATTATTGTTGTCCCAAAAGTACAATTTTCATTAATTATGAGCACCAAATCATATCTACAAATTTTTCCATGTGCTGTTGCTTTAATCAATTTTCTTAGGGTGTGTTTGTCTTCGTGATTGGATTGGATTTATATTATTCATCCAATTTTTCTCTCTAAAAAATATCAAATCAAACACCTATTTTTTATTTTTTATATTATACTAAAAATCAATTTTATATTCAAAACATCACATTAACACCTATTTATATCACATCATACAACTATTGAAATTCAAAATTTTTACTATTTGAATCCCAACTCAAAATCCAAACCCCCAAACAAACACACCCTTAATTCATTAATTATGTTGAGGGTGTGTTTGTTGGGGGATTGGATTTTAAATTATCCCACAGTTCCATAACTAAATATCTTTTTACTTTTTGCACGTAGTTTTAGAAATAGTAGTATTATATTAGAATGTAGTAGGAATAAAATAGAAATGACTAAAATAACCTTATTAGTATGTGTGATATAAATGTAATGACATTTGTGTAATATATTGTAAGTTGTAAGGGTATTTGTAATGTTAGGTAAATAGTACAATTACTAAAAAAAAATAGATATTTTATTATGAGACTAAAATAGAAAAATAAATACTTTGTTATGAGACGAATGGAGTATACTATTCGTCTCAATTTTTTTTTTCTCCAAAAATATCAAATCAAACATTTATTTTTCTTTTTTTTATATTATACTCTCTCCGTCTCGCGGAAGATGAAGCCTTTTGTTACGGACACGGTATTTTAGGTAGTATAATAAGTTATTAAATTATTAATAATAAGTTAAAATAATATTTTATTATTTTTTATATGTATAGTATTGTTGGTATTTTAAATATTTTTACAACTATATCTCAATAAAATGTATGGAATATAAATATCATTTTGTAGACAATTTAATTTTATATAATACAAATGAATAAAAAAAATATTTATTTATTTATCATTATCATAAATTAATTTTATAAAAAATGTGGACTTTTAAAGGTTGATAAAAATATTTGTTAATTGAGGAGAAATATAGAAATAAAGGAGTTTTGAGTGGTCATACATGTAAGATGTTAGAAGTTTAATTAAATTAATTTATATTTGTTAAGTATGTGTAAGATTGATCAACTTGCCAAAAATAGAAATGAGTTATCTTTTGTAGGACATACCAAAAAGAAAATGAGATCATCTGTGACGAGAGGAGTACTAAAAATCAATTTTATATTCAAAATATCACATCAACACATATTTATATAACATTATACGACAATTCAAATTCAAAATTTTTACTGTTAAAATCTTAACTCAATCCAAATCTCCAAACAAACACACCCCTAGGTATGTGTGTGTTTTAATAAAAATATGTATATATTTCCTCCGTCTCAACATAGTTGAAAATAATATTTAATTAGTTAATAATAATGAATTACAATGTTATTTTATTATTTTTTATATAATTAATAATATTGATAATTTTAAAAAAAATTTAATATATATATGATTAAAAAGGTTAATGAAAGTGTAAGATATTTGATATTTAATTTTATTTATAAAATAATTTTATGTGTATGATATATTTGTAGATACATATATATTATCTATAAAAAAGGGTAATATAGCGTGTATTTTTTTTAATAATAAAAAATACAAATAAAATACTTCATTCGTTCTTTAAAGAATTATCAATTTTTTCATTTTGATCTGTCTTATATAGAATATTCATTTTTTTTTTAATAATTGTACTATTTACTTAATATTAAAAATACCCTTACAACTTACAATATATTACACAAATGTCATTATCTTTATATCACACAATACTAATAATGTCGTCATTTCTACTTTATTCCTACTATATCCCAATATAATACTAATATTTCTAAAATTCCGTACAAAAAATAAACGAATACATATAAGACGGAGGGAGTTTCGTATTTACTAAGTAAAGAAACAAAAATATATTTAGATAATAAACAAAAAAGAAAAATAATCACAAATTTAAATGACAAATTAGGTACATAACAAATGATGGTGATATATATAATTGTATAAAATATAAAATTAATTTTTAATATTATAATGTATTAAAATAAAAAATAATTATGTAATTGGATGTTTATAAGAGAATTTTTTTTTATGAATAGCAAAATTTTAGGTAAAATCTTATAAGAGAACATTTATAATTTTTTATATTTGAATTAAAATTGATACATTTTAATTATATTAGAATTACTATTTTTTTTTTAAATTTTAACTATATCAATTATTCTAAATTAAAAAAAATAAATATTTTTTTAAAAAATATAACAAAAAATAAAATTTTAAATCAAAACAGAAAAGTACACCACATTTTAGAATTAAACGACAGTGTATAATTGTTCATTGCCGTGTAATTTTCAGGTCAGTTGCCGCTTAACTATGTTATGTCCACATCTCAACGATTTCCATTAGTTTTTTAACGGTGAAATCAAAATTGATTGAAATGATTTATAATAAAACTAAATTGATAAATTTTTTATATTGAGATTAAAATTGATAAATTTTTATTATATTAGAACCGAATTTTATTTTTTATTTTTTTATTTTTTTATTTTTGACATACTATAGGTTTGTTCTTAATTTCTAAGCGGCTCCCATAAATATTATTTAAAAAAAATATATATATATATATAATATTAACCCGGTAAAATTTTAATTTTTAGTAAAAATAAAATATTATTTGTATATTTAATATAAAAAAATTAAAATCATTAGAAAAAACAACTATTAAATTAACAAATCCTATCTATTGCGTGGCAGTGATAAATATAAATTACGCTCTTCATCCCACGTAATTTGTCCATATTTTCTTATTTTTCGTCGTCCCATATAACTTGTCCTTTCTATTTTTGAAAATATAATTATGAACTTTAATCGCGTTTTAAATTTTAAATTTTATAATTTTCTTAATTTTAATTAAACTATTTACTTTTCTTAGTCTTAATTTATAATTATTTTTACTTAATAATAATTATTTTTACTAATACACTTTTTAATTACTTACTAATTATACAAATATAAATTTTCTTATCTACAATTTATATTTCTCATATTTTCTGGGACGGAAGGAGTAATATTTTAGAATAATTTGAAATTTAAAATAAATATTAAAGTGTTTTTTATAGAATCAAGAATTTAAAATACTACTAATAATTTTGATTTGAAATACATACTGTATATAAATTGTAGCAGTCGCTGTTTTGACAAAATCAGGCATATACAACTAAATTAATAAATTTTATTTTCGATATAATTTTAAAAAATTAATTTATTTGCTGACGAGGCAGCGCGGAAACCACCGCCGCCGCCGCCGCCGCCGCCTACTTGCTCTTTCTCTCTCAACGCCGTCCGACGGACTGCATCGAGAAACGCCGACTTATATATAATCATAGAATGCAAAAACAGTCACAACAAGAAAAATCTTCGAGTTACGAATGATGTTGTTCTTCAGCCGAGAAAATTAAACCAAAGGTGAATATGTGTTTAATCTGTATTACCACTTTGTGCTTTCGCCATCGTGTTCGATTGAAATCAATTAGTTGTTTGTTTTAATTTAATTATGTTTTATTGTGATGAATTTTGTGGTTTTTGAGCTTTAGAATTTCCAGTGGTTTATATATGTAAAGTGCTTCTTGTTTCTTTCCTTTTTTAATTTTTAATTTTAATTTTTGGTATTTAATTTCCTTGTCCAATTGAAGCTTCTTCGATGGAAATTATTCTCGAGTGAATCCTACAGTGTTGGTAAATTTAGGAACAGAAACTGACAAAAGCCCCAGCGTATTATTTGATATCTTTAAAATTGGTATTTCTTAGGGCTTGCATCGGTTTTTGCTAACAATGAATGCAAAAGGTCAGAACCAGGCATTAAAAATTTGCTGTAAATTAGTGTAGAATAATGACAAAAACAATGATTTTAAATTATGGTGTACATTTGTAGTTTACTGTGAATATTGAAGGGCAGTCGCTGTGAATTCAATTCAATTCATTCATGGTGGTCGACAAGGACAATGATCTCCTTCCTGCACGTGGTCTCCATGCCTATGTTCCCATATCTCTGTATAATTGTTTGTGTATAATTTCATGTCAAAAGGTAAGGTAGCAGAATCATATAATAATTGTTTTTGGAGTTACTTTGCTGCTGAGCTCTTCAATTAATTGACAAGAAAAAGGAAAGGATATTTACAATCTTGTTGGTCCCAAAGTAAGGCAGTAATTGCTATTCTATCAGTTTCTTGGGCTACATGTGAATAATTGCTATCCTACGATTCTGACTTTGATTCAATTATTATTATTGAGAGAAACGAGAGTGAGAGAAATGATTCTATGTACTTGTGCCATGATGTGAGCATTGATAATTGCTTGTAGTTTATGCATTTATGCTGCTGCTGCTGCTGCTGTTTTGTATTGTGTGTGTGTGTGTGGTGGATGTGGGGGCTCTCTGGAGATATCATTTTCAGAGATTCTCTGTCATGAAAAGGAGTTGGGATGCCCAGATACAAAAGAAGGTGCCGGGCCACAGGGGGCTCTATATTTTGTTAGTGTTTTTGCTTGCTGTATGAGTGTGTGGGGGTGGGGGTGGGTGTATGCATGTATCATTGTATAGTGTATTTGCATATGCCCCGCCAGCCCATTCAGCCATGGCAGTCTCGTGAACTTGGAAAGAGTTGGGGGACCAGAGAGAAGAGAGAAGAGAGAAGAAATTAAATCTAAATAGAAAGTAGTAAAAGCAAGAGAGGGGTTTTTCTTGTCCTACACACCCTCTTCTTTGGATGCCCCACTCCCTATTTCTGAGGGATGTTCTTAAGGCCACAAAATCCAATCCCTCTTCTGATTGCTGCTGTTTTAGACAATTAATTAGAGACTGCTTAACTTCATTTATCTTTTTTCTTCATTTCTTGGTGCCTTCTGGTAGTGTGGACTTCTTGGATTGTTTTTTTACTCGACTTTCATTTCCTGGGGCTTTAAATGTGAGTTTTAATTGCTGATATGTGCGCATTTGTTGGCTGGCATTCTCTAAAATCCAATGCTTATGAGATCTGGGTTTCTGTAAAGATGTATTCTTTGGAGCATCTTTTCCTTTTTCATCATGTCTGGTACTTTTTCTTTTTCTCTACTTTATCTTACTTTTGTGTATGGATATGTTTGCCAGATATTTCTTGACTCTAAAGGATCACCTCCAAGAAGAGACACTGTTGTCGATTGTTGTTAATCTGGTAGATTCATTGCGGTTTTTGGAGCCTGCGGGGAGGAATATTTGGGATTCTTGACTCTGCACAGGAGTGCATCAATGCGGTGTTGTTTATAAGTTTGAATGGATGTATGGGAAAGGGAGAAGAAATCTGCAGGGAAGCAGCTTGGAGTGAGTTCAGAAAGACTACCACTTGGTCCTGCCTATAACAAGAATGGAACTACTCGTCAGGCCAGAGCTCGGGTTATACAATCGACAGTCGTGGGTCCAAAACGCAGTCCATCACCCAATGGCAGACGGTCATCACCAAACTCAGCAACATCAGTTGAAAAGAGGGCTACATCATCGACTGAAAGAAAGAGCCCTTCTAGACTATCATCACCATCATCTCCATCGACACCTGTTGAGGATTCGTCTGTTGAAACAATGCTGGTGGCAAGAAAGATAGTAGGGAGCAGATTACCAGAGTCCTTATGGCCTTCAACAATGAGGAGTCTCAGTGTTTCTTTTCAATCCGACACGATTTCTATTCCTACTAGTAAGAAAGAGAGGCCAGTTGTGAATTTGCATTCTGAACGTGCTCTGAGGCTATCGTCGAATGTTGCGCATAGACCAGCTGAAATTTCTGCTTCAAGGAAGCTCACGCCTGAGAGGAAGAGGAGTCCACTTAAAGGAAAAACTTCGGCCAATCAGTCGGAGAATTCTAAGCCTGATAATAGTTTAAATCCTCGTCTAACAGATCAGCATCTATGGCCTAGCAGAACAACTGGGAAAGTGTCCTCAGCTACTAAGTCAAGAAAACCTTCACCTATAGTCAGTTCAGGAACAGTAACACCTTCTCTCAGGAGATTATCTCTGGATGGGATGATTAGATCTTCACAAAAATCAGCTGAGGACTCGTTTATATCTTGTGATGATACTGAAGAATGGATGTCAAATGCATGCTCAGACAACAGTTATTCACTGCGAATGCAAAAGCCTGGCTGTTCAAGTTCATCAGATAGAATGGTATTGGCTCGTGCTATTGGGAGATCTTCATCGTTGCCAACTCCTGGATCACGCCCTGCATCGCCATCTGTTTCCAGAGGGGTTAGTCCATCCCGGATAAAGGCTGTAAGCTCTTCTTCCCGAGGACCAAGTCCTGCTCCTTCGAGAGGGCCCAGTCCGGCACATGTAAGACCTAATAGTCCATCCAGACAACCACGACATCCTACTTCTGTTCTTAGTTTTATGACAGATATTAAAAGGGGGAAAAAGGCTGCTAACCATATCGAAGATGTTCACCAACTGCGGATGTTATATAACAGGCTTTTGCAATGGAGGTATGCAAATGCAAGAACTGACGCTGCATCGCTATCTCGAACAGTGAAGGCAGAGGTTTGTGTTTATCAAGTTGGGGCTTCGACAAGTTTAAAATTTCCATTTATTATCTTAGACTTTCGTTTTTCATGAGTAGAGTGATGCTGTGAAATTTCCTTCTATCCGCAAATTACTACCCTTGTCTCTTCTGATGTTGCAGAAAATGATTCATAGTGTTTGGGGGACAATTGCTGATCTTCGTGACTCGGTAATGAAGAAAAGAATTAATCTCCAGCAACTGAGACTCAAGCTGAATCTTTATTCAGTTCTGAACAATCAAGTAATCCCTTTCTTTTAATAACCATTTGTTAGATAGAAAAATTGTGATTCTTTCAAGATTTTAGACATCGGTTTCTAATCTAGTTTTCTTGCATTATACTTTTCTGTGTTTCAAATGCACAGTTTAAATTTGACCTGCATATACTCGGATTCCATAAGATGAAGTAATGATATACATCCTTGTCGAACCTGTTGACAAAGATTTGCTCCCTATTGACCTATTTCAAACAATGCCGTTGAAAATTATCATCAGGCAACAGCACATCACCTATATACCAGAAGACCATCCACTTGCCCCTTCTCCCTAGCACTATCTGTGGATAAGCTTCTACTATATGACCATGCCGTTTTTGTTAGGTACCTGGTCTGTCGGCTGAATGCCTTGCCTTGAAGGGCATGCTGTGCCAATATTTTTAAGGCAAGAGACCTGTCCCATGTTTTGTCATAAGTTTAATCCTCCCAAATTAGTAGTCATGTTTAGGCTGTCACAGCAGTTTTTATGGAAAGAATTGATTGTGCATACTAGAGTCGATCTTATGAATGTGAACATTATAACATTTCCAAGGCATGGATGCCTTTGCTCATCTATTCACATGGTGATATTTTGGTCATGTTTTGCCTGTTCTAAAAAGTTACAACACAAAGTTCTTATTTTCTTTCTCTGCATCATGTTTCGAAATTTAGTTGGAGTATCATTTTATTTTTTGGTTTTGGACACTTTCCCTATTCCCAGGATTCGGTAGGAAGACATGTTGATTTTGTATCTTTGTTTTTGTTTCCTTATGTCCTATTATTACCATAAACAAGTCTATATAATGTGTCTCTTCTCAATTCAATTGTTGTACTTTGTTGGAAAACTATATAATATATAACTAATGATGCATTTTCTTATAAGTTTAAGCTCACGTGAGATGGTAATTTACATACTTGCACCTAGTTGTTGCGATGTTTTGATTCTACTTCAGTCTCAAGATGAAACCGATGGTTTCAATAATGATTAATGACAATCCTTTTTTTTTTTTTTTATTCTTTTCCATCCATATCAATGATTTCAAACATTTTAAGGCTAAATTTACCAATTATTGATTTAGTGCTACAACACAATGTGAAGTTGTGGGACTGATGTTATGTCGTTATATTCCAAGATCAGAGCATAAATAGACGTTATTTATGGAACTAAAGAACTGCAATACTGCCTCCTAGCTCATGCTCTTCTCTTTGTAAACATGTATATTTATTTTCTTCATGATTTGCTGTATTCTGTACTTACCAGGGTCATGCATTTCCTAATTTGAATTCAGCTAACATGCCTAAACGAGTGGGACTCCATCGAAAGGGATCATCAAGACTCATTAACTGGTGCCATCCAAGATCTTCAATCCAGTACGATACGCATTCCACTCACCGGAAGAGCAAGGGTATTAAATTTGATTTGTCCTCCATATATAATTAATTTTTTATCTGATGTTAACTAACATGTATGAGCCAATACTTTCCAGGGAGATATTGAAACCGTAAGAATGGCTGTATGCTCTGTCGTTGATACAATGCAGGCCGTAGGATCCTCCTTATCTACTTTATCTCCAAGGGTGAGAATTAATGCCTTGTTTTCGTAATTATTGATGTCTTTAAAAGTCTTCCTATACCAGAGAATGTTGCTACAGTGTTCTTCTACCGACCTCCCTTTTGCTTCTCACCTCCCATTTTGCTGTTTTCGTCTAGTAGTTTACCTACCATCAAGATTCCCCTTTATATGAAGCGAAATCTGTTTATGTTCCCATAAGGGTGTGTTTGTTTGGGAGTTTGGATTTTGAGTTGGATTTAAATAGTAAAAATTTTGAATTACCATAGTTGCATGATGTGATGTAAATAGATGAGTTGATGTGATGTTTTGAATATAAATTGATTTTTAGTATAATATAAAAAATAAAAAATAGGTGTTTAATTTGATATTTTTAAGAAAAAAAAATTGATGAACAGTAGATTTGAGGGAGAATCCCATGAACAAATTCTACTAGAGGTTGTTTCCATTAATGTAATGAGGATGGATTTCTTTCATTCGACGAAGTGAGGAAATCATGAGGGAGTTTACATATTTTCTTAAACAGATCGAGGCATATGTATAATATATAAGTCTTCGACTTGTCCATGGACATGTAAATGCACGTCCCATTTACTGTTCGTTTTTCTTTTCTAACAATAATCATGTTTTTTCATCTTCAACATCAATTAATCTTTGAGATATCTTGAGTGATGATCCTATTAATGCAGGTCGAGGAGATGAGCTGTTTGGTTTCAGGACTCGCTCAATTAGCTGCGCAGGAAAGAGCCATTCTTGTCGAATGTGAGTCGATTTTGGGATCCACATCTGCATTGCAGGTGAGATCGAGACCGAGCTTGTTTCTAGTTCAAATTCTTGTCTTCCTTTCACATTATTTAAAATTTGGTTCAACCATTAGATCAAACTGTGCCAAGTTTTGCCCCATAGGACCCTAAAAGTGATTTATCCATACAAGATTGAATATGTTACGAAAGTTCTTCACTTAATTTTAAATGATCTTATATTAGTGAAAAGAATTGAATTGAAATAGTATTTGATGTCATATAAACAGGTGTTCAATACTTTTAAATAAATGATTGATTTTTTTTATGTAATATACTGAATGAAAAATATATACTCCCTTCGTTCCATTGAAAGGTGGCATTTGCTTTTTGCACGTAGATTTTTGAATATTAGTATTATATTGGATTGTAGTGAAAAAGACAAAAATACCCCTATTAGTATGGTGTAATATAAAAATAATGACATTTGTGTAATATATTGTAAATTGAAAGGGTATTTATTATGTTAGGTAGGTAGTACAATTACTAAATTAGGAAATTGTAACCTTATTTTGGGACTGACGAAAATAGAAAATAGTAACATTTCAATGGGACGGAGGGAGTACTATATTTTTTTTTACTCCTTTTGTCTGTTATTATAGTAACACATTATCTTTTAATTTTTATGTAAATTACAAACATACCATTACACATAATTAAATACTTAAATTACATGGACAAAAATATCAAAATATGCTACATACTTATTACTACTATTATATTTTTTAATACTATAGAACTCTAAATGACCTTTTGGATTGGGAGGGAGTATTTGATTCGATAGTTTTTGGAGATAATTTTTTCATGAATAGTGCGAGACCAAATAGAAAATTTCACAGTGCTATTTTATCTCTGAACCACATGAATGCACCGTTGTGATTATGTTTGCGATCGGGCATTTCATCTTCTTTTCATGAACAACGGTCGATGAAATTTTTGCAGGACGAAGAATGCAGCATACGGACCCATCTTCTACAGACGAAACAAAGTTGGAGACATCTCAAGTGATCGATTTTGTTAAGAAGAGTCGAAGAGTTCTTTTTTTTGGTAAAAATTGCTAACAGCCTCAAGAATGATACAACCCTTTACACGACGACATCACCACGACATTCGGCCTTCCGATCATCGAATTTGGGTAATATATTTTCATCATCATCATCATACAATGTGGGTAGTAGTTAGAGTGTGCATGCCAAAATAATACAAGTTTTTTTTGAAATTATTATTTTAGGGAGAATTGATTCTAATAGAAGGATTGGAAGTCTGTGTTGGGTATAAATATAATTATAGTTAAGATAAGGAGTTGGTCTTCAACAAGAATTGGGAATGATGATTGATTATTGATTATTGAATTTTGATTGGAAGTTAACAAACTTTAGAATAATTTACTACCTTAATTTCAATTATTTTGTTAGTTTTTGCTCCGAGGTCACCAAACTTATTATAAATTAATAAATAATACTCCCTCCGTTACCCTTTTATATTTTCGTCGTCCTAAAACAAGATTACCAAACTATACTACCTACCTAACATAATAAATACCCTCTCAATTTACAATATATTACACAAATGTCGTTACTTTTATATTATACCGTACTAGCAGGGGTATTTTTGTTTTTTTACTACAATCCAATATAATACTAATATTAAAAAATCTACGTACAAAAAGCAAATGCCACTCTTCCAATGGGACGGAGGGAGTATCATGCTTTCAATAGAAATAAGCCGTGTGTTATGTAAAATAATATTATATTATCTCCGTCTGGCTCGGTCTCATACTTTTTGCGTGTTAATATTTGAATATTAATTATTATATGAAAATATAAGTATAGATCAAGAGAAAATGACAAAAAAATACTTATATTAATGTCTTATAATACTATTATAATGACATTTTTGTAAAAAATTATAGAAATATAAGAATATTTTTAATGTTATACGATGCAAACGATAAATGCGACCGGACTGATGGAGTATTATATTATTTATTAAATAGCCATGTGTTATATAAAATAATATTATATATACTCCCTCAGTTCCAAACAAGGTGGCACGAATGGAGAGAAAAATGTATATTTTATTTTTTTTATTTGGATGTTAAATATGGGGTAAAGATTAAATTAATTAATTATTTTATATTTTGAAAATATTGTTGTGTTTAGGCTGGATGAAGTATTATTTATTACATATATTGACTTATTCTTATTCAAATTGTCAGGATTATTGAAAAAACAATAGTAATATAAATTTATAGAGTATAATTGTAATAGTTATTTTACTAAATTATTTGAAATAATTTTATAAATTGTATATATATAAAACAATTGAATATAAAATAAAGAAAATTAAAAATATTTCGAACACATCAAAATATAAAACAAAAAATACCTATAACCATGTGGTTTTCCAAGTCTCATTTTTCACTATCTTTCTTGGTAAAATTCAAAGAGTACATTATAATTTGTTCACACACAAAAAAAATGATACCATCTCTCGATCCAAATCTTTAATATCATTTTTAATTTTTCATCTTATTATTATTGTTATTATATTTCATTATATGTGTATATTTTTATTTTATATTCCTATGAATTATACTTTCAAAAGCATTTTTCTTCCACATAATTAGCCTAATGTAAAAACTTGCTTTGCTGACTTAGTTTACTGGTTACTAGTTTTGGCTATATGTTTATCCAAAGTATATTAGGAAAATAGCGACTTCGTGCCTCATCGTTAAAAAAAAATGACACGAAGATGGCTACATATTTCTAATTTGATTCAATGAATTCGAGAAAGGCATAATCCACAATGCGACAACCTTTCAAAATACTACTTTCAAACTATTGATTCAAACTCAATAAAAACTACAAAAAAGATATATTTTTGTGTGGTATTAACATCTATTCCAAACTATTAACTTAAATCCCAATAAAAACACCACAAATGGCGGGCTTTTCACACCAATCTAACGAATACATCGACAAAATGGGAACATACATACAAATTAAGCATATAACAATGAGGCAAGGCGAAGAAAATCTTCAGCATTCTTGTTCAGAAGTTACAACCCCGATCAAGATCGCTACCAAAACCTACAACGACTACTCAAAAAATTCTCTTCTCGCTCCATTTCCAGATCGATCACAATGTTCATTTTAAGGCACAAAATCAGCTTCAATATTAATTGAATCCTCTGTTATAATCTACTCGACATTTAAGGCACACATTCTTGTACACTTCTTAAGCAAAATATCTACACAAGAGCAAACAATCTTGTAGGATCCCGAAGCGCAATGATAAAATGGAAAAATAAATGCCACCTGATTCTTTTTTTTTTTCCTCGGCTCGTGAGGATAACTTACACACTCATACTCCGGCTGAAACTTCATTAGCTTCCGAGTTTTCCTTCTTCTTTGGGGGTTGTTCTTGAGACTTCTGCGCAACAGTCTTGTTTGGTATCAATACTATGAAAATATTTCTGTCCTTGAAATTCTTAGCTTCCTCAACTGCCAGCTGTCATCAAGAAAAATGAGATATGCAATTATAGGGCGAAAAGAATATTAACGATAATTTGGGCAAATACATAAAAGAATGGTGCAAACTTTCAGGAGAATGGAAAGACAAGTGAAAATATAACACCATCGATTTTCAGGGAAGTACGACCCTCACTGAGCCTGACATTTGTGATGACCAAACTGTATTGCATACAGGTGTGTTCACTCAATTATTTTTTGTGACATGATTTCCAATGTATATTACAAAAAATTACAATATATATTATATATACTATAGTTGTCAATATCGAATAGTGGTATGTAGCGGTCAACGTTTAAAAGACTATAGCAGAATAGTGAATAACGGTATAATCTCTATCTAAATATTTAAGAATATATAATTATTATATATACAAAATTTCAATAAAAATGCATATGAAAAATTTATAAATTAAACTCATAATTATTATTCAAAACAATAAAGTGTCAAAAAAAAAAAAATGATCATAGTTCTTAGATAGTTATGTAAGAAAAAACAATTAGTTTACTATTTACATGCTCCTACATCTCCTCTTATTCCCATTTTGATGTCGCTTTGCTCTTGTAATTCCTCCTAATGCAGTTTTTTTTAGCAAAAACCACATGTAACACTTCTCTTATTACTAATATCTTTCAAACTATTCCATTGCCAAACAATATCTAAATTTCCTCCCGTCAATTTCACCAAGCCACAATCACTTGTTGACGTAATGAGGAAGATGGAATGGTTTGTTTAAGAATGAACAAAGACATATGACTCTAAAAAAACAAAATGAAAGGTATGGGGGAATGAATTCAGTATAGTACAACCGTGGAGAGCTAGAAACTGAAATGTGTGGTTTATGGCAGAATATCAAAAGATTTCAATTTAATAGTATACAAGATATTTTATTTTAGTACATTATAATATAATAGTATGAAATAAATACTTACTAAATAATAAACACAATATTATGTTATAAAATCTGTACTTTTAATAATAAATATTGTATTATTCAAGCTTCAATCTATGAAGCTCCTCCGCACCGCTCGGCTACAGGCCGGTACGCCGCAATTGCATAAATGCGGAATTGCATAGCAGCTGTAGCGGCAGGGTGCCACTCCACTACGCGCTATTGACAACTATGGTATATACTCTATCCATTCAACAAAGTTAATAATTCAATATAAAATATTATTTTTTATATTAACTACACGATTTCTCACTACTTGATATAAAAAATACATTAATCTAAAAGTACAAAATAAACACATCCAAAGTTTATTAGCAACACATTAAAGTATGATTGAAATAATCGTTCTTGCTCAAATTCATGTTTAATATGCACACTACCGTGGAATAATAAGAATTTTGATCAATTCATCATTCATTGCAACATGATGCATTTTTGTGATCATACTGAAGCCATAAAAGAAGAGGTAAAAGAGTAACAAAAAATCATACCTCTCCGAGATCATTTTTGAACCTTTTGATAAGCTCAATGGCATTACTTCTGAACTCATTTTCTCTCCCCTTGAGGTTTACAATAACTTTCACCTGCAGAAATAGTCAAAAGATTTAGCAGAGCTTGGAGATGAAGGTTGCATTTACTCACAGCATCTGAAACAGAATTTCAAGCTACCTTATCACCCTCTTTCAAAAACTTCTGAGCTGCTTTCAATCGCACAGAATAGTCATGGACATCGATATTGTAACTGCCACCATATAATTCTTATATCAGGAAGAGAAGAACCAATCTAGACTAGAAATATTTAGTGAAAGACTGCATCACTATAATGTCGAATCAAACATAGCAGCGTCATATAAGAAATCTAGGGCATCTCCTAAGTTTTTAATAAACATAATTGAGAGGAGTCTCAATTTAATCAGGTTTAATGAATTATGATTACTGTTATCATACACATTTAAGTTATAGAGTAAGCATATCCAGGGATGTCATTTTTTTTTTTTAATTAACAAAACTCTAAATGGAAGTTAACAAACCCCTTATAATGGATGGATAATACAAATAACACACAAAATAAACAAATAAACTTTGAAACTGAAGTTAGATACGGCGTCTTTCTTCCCAAATATGAAATGAAATTCCAAGCACAAATACAAGTCTATGACAAATCTAAACTAATCGATAAATCGATCCAACGTACCCCATTTTCAGTTCCTTCAAATCCATACGGCTAGCTGCATTCAATTCAACACTTCAGTTGCAGCAATTTCCCATTAATATATATATATATCATATATCTATATATCATTTATGCAATTAATATAAACTCAGTGGAAAACATCAAGAAGAATAATATTCACCGGCGCTTTTTTTCTGCTGCTCTCTTTTCTTCTTCTGCTGCTCATATCTATATTTGCTGTACAACAATACATAATCCTTTCAATCTATAATCATTTGCACCAACTTCAGTGAAACAGATAAAAAGAAAAAACAGGATTTGATAAACTAAGAATTGCTACGAATAATCCAACAATAATATTGACTCCGATAATTCAATATGTAAAATCATTAAATATAGTGCAGCTCAGTCATAGAATCAATTTTGACACCGATCCTTAATGGCAGCAGAATAGAGTAAAATGTGGTTGAGTGATGTCCAACCTGTAATCCATAATTCTAACAACTGGGGGATCCGCGTCCGGAGATAATATCACCTAACAGCACAAGTAAATTTCCGTGAGAAATATCCGAACATGAAGCATAAATATATAGCTGTGATTCTTCAGGCCATAAAAGAAGCAGCAGAGTGCAATTACACAATTAAGCGATAAACCGACGAACCAAACTTTATTATAAACTCGAGCATGATTAAACAAAATCTTGAGACGTCAAAACTCTAAATACCATATGAAAGATTTCGAAAAACCTGACAACAAAGGAACAAAAATATCTAACCTTTAAATCCACAAGAAATGCCCTTTCTTGTTTTAATCCTATGGTATATTGAAGCTTAATTTTATTCCCACAATTTCAAGTTCAACAATAAGTAACTTTGATTCGTTCGGTTTCATTCGAGTTTTCAATCGACCCCCTATTTTCCATTCAAGATATCAAATCCAAAATGTATTTTAACTTCAACAATTTCAAATAATCAAATCACAAAAACAAGCTAAAACACCAGCAAACATGTATGAACACATAAACTCAAAACATCAACAATGACAATGACAAATCCAAAAGGTAATTCGATTGCAGAGATCATACCAAATCAAGCTCAGCATCCTCAGCCATTCGAAGCGCCTGATTTTTCGATACAACTCCAACCTAAAACGAATCACAAAATTTCGAAACTCTCAAACATCAACGCATTACCCACACAATCAAACACTGCAATTCACTTACCATCTTCTGTTGTTCATCAATCAGCCTCACAGTATCTGACCTAATTTCAAACCGCACACCACCAGAAATCAATATCCCCCAAAAATTAAAAGCAATTACTTCCCAATCCAAACGGATGAATGACTCACTCACTCACTCACCGAATCAAAGACATATCAAGCGCTTCATCGTCGCCGGACTTGGACCTCCCCGGCGGCCCACCGCCGCCGTACCTTGCAGTTACCGCGCTCGAAACAGAGAAGCGATTGGCGGCGGAGGGAGCGCGGAAGCGCAAAGAGAAGGTGCGGAGTGTGACGGTAAATGGCCTGCGGGGCTTGTAATGGGTTGTGCAGGGGAGATGGAGGGTGGCGGTGGCGGTGGCGGTGGCGGTGCCGGTGAGGGCAGCCATGGCGGTAGGAGGCGGAGGGAGGGAGAAGAATGGAATTGGTTTTCAAGCCCAACCGATGATCATCGTCATCTTATCCATTAAGTTACTACTTTTGCGAGACTGTCACAGTCCCACTGCTTTGCCCGATAATTTCTTGCTTTTAAATAATCATTTTCATTTTTCATTAATCATCATTTTTTCTTTTTCAAAATATCTATTTTTCATTTTATATTATAATTAAAAAATTATTTTTATATTTAAAATATCATATATATATATATATATATATACTAATAATAGTAACAATAATAATAGTAAGCACAAAAATAGAAATATACTCTTTCTTTTTTTTTTTTTTTTTTTTTTTTTTCTGGAACTATAGTTTTAGTTGCGCTCGTCACTGAATTTAAGAAATAGATAAAAGTATATGTAAAAGATATTTTTGTCTTTGTGAGTGTATTAGTGTAAAAAATAGTAAGATAATTATACAATGATATGGTTATTTATGAAAATAATGAGACGCACAAAAAATAGTAAACAATACTTATTGTATTGAGACTGAAAGAATAATTAAAAATAAAAAAATATGCTTGATTCAAATATTTAACTTACTTTTTTATTATTTATAAAAAACAATAATAGTAAGCATAAAATAGAAATATAATTAGAAATATTTTTAAAAATTTAAAAATACTCTTGTTTGAAACATTTTAATTATTTTTTATTATTTATAAAAAACTTTTTTTAACAAGAATAGAATGTGTGTTTGTTTTGTTTTTTGATTAAAAAACTTTTTTTTTCTATACAAATTATCAGGAATTGTGTAAATGTTATAGTAATAATAAGTTTGTGTATATTAATTTTTTTGTAAAAGTATGTTATTTTTTTTAAAAAAAGAACAAAGCTTATTAAATTATATATATTTTTTATATTTAAAATATAATATCAATAATTTCAATAAAAAAATTAAATACTCTCTCTCTCTCCAAAAAAATATGATTTTATTTGAGTTGAACAGGAAATTTAAATAATATTAATAGGTGGTAAAAAGTACGAGCAAAAGATTTTATTGTTTTTTGAGTGTATTAATGTAAAAAACAGTGACATTTATGTAATAATGATGAAAAAATTGAGATAATTTTTATAGTAATACGAGTATTTATGGAAATAAGATTATTGTTTTGGGACGGACAAAAATAGTAAACAAAACTATTTATTGAGACGGATGAAGTATTATTTAAATCAAAACTTGAAATTCAAACCCCAAACAAACATATAAAAATACTAAGAGAACATTTTTGTTTGTTTGGGGGATTGAATTTTAAGGGTGTGTTTGTTTGGGGGTTTGGATTTTGAGTTGGGATTTGAATAGTAAAAATTTTGAATTTGAATAGTTGTATGATGTGATATAAATAGGTGTTGATGTGATGTTTTGAATGTAAAATTGATTTTTAGTATAATATAAAAAATGAAAAATAGGTGTTTGATTTGATGTTTTTGGGGGGAAAAAATTGGATGAATAGTAGAAATCTTATTAAATCCCCCAAACAAACACACCCTAAATATACTATTTATCCTATTTTTTTCCTTCCAAAACATCAAATCAAACACCTATTTTTTATTTTTTATATTATACTAAAAATCAATTTTACATTTAAAACATCACATCAACACCTATTTATATTACATCATACAACTATTCAAATTCAAAATTTTTACTATTCAAATCCCAAATCAAAATCCAAACCCGAAACAAACACACCCTAAATTCTACAAAAAAAAATGACATTTTTGTAATGAATTTTTTTTTTTACTTAAATTCTTTTTTTTTTTTCGTTATTAATAATATTAGGGAAAAATTAAAATAAAACATTAGTTACGTAAATTTTTTATCCTTTAAATTTTTATTATAAATATATTAATTTTTTTAATGAAAGACATACATTTATTTGAAATAAATACTTAATGAAAAATAATAATTAAAATGCTAATTTTTGTGATTTTATCAAAATTAAGTAATGAGGTAAAATGAAAAAAGTAAGAATAAAATTGACAACAATATATTTTAAATATCATAATTAGGCTGTGGTTCTAGTACTGATTATGTCAAATACCAAATTAGCAAATAATTTGAAGTAATTAACAAATCATCATAAGAAAAATAATACTCCTCTCGTCCTAGTTAAAATGCCAATGTTATTGATTAAAATTATTATATAATAAAAATAATTATAAATTAAAATTAAAATAACTAAATAGTTTAATTAAAATTAAAAAATATAAATTTAAAATTTAAAATGAGATTACAATGTATAATCATATTTTCGAAAAAAAAATAACAAATTATATGAGACAAACGAAAATAGAAAAAGTAAACAACTTTATGTGAGACAAATGGAGTATATTACTGAGTTAGCGTATTAAATTGAAATCATTGACAAATCATGACAAAGAAAAATAAAATATTACTAAGTTAGCAGATTAATTTAAAATAATTAAAAAATCATCGCAAGAAAAATAACATATTATCAAATTAGCACGTTAACTTGAAATAATTAGTAAATCATCACAAGATATAATATATGTTACGTTATATAGAATCTTGTATTATGTGAGTTATATTTCGTGCCAAAATCAATATATACAGGGTGCGTTTGACAATTAGCTGATAGCTGTTAGCTGATTCAATTAGCTGGTTTGACTAACTGATTCAATTAGCGATTTGTATTAGAGACATTAGCTGTTTATACATCAAATGACTATTAAGGATATTGATATGTTATTTTTTAAAATATTTAATTTTGTTCATTTTGGTTTGAAATTTATGAGAATTTTTGTTATTAATTATTGAAAATTATAAAAATATTATAAAATATTTATTTGTATTTTTATTATTTAGATCCGAAAAAATAATTTTTACTAAAAAATAATAAATTTTTATTGAAATTATGTAAAATATAAAATAATAAATTTTCGGATACATATTTTTATTATGTTAATTATTATTTTAATATATATAAATAAATTAATAACGTTTGTTTTTTCTATTTGATTTAGTTTTAAATTATATATTTTACAAATAAAATAATTTATATCTAATAATTAATAATAGTAATTATTTTAAATTTACAAAAAAAAATAAAAATATAATTTAATAAATTAAATATATTAAAAAATAATTAATAAATACTGCTATAAAAATATATTTATATGTAAAAAATAAATAAATAATTAAGTTTTAAGGGTAAATAAGGAATAACCAAAATTAAAATGAAAAAGCTCTTTCAAAATGTTGGGTAGATAAGCTTTTCAGAAATTAATTTTTTTGGTCAAAAAAACTCTTTCAAAAAACTAATTTACCAAACAACTAAATTAGCGTTTTGACTTGTCAAACAGCTAAAAGCTGTTCAATAAGCTAAAAGCTCTTCAAAACGCTGTTTCCCAAACACCCCATAATATGATATGCTACATATTGTATAAACATTTGTATAATGTGTTTGTTGTACTATGTTGCTAAAATCAGAATATATTATGATGAAATTAAAATTACATTTTACTATATATAATTATATAATTTGCTATTAAAATATTTATTACTCCCTCCGTCCCATATACCGTGTCTGCTACACTGTAGACACGGTATTTTAGAAGGGATGTAATTAGTAAATAATTAAGAATGTATTAGTGAAATAATTATTCTATAATATAAATAATTATAAATTAAGATGATAACTAATTAGTTTAATTAAAATTAAAAAAAATTAAAAAATTTAAAATGAAATTAAAGTGTGTAATCATTTTCCAAAAAATGAAAGTGACATGGTATGTGGGACGGATAAAAACGGCAACGTGGACATGGTATCTGGGACGGAGGGAGTATATATTATTCCATCCGTCCCACTTATCGTGTCCATATTTTCAATTCTATTTGTCCTACTTATTTCGTCACTTTTTTTTTTTTTTTTGGAAAGTAATTATATACTTTAATTTTAATTAGACTAATTAATTATTTTAATCGTAATTTATAATTGTTTTTATTATATGATAATTATTTTTACTAATATATTCTTAATTATTTACTAATTATACCCCTCCTAAATTCTCGTGTCTACAGTAAAAGGACACCGTAGTCGGGACAGAGGGAATATATTAATACGTGCTACTTTTTTTTTATAAATATTTGCTAATATGTGTTCCATAAATAATGCAAAAAAGGCGAGATCGTTAAATCCAAAGGCAAATCCTTTTTGCCTTGGCCTGAAGATCATATGTTATTCGCATTCAGGTTCAGCATTTGCTGAATTAAATATTAACTACTCCCTCCGTCCCGTTAGAAGGGTGACTTTTGTTTTTTACACGTAAATTTTTTAATATTAGTATTATACTCTCTCCGTCCCAGATACATATTCACGTTACTATTTCTGTCCGTCCCACGTACCATGTCACTTTCTTTTTTTGGAAAATGATTACACACTTTAATCTCATTTTAAATTTTTTATTTTTTTTTTAATTTTAATTAAACTAATTAGTTATCTTAATCTTAATTTATACTCCATCCGTCCCACATAATTTGTCCATATTTTCTATTTTCGTCCGTCCCACGTAATTTGTCCTTTCTATTTTTGGAAATATAATTATACACTTTAATCGCATTTTAAATTTTAAATTTTATAATTTTCTTAATTTTAATTAAACTATTTACTTATCTTAATCTTAATCTATAATTATTTTTAATAAATAATAATTATTTTTACTAATACACTTTTTAATTACTTATTAATTATATTTTACCTAAATTCCCGAGTCTACAGTAATATACCCATATTACATGGGACGAAGGGAGTAATTATTTATATTATAAGATAATTATTTTCACTAATACATTCTTAATTATCTACTAATTACACCCCTCCTAAAATATTGTATCTACGGTGTAGCAGACACGGTATCTGAGACGGAGGGAGTATTAGATTGTAGTAAAAAAAGACATAAATACCCTTGTTAGTATGATGTAATATAAAAGTAATGTCATTTATGTAATATATTGTAAGTTGAAAAGATATTTATTATGTTAAGTATGTAGTACCATTACTAAATTAGAAAATTGTAATCTTATTTTGGAACGGACGAAAATAGAAAATGATAACCTTTAAATGAGAAAATTCATATACTTTTCGTCGTAGGATTTTGGATTAAGATTTGAATAATAAAAAATTTGAATTGAAATAATGATACGATGTGATATAAATAAATATTGATATTTTAGTATAATATAAAATTTAAAAAATAAGCGTTTGATTTGATATTTTTTTGGAAAATTTTTATATAAATAGTAAAAATTTATCAAAATCTCTCAAACAAACACATAACTAATTAAATATGCTAAAAATACCTATGCATTGATATGCAATCATTTTATAATGAAAAGAAATAAAAGAAGACTCAGAAGGTAGAGATCTATTGCAAGGATGTTTACAGAGCAAAAACATAATAAAATAAAAAAAAAATTTCTCAGATTTTCTAGATTGTATTTCAATAAACTTCAATCATAGCTTTATTATAATGTATTTGTTAAATTATTTTGAATTATTCAAAATACTTTTTTTAAAAAAAATATATAAATAATTATTACTATGACTCACTTTATACAAATTAATTATTATTATTATCTTTTAAAAAGAATTCTAATCTTTAAAAAATTGGTATTATGGAAGGTGACACTTTTTAAACTGTTTTTTCAGTCCAGTAAGAGCACCCTTATCATTTTAGTCCGAATCTATCGCAAACTAGTTATATAAATGAAAAATTTTCGTTGTTTTAATCCTCCAGCGCCGGAGACGCCCGCGTGGCTCGCCGGAATCCACGTGTCCGCCAGGTGTCCCGCGAGGTCAGCGACACCTGGCGGACGTTTGAATTTTATTATTTTTTTTATTTTTTTTTCAATTGGACCAAATAAAAATCTAAAAAGGCAAATAAAATAAAAAAATAAATTAAAAATAAATTTTAAAAAAATTAAAAAAATGAAAATAAAATAAATAAAATCCACGTGTCCGCCAGGTGTCGCCTTGATGACCTGGTGGACACGTGGATTCCGGCGAGCCATGCGGGCGTCTCCAGCGCCGGAGGACTAAAACAACGAAACATTTTCACTTATCTCCGAAACTAAAATGATAAAGGGTCATTTACTTAGACTAAAAAACAGTTTATCCAATAAATATATATATGTTTAATTAGAGTTAAAAAAAATATTGGCACTTATATAATAAATGTGAGAGAGGATCGATGTTACATTATAAAAGGCAAATTAACATCGTCATTGTTGGGATGGAATAAGTGCTAGTCCAATAAATTCTCGTATACTTATCCAAATGGGCTAACTCCCGAAGTGTGGTTATATCACAGTTGTAACAGCATCTTGTCAACGAAATAAGTGCAATATCCTAAGCAATAAAAGACAAAATATTTGGTAACCCGGTTTGGTTATAACCAACCTACATCCGGGGGATTCCAATCGAGGAGAAGTTCACTAATCAAAGGTGATTATGAACAAAACAGCCCAAAACTCCTTTAACCCATACTATAATGCAAATCACCTAACAAAATCCTTCCACAGACATAAGTTGTCACAAACTCGTACTGACAACTAACAGATAGCAGGGTTGCTCAGACTTTGGATGAATCTCCTGATCGGATTTCCAATCTCTCCTTCCTCCGACTACGTCTCCGGCAGGTAAATGTGTCTAGCACTCTCTCAATGCATAGAGAAGAGAAGTGTTGGGGTTGAGAGGATTTAACTTGCTTTCTCTCACTACAGTTCTCTCGCTAAACCCATACAACAACCAAACTTCCCACACGACTTACCAAGAAGCAGCCAAACAAAGCATGCAGGACAAACTCAATTAAAACCCTTTGCACGAAAATAGAATGATGTGTCACTGCATGAAGTCTGTCAAAGGTTGACCACCCAAAATATCCATTCTTTTTGTCTCTTCTAAGCTTCCCAAATCGAGAAGAACAGACCCAGCAGTGTTGCAGGCAGTCTGTTGCAGCAACTTGAATAAAAACAAAGAAAGGCAGCAGGGAAAAAGTAGGAAGAACTATATGCCAAAAAAGTTGGAGAAAAATATTGTTCCAACAGTCGCAACACTATAACATATAACAAAATACATGGTTTTTTGTTTCTTTTTCAAAACAATGCAAATTCATAAAATACAACACGAATCCCCCTTCTTCAGCATATATCCATAAAATTCTATAACACAGAAGCTTCTTTATTTAAATCTATGACTGATGTAAATCATTTCGAAGAAGAAAACAATAATAAATATACTGCAGATTGAAAGAAACATCATCCTCTTAAGAAGGCCTGCAGGAACAATAAGATTAAACAGCATTCCAACTGTGATTCCTTCAACCTTTACAAGAGGGAAAAGAACCCCAAATCCAACCTAATATATAGATCATAAAGAAAGAAAAGAATAAATGTATCATTAAGAAGAAGACAAATGAATTAATAATTAATGTTGTAATGAAATAGAAAAACAATATATAATGGATAAGGGCATGGATCAGTTGTCGATCCTGTTAGCATGATGCTGATTTGACCAGCATAAGCTAATATATGTAATCAACATATATTTATATATATATTTATATTTTTATAATACAACATATGTTATATTATGTTGTACTATGTGTAAATATACGTTGGTGATATGTATGACATATGTTGATCCGGTCAAATCAGCGTTATGCTGACTTGGCCGGATCAGTACAGGATTCGCAGACAATGAATAATTAAGGAACACCTACCCATAAGAGCTTAGCTCCAAACCATAGCCTTTTTGGTGAAGGAAAAGGGAGAAGCACTTGGTGAATGAGTCCATAAACAGCTATACCCAATGCATGGATTAAGAGCATTATAGGATGTGGGGTTAGGCCACTGCCCGTCGCGATAATTCTTTGCGCGACAAACCCTCCGAGGCTTAGATAGCCGCAACATGCTTGACACAATGCCTCCCTTAGGTCACCAGTCGATTTGGGAGAAGCTTCGGTTGCAGAGTCGAAAATTTTGCAGAATGCTCCGGCATAAAGATTGATTGTGAATGCGAATGGCTGCGTGGACAATGATGAACATGTATAGGTACATAAATGCATCCATATATATATATAATAGGTGTTAGTTTTGTAAAACTGGAAATTCTCTTCTTTTATTAGTATGTTTTCATAGAGAAATTCAATAAAAATCCCGATAGGTTGGTCAACACAAGGTTTTAGGCCAAGACCTTCACATATAGGACCTCCATAGGTTGTAAAAGTGTCAAGAGATTATTAGATATATGATCCTCAATTGGGTCATATAATTCATACTACCTCCATTCGGTAACAAGAATTACATTTATTTATTTTTTAATATTAATTATTATATCAAAATATAGTCTAAATTTAAAAAGAATAAAAACAAAAATGCTTCTATTAGTATATCTAATAATCTCCTTACACTTATTACAATTTATGGAAGTCCTATAATCAAAATGGGAACAAAGAGATACTAATGTAATTTTACTTATTACAATTTATGGAGGTCCTATAATCAAAATGGGAACAAAGAGATACTAATGTAATTTTATTAATAAAAGCTAAAATTTCTATACTAAGAGAAACGATTATTTTTATCTTTTTTTAGATTTAGAAACTTAAAAATCCAAAAAAATAGACCCAAATGTCGCCCAATTCCGAAAAAAGACATAAAAAGATGAAAATTAGGCAAATTGCATAAGATGCATGACAGATTGGGGTGGGTAAGATTAGTACGAGGATGAGGCAAAATTGAATAAACTACAAGAATGTATAACTAGAGAATTTAAACTCTGATACTATATTAGTTTAGTAAAATGGAAATTATATTTAGATCACATTAGTTTTTCATGTAATATGGTGAGATGTTTGTATCTTTTTCTAATAACCCAAGTTTAGCTTTGATGTATAACATATAAAAACATACTAAAATACCTTTCTTAGAGCATAGAATGATTTTATGAGGTTGGATAGAGCATCTTTGTCATGTAGATCATTTACACCTCTAAGAACGTCCCGTAGGAGAACTACGTCGTGTAGGGCTACAGTCATGCCGGCTGCAATCATGGGATGCCGCATGTTCAAAGCATCCCCGATCAGAATTGCACCGGGAGTGTGGTTAGGCTTTCCGGGCATCGATTTGTTTGGCATTGCCTTTATATTTCCTTTATCGATCGCAGCCATGAATGCATCATAGAGTGTGGGAGGAATCTAGCCAAAGAATTAAGAATTTCCATTGTGAGTTCATAATGTTGGGGAAATTTAGTCGGTATAATATTCATATCGGATCATGTTCATACATACTTTCCGAAAGTTGTATTTCGACCCCATCTTTCGGGTATCACAAAATCAACTTTATATGGATCATTCGTACGCTCTCTTTGATTTTGACAACAAAAGAAAGAGTAAAACTCAAAGATTTTAATGTATAAGAAAAATATGTATAAATAGAATAAATAGAAATTAATTATGATTTTTAAAGGGACTATGGAGAATATTAATTTCTATGATTTTAATTTGCATCCTTATTTATAGATTTGATTCAGTGTGAAATTAAGGTGTGATATTCACAAAACAATGCAATTTTCAATGGATTATGATTTTTCATATAATTGGTACAATTCTTCAATAAGATGCATGTTTCATGAATTGATGCAATTCTTCAAATTTTAATTTGAAATTAATTTAATTTGATTCAATTAATCTTTCTTTTCTAACTTAATCCATGCAGAAAATTCATATCTATTCATTTAGATGACATAATTCACCCCAATTAAATTGCACTAAAATAAGCTAATGAATCAATTTAACAACACCATATATATTCAAGTACCTCGGGAGCCACCGCAGTTTTCAAGTAGTCGGCAATGGTGATGGAAGACCTGTTTTTCCTCGGGACTTCGACAGTCAAGCGAATTTCTGTGCTACTGATTTGGTACAATAAAAATGGACTAGAGCCTCTAAAGAATAAATTGACATAGTTAGGATATGGAAGTTCACAATTTTCCAGGATCAAACAGAACATTTCAGATGGAGTCTCCACCTACATCATCGAAAAATAAGACATTAGTTAATTAGAAGGATAAGAGAATGGATTGAAGATTGATCGAGCCCGCAAAAACACAATGACTTAATTATATTTTGTGATATCAATAAAGTTTCTTAAAATAACTTGTTTAATTTTATTCACCATGGGAGTACATAGAGTGCGCCGCAAGTTCGAAGAGCTACCATCGCAAACAATAGTTAGCGGCGCATAAGTTGAAGCTATCACTTGAGAGTTTTTAGTCTTGTATCGAACTCCTTTAATCACTCCCTTTTCTTCAATAAGGGAAACCACTGTCCCTTGCTCAAGCCGGACACTGGTTCGATCAATCACAAAACATAATTAGAAATGACTACTTGATTTAGTAAAGAAGCTATGAACAGAATTATAATCAAAGCGATTTATACAATAATCATGGATCGAGCCAAAAAGATCATAGATGCAATAAAAAAATATGTGCTTTTAATCTTTCTTTACGAGCTAAGTCAAACATGTTATATAATCGTAGATTGGCCGTCCTTAAAGGATGGATCAATAGAGTTATTTCAGGCTGGCTATCGAAAATAAAATAAAATGAATATACACATTATTGATATAATCAATAATCTATTCTAATTAATCCACTTAAACTCTGCATGAACTACTACTTGTGTCAATTCAAAAATCCACCGCGAAGCAACTAAGCTTAAATAATAATCGAAACTGAAATTAAGTCAAGTCCGATTAAAATCAAACTAGTTATTAAACTCAGAAAAATAAAATATTACTTCTTCGTCGTCCAAATTCATGCTCAAATATTTGGGCGTGATTTTTAAAAGGAATGTGTAATAATTCGTAGTAGTATTTTTTTATCTTTTACGGTTAACAAAAAGGGTAAAAGGTAATTTTAATTTTTTTTATTAAAAATAGAAAATAAAATATTTTTTTATGATATTATAAAAAATAAAGTGAACATAAATTTGAATTACTACTGACTTGGAGAGGATTGCTGCCTTTTCTCTCATCCTCTGTACAAATCTGCCATTGTGAAAGCTCGTCCCCGAGAAATGCGGACCATATTTCTCGAGGGAATAAGGCATTGTGGTGGTTTTACCATACTTGTTAAAAACAACGCCGAGTAGTTGTTGAGCTTCGATATCATTTATGCAATCTGCAAGTAATTGCACAACCTCTTCGGAATAAGCTAGTTATATATTTATTGTGAAACACACACACACATATATATATATATATATACACAAACATGGTGTCTTCGTCATCATCATCATCGCTGTTGTCTATGTTAGTTACCTTGAAGTCCCAACTCGATCAATTTCATGAATCCCGTAGGGTGTAGAATTTCACCAACGACTCGGTTTGGCTCTTTTAAGTCCCTTTCTATAACACGAACTTGTCGCCCATCCTACATGCATGTAATTAGGCATAAGTTATTATCCAAATAATATACTTCATCCGTCGACTCAGAAAGTATGTATATTTCTATTTTAGATTGTCAATTATAAACTAAATATTTTTTTTAGTAACTATTAACTCTATTTTTTTTTTACGAATACTTCTACTTTACTATTACATTATTAATTTTACACAAAAAACGAGGGTAAAATTATTTTTAAATCACTTTTATCTGCTCACTATTATAAAAATATTATTATTTCTTAAACTCGCAAAAAAATAAATATATATTTTTAAAATGGATGGAGAGAGTATATAGCATACTTATTATGGTTGTAGTTACTATGTTGACAGAACATAACATATATACCAATAATACATAAGGTATATATAAATCAACAACACAATTGTATACAACAAATGAATCGACGACATATGACAATAGTTCATAATACATCCATCATATTATCACAATATATATATATATATAAAACAAATAACACATACTAACAATCTATACAGCCTGTAAAACTATTTGATGTGTTGCATACCCTTAATTAGCAAAAAATTCCAGAATATATATGAAGCAACAATAGTTAATTATACCTTGGCAAGAGCATAGGCCAGCGCCGCTCCGGCAACTCCAGCGCCGACAATTATAATGTCGGGCTGATCAGATTTTTCTTCCATGGCAGAGGTCGTTGCGCAACCATTCTTACACACAGTACTGTAAGATTTAGTCTGCCCTATCTTCTTCTTCTTCGATTGTAATAATAAAGCATACAGTAAAACAACTAACCCCACAAAGAACACAACATTAATATATCCACCAATAAAGTAGTACATATCATCATCATCATCTGCCATCAGTTTATAATTTTGAAAAACAATCAAAGAGAAATAAGTAACAAGGATTTCAAAATTAAGGCAAGATGTTGAGACTGATCGACTGACAAACTGGAGGTTTATATATAGACACAGACACACAAAGAGGTCAACCTCTTCTTAAATAATTCTCATTATTAAAATACATGTAATATTTTAATTCTTTTCCTCTCCTCTTCTACATTTTTGTCACATGCGATTCCCTACAGTTGTTTAAGAGAACGTTACGTCTCTACAAAAGATTTTTCGATAAACCTTAACGTTTCTGCTATTGACAAGCTGCCCATGTTATTTTTCGATAAACCTTAACGTTTCGGTAAACTTTCGACCCAACCTACTAACCTGCAACTATAATAATAATCCTATTATTATTATTATTACAGCCACATTGGGGGCATGCTTATATTTTAGTCACTACTCTATAAATATTATTATGGCGTACATGCACCATGCATGCAAAGTTGATGTCGATATTAATAAATTGGCACTACTCAATTAAAGTTGCAGCACGAAAACATATTTTTATTTTGTATGTTTAAATGGATAGATGTAGTTTTATGTTAGGTATAAGGCGTCATATGATTAATATAAATATTAATGTGTAGTGAATTGTTATATTCTTTTAAGTTGATAATATATATATATATATGTTAATTTATTTATATATTGTATTTTTAGTGATATTTAAAATGAATGGTACTAACCAAAGATTTTTAGGTGAACAAAATCAATGCTAATCTACTGAACTTGACACCAACTTAGCATAATCTTCCGCACAAAAATGATATAGTGCCTACTAAGTTAAAAATTTCTTCAAATTAAAAATATACTCCAATATTTGTAATTATTTTTTATTTAAAATATAGAAAAAATTATCCAATATTTATTATTCATTTAAAAAATAAAAGAACTTTTAAAACACAATTAAACAAACCCTAATTGACATGTACATTTAAGCCAAAACTCAAGTGGCCTTGCATGTATGTTAGCTTCCTTAAATTGTACCATAAAATAAAATAACATAACGAGTTTGTTCATCCAATATTTTCTTTTAGTGTTACGATTCTCTATAAATATTATAAAAAATATAATATATACTCATATTAGCATAAAATATAATATATATACTTTTTTTGCATTAAAAAAAATTAACAATTCTAACACAAAATATTATTTTATATTACCGACACAATTTTTCATACCTAACATAAAAAAAAATAATAAAAAACATCATCCAAAAACACTAAAGTGAACAAACCTAACGCATTCATTTGTAAATAAATATATATTTTAATAATGAAAAGTCATAAAATACAACATGAATTTCCCTTCTTCAGCATATATTCATAAAAACCTATCACAAAGGAACATCTTAATTGAATCTCTGATGTTTATATAAATATAATTTCGAAGAAGAAAACAGCAATGAATATAATGCAGATTGAAAGAAGCATTATCCTCTTAAGAATGCCTGCAGGAACAACAAGATCAAACAGCATTGCAACTGTGATGCCTTCAGCCTTTACAAGAGGGTCAAGAACCCCAAATCCAGCCTAAGATGTATCATAAGGAAAGAAAAGAAGAAATATATCATTACCAAAGAACACAAATGAATTAATAATTAATGTTGTAATGAAATGATAAATTCAATATCTAATGAATAATTAAGGAGAAAATTGCAATAAATATCTCGTATCTATGGTCTATTATCTTTCTTATCCTTTAATTATCATCTTCGCAAAATATATTCTACATGTGTCATTTTTTTCGCAATTTTCGTCCTCCGTAGTACTATCCCACTCGCACCAACACCGTTTTGAACTTGACGGACAGCTAGAGGACAAAAATCGTAGAAAAGTGACACATGTAGAATATATTTGCCATGATGAAAATTAAATTATATCCCACATCTAACACTTTTTCGCAATTTTTATCCTTGCGCATGAGATTGTATTTATTGTGAACTTGACGCGCAGCCAGAGGACGAAAAATTGCAAAAAATTGACACATGTGAAATATATTTTATCCGACAATTAAATGATAAGAGTGATAATTGGTCATATGTACGAGATATTTACGGTAGTATTCCCAATAATTAAGGAACACCTACCCATAACAAGAGCTTAGCTCCAACCCATAGCCTTTTTGGGTAAGGTGGAAAAGGGAGAAGTATGATGTGAATGAGTCCATAAACAGTAACACCCAATGCATGGATTAAGAGCATGACAGGATGTGGGGATAGGCCAGTGGCCGTCGCCATAATGCTGCGCGCGACAAACCCTCCGAGGCTTAGATAGCCGAGACATGATTTATACAATGCCGCCTTTACGTCATCGGTAAACTCGGGAGGAGCTTTGGTTGCAGCCTCAAAAACTTTGTATAGTGCTCCAGAAACAAGATTGATTGTGAATGCAAATGGCTGTAAGCACAATGTATTGGACATATACATAAATACATTCATATATATATCATAGGTGTTAGTTTTGTAAAACTGAAATTCTCTTTTTTATATTTATTATTATATTTTTATTGTGAAATATAAATTTTGTTAGAATAATAAAATGAAAATTTCTATTTTAATAATAAGAATACATACCAATCTTCTAAATAAGACAAGAATCTTACAACTACCATAAATATAATATATTACTTCTAAATATATTTTTAACACTCTTCCTCAAACTTGAGTTTTTCATAAGGGACCGAAAAAGATATAGTCGAGATCTTCAAAGTACAAATTTGAATTTGCCAAGATTGACTGAGAATGATGTAGTATTCCACTAGATCAGAGTCATAAGCAGAACTCTCAACACCGTTAGAGTTGGAAACATGACTCGCTCGCTCACAACGGAACTATAGTCGAAAACAGGACTCGCTCACTCTATAGAGCTAGAGTCGGAAATAGGACTCGCTCACTCTATAGAGCTAGAGTAAAAAACAAGACTCTCATCAGCGTTAGAGTCGAAAGTAGAACTCCGTCAATGGAGATCGAAGTAGAAAAGACGGAGACGACATGAAAATGATAGCATGACCGTTGATAGAAGAAGATACATCAATAAAATATATACGGGATATAACGGGCCATGGATGTACCCGGAGATAATTTGGCTCTGATACCATATTAGAATATGAAACTGAAATTCTCCCTTTCAAATAATAAGAATACCTAAATATTTATAGTGATATTCAAATCCTCTAAATAAGACAAGAATTCTAAAATTTTTTTAAATAAGATAACAACTATAAATATAATATATTGTTTCTAAATATATTTTAAACAATCTTATTAATAAGTCCGATATATATATATATTGTAGTAGCTCCATAAACTTAAAGATGAACTTGAAAGTTAATTTACTTAAGAAATTATAAAATCAGGGTCAAAGGTAAGACTTGGTGAAGATATCAATAAATTGATAATTGATAACATAAGATTTAAACCAAGAACGCCGTATACAAGAAGTCCACAGGTTATGTGATATAAATAGTAAAAATATGACTAAGTCTTTGATGTGATATAAATAAATATGTCTAAATGTTTTGATTGAAATATAAATTTTTTGTTATTAATTAAAGAAAAATAAATATTTAATTCGATAGTTTTGGAGAAAAAGTAATGAATAGTGCAAGACGAAAACAAAAACCTTAAAGGAACACACCCTAAAAGCGAAGACGAAGGGAAACATGACGGCGGCGGAGGTAAAAATGGATAATGTGTCGACATAGACAAAATTGAATGAATTACAAGAATGTATAACAAGAGAATTTAGACTCTGACATTAAGTTAGTTTTGTAAAACTGAAATATTAGAAGATCTCATAAGTTCTTTTTTTGTTTTTTTATTTTTTATGATAACTTAGAAACCTCTGGCCGAACCTAATAGTCTACAAACTAGACCCGATAAAATAAGTCACGCTAGGCGAACTATGTGTGGCAGATAAGACCTGGAGACTTCGGAGTTTGAACTCATGGCCACACGGTTACAAATCCATCTCTATGCCACCAGACCATCCTTTACGAGACTAGTTTTTCATTTAGAGTGTGGTGAGATGTTTGTATCCGTATCGACATTCTTGTCTAATAACACAAGTTTAATTTTGATGTACAGCATATACAAACATACATCATACCTTTCTTAGAGCATAGAATGACTTGATAAGGTTTGATAGAGCATCTTTGTCATGTAGATCATTTACTCCTCTAAGAAGGTCTCGTAACAGAACAACGTCGTGTAGAGCCACAGTCATGCCAGCTGCTAATAAGGGATTCCGCATATTCAAAGCATCCCCAATTAGAACTGCACCCGGAGTGTGGTTAGGCTTTCCTGGCATGGATTTGGTTGGCATCGTCCTTATATTTCCTTTATTGATCGCAGCCATGAATGAATCATAAAGTATTGGAGGAATCTAGGCCACAGAAGTAAGTATTTCCATTGTGAGTTGATAATTTGCAAACTCATGATTCAATTAATCAAAGCTGGAAATATATATATATATATATATATCTTCCAAGTACCTCAGAAGACACAACAGTTTTCAGGTAATCGACCATGGTGATGGAAGGCTGATTTTGTCTCGAGTAAGGGACAATAAGTCGAATTTCAGTGCTACTGATTCGAAAAAGTAAGAGTGGATTAGAGCCTCTAAACAATACATTAGTGTAGTTAGGATATGGAAGTTCACAATTTTCCAAGATCAAACAGATGGCCGTAGATTCGATCTTCACCTACATCATCGGAAAAACTAAGACAGATTGTTACTTAGAAAAATAAAAGGCAGGAAAAAGAGTGCACGAAAACACAATGACTACAATTTTATTTTGTGATATCAATAAGGTTACTTAAAAAAAAAAAAAACTTGTTATTCACCAAGGGAGTACATAGAGTGCGTCGCAAGTTCGAAGAGCTGCCATCGCAAACAATAGTTATCGGCGCATAAGTCGAAGCCATCACTTGAGAGCTTTTAGTCTTGTATCGAACTCCCTTAATCACTCCCTTTTCTTCGATAAGGGAAACCACTGTCCCTTGTTCAAGCCGCACACTGGTTCGATCAATCACCAAATTAATGACTACATACTTGATTCAGTAAAGGAGCTAAGAACACAATTAATTAACCAACCATATTTGATTGATGACAGATTTAATCGAAGCGATTCTACAATCATCATTGCGCTGAAAATTAAGATCATAAACATTGTTGTTGTCAAACATGAGAATGAAGAGATCGATATACAAATCCTTTACATGGATTATGTCTTAAGCGATTTTTATTTATTTTCATCAGTCCTTTCTCCTCTTTCTCTCAATGAATTGAGCATGTTATTTTCTAATTATAGATTGGAAATTCTTTCAGTTGGCTCTGATAATATACGTATTGTTGGGATAAGTAATTTAATATATAAAGTTATTGCAACGTTCTCCCATGAACTATTTTGTCTCAATTGATAACTTGCAAAGCAAAGCAACTAACCTTAAATAATAATGGAAATTCAAATCAAGACAAGTCTTGAAATCAAACCCCCTTTTTTTTTTTTTTTTGGTGCGTCACCCATCATAATACTAATTTCGTCCAAACACGCTCAACTTTGAAGTTCTGATCAGATTCGGTGCGTTAGAATGCTATAGGATTGTGCTTAAAATCAAACTATTTGTTAAACTCAATTTTGCAATTGATTGATTTATCATATAATATAATTTCTAATGTGAAAAATTGATGGTGTATGAAGTGAAAGAAAACACTCACTTGGGGAGGGTTCTTGCCTTTTTTCTCATTCTCTCTACAAATTTGCCATGGTGAAAGCACATCCCCGAGATATCCGAGCCATTTTTCTCAGGGGGATAAGGCAGCTCGATCCATCTATCACCCTCATATATGGCAAGGCCAAGTAGTTTTTGAGCATCGATATCGCTTACACAATCTACAATTGCACAACCTCTTCGTATTAGTTTAATCAACTATAGTTGTTGTGAAGCTTATGCGTATGTGTATAGACATTAGGCTGTCATATGGTACCTTGAAGCCCCAACTCGGCCAATTTCAAGTGTCCTTTAGGGTGTAGAATTTCACCCGCGACACGGTTTGTCTCTTTTAAGTCCCTTTCAATCACATGAACTCGTCGCCCATCCTTCATGTAGTTAGGAATAAGTTATTATTCAAACAATATATATAACATTTAAACGACTATTAAGGGTATGTTTCTTTAGCATAATTTTCCCAAATTTTACTATTTGGACTTTGCGTTTCCTAAAAAAAAATACTTTTTTTCCTCTCACAAAACATCCCATCAAATATTATTTTCATATCAAACTCAAACCAAATTTTTTTTAAACTCATCAAAAGAAACACATCCTTAGTTTTTAGGTGAGATTATTATTATTTAATATGGTATCAGAGATCCCGTGTTCAAGTCAGGTTAAATTTTTGTGTGTCGTTGAATGAAACACTATACCGTCTATACTGATGTTTTGAGTCACGGAAACTTTGTTAATACCTTGGCAAGAGCATAGGCCAGTGCCGCCCCAGCAACTCCGGCACCGACAATTATAATGTCAGTGTCGCCTGGCTGATCGGATTTTTCTTCCATGGCAGAGGTCGTTGCGCAACCATTCTTCCACACGGTACTGTAAGATTTAGTCTGCCATATCTTCTTCTTCGATGATAATAATAATAAAGCATACAACAAAACAACTAACCCCACAAAGAACACAACATTAATACATCCACCAATTAAGTAGCACATATCATCATCATCTGCCATCAGTTTATAAAAAAACGAGGAGAGATAAATAACTAACAATGATTTCAAAATCAAGGCAAGATGTTGAGACTGACTGACTGACTGATCTTCAGACAAATTGGAGGTATAAGACACACACACACACACACACACAAAGGTCAATCTCTTCTTAAATATATAATTAAGTTAATAAAAGATATGTTATATTATTTTAATTCTTTTCCCCTCCTGCTTCTTCTTCGTTTTTATCACAATTGTTTATTTCCTACAGTTGTTTGAGAGAACGTTACGTTTCTGCAGAGGCCCTTTTTGATAAACCTTAACGTTTCTGCTATTGACAAGCTGCCCATGTTATCATTTTTATTACAACCACATTTGGGGTATGTTTACATTTTTGTAATATTCATAGTAGTTTTTCAATCTTTCGTTTTTTTTTTTTTTTTTTTTTTTATGATAGAAAAAAAGATATATATACATATTGTGTAGACATTAAAAAATAAATACCTAACATTAACTAAATATAATACTCTCTCCATTTAGGATAAATTGTCCCTATTATTGTACATATAAAAATTTAGATAGAATATACTATCTGTGTTCGTGTCTGAGAGTCTCATTTACTTTTTCATAATTTTTTAATATTAATTATTATATCAAATCATTATAATACTAATAGAATGATATTTGTACAAAAAATTATACAAATGTAAGGATATTTTAATGTTAAGTACTGAAGCAAAAGGTAGATGTGATCTTTAGAAGCGGACGGAGGGAGTAATTAATAAGTAATTAAGAAATGTATTAATAAAAATATTTTTTTATAATAAAAATAATTATAAATTAAGATAATTAAATAATTCAATTAAAATTAAAAATTGCACATTATGTAAGACAAACAGAGATAAAAAAATATGGACATTTATAGAAAAAATAAAGTTTCGATAAAATAAATATGTGATATTAAATTATACACGTTTGTTAGCTATAGAAATAATATTTGTATTATTTAGGCCCAAATCCACTTGTATACATATATTTATGTGTACTCTTATATTTTCGTTAATAATACAATTCATTATTTTCCTCTAAAATCTCACAAATTTTTGTAGTGTTTACTACATAGGATTAAACTCCATAATATTGTTTTATTAAATTTGATTTCATGTTTACTTTAATATATTTTATTATAGATAATTATATGATCACAATAATAACAATTTGTAATAAAAATTAATTCAATCTTATCCCATAGTATTATTTAATTTTATTTAATAAAATATCTAAATTGCTATTAATTTTAGACATTTGGAATCATCAATATATATATATATATAATATGGAAGGATGGTGTGAGATTTTTATATCTTTTTCTCATTTTTTTCATTAAAATGATTTTCTCTAACCCCTCTTTTATTATTATTTTTTTTTGAATAGATTTTATTAATAATTCTATTTATATATAATCAAATAAGAATTTAATAAAAAATTTTTAGTTTACCATCAAAATTGAATAGGATTTATGAATTTTTTACTGTTTTGTACTAGCAATTGATTAATATTATAAACTAATTTGAAAATATACAATATGAAATGATAAATTTTAAAATTAGTGTCTCATAAATTATTTGCAATATAAAATACATAAAAGAATTTATCAATATTTTAAATTATGAATTTATTTGTATCATATTAAATTTTAGTATAACTAAAATATTAAGTAAATAAATATCAATGCAAATTATATTAAAGTCAAATCATCTCTTAATAAAAATTAACATTGTGTTGTACATAAATAACTTCTAGTTATATTTTTTGTTATTGTGTTAAATTTTAATTCAATACCGTGTTGACTGAACTATATGTAATGATAGAAAACACGCGATATAATTACAAACATCGCATTATTTATATTAATATAATACAAATATAACACGTAAACTAGCAACATATGACATAGTCATATACAATACATATTATCATTGATTTCAAACATACGAAATATATTTATGCAATACACCTATAAATATGAACTAGATAGTACTGTATTAAATTAAAACATTTTAGAATTTTCTTTTTTCATATGTGCTGACCGTGATTTATTAGTCTAGCCTCACGCTTAATACTCATATATTATTTTACTCAATTATATATATAATCATGGTTTTATTCAATGCAATAATAACTTTTTAAGTGATAAAAATTTCATACATCTCAATAAACGATTAATGAAAATTTCATAAACATTATTTTTTTAAAAAAATATGAATAGTACTAAAGTTGATACAAGTTAGATATTGAATAAAGATATGGCCCATTGATCTTTTCAAATACGTACGGACAAGTTCGGATTTGATATTACATATATAATCAATTGTAGTATCCGATGTTGGAGACTTCTGTTTACGGGTATATAAATTAATGACTGCGTTTTCCTAACAGTTCGACATTTTAGCAGACATTCTTTATCCGACATCCAATATGCAGACAAATTAACACAAGCTAATGATAGATATTATGCTAGCAACCAATTAAATTTTCTCAATTAAATATCATTAATAAATGAACTAACTAATGAATTATAAACCATGCATTAAGTGACGCATAAAATATTTCAATTTGTTAACTGACTTTAGATTATAAGACACTTAAAAAATAAATTAGTGACAATATAGTAAATATATATCTGTTACGTACGAAATTTAGAATTAGGTTAAAAGCCCAAGGTAAAAAGAAGAATGGGCCTGGCAATAGAGTTGATTGAACTGGCTGAAGGACGCCGTGAGGAAATTAAGGAAAATAGGTTTATTTCTAAGGAAAATACAAGACGGAAGGTCCTCAAGATGGAAAGCCATCAGGACGGAAGGACCTCAGGTCGGTAGGTCCTCAAGACGGAAAGACCTCAGGTCGGAAGGTTTTCAGGTCGGGAGGTCCTCAAGACGGAAAGTCATCAGGACGGAAGGACCTCAGGTCGGTAGGTCCTCAAGACGGAAAGACCTCAGGTCGGAAGGTCTTCAGGTCGGGAGGTCCTCAAAACGGAAAGTTATCAGGACGGAAGGACCTCAGGTCGGTAGGTCCTCAAGACGGAAAGACCTCAGGACTGAAGGTCTTCGGGTCGGGAGGTCCTCAAGACGGAAAGTTATCAGGACGGAAGGACTTTAGGTCGGTAGGTCCTCAAGACGGAAAGACCTCAAGTCGGAAGGTTTTCAGGTCGGGAGGTCCTCAAGACGGAAAGTCATCAGGACGGGAAGTCCGCAGGTCGGGAGGCCCTCAGGACGGGAAATCTGTAGGTCGGGAGGCCTTCAGGACGGGAAGTTCGCAAATCGGAACTCTGCGGCAGGACCAACGAATCGGATGGTTTGTTAGTCGGGATGTCTGTAGCTACTCCAAATAAGTCAGATGGTTTGCAAGTCGGGAGGATTGGCAGTCGGACCAATGCGGTTGTAGATTGGCAGTCGGGCCAAAAGGGCGGAAGGTCTATGGTCGGCTCAAAGAGTGGAATATAGGGATATTTTTTGGTCTGCTGAGGACACGTGTCAGCAGGAGAAGGATTGGAAGACGGTTGGGAAGGAGACGTTGTAACCGTTCGGGCGACGGTTTTCAGTACAGTTCCCCAGAGAATATTTAAGGATTTGAATCATCATTTGACAAGGCATCTTCAATCAACTTCAACAAAGCAAAGTCAGATTTGGGGATCACCACTTTAAATTTCAGTCTTTTATTTTCCAGTTTATTTTCTGTACCATACAGTGTTTAGAGATTCCTAATCTCAGGCACTAATTAATCAACTTTAAGGATATTTTCTATATCTTTGAATTTTACTTTATTTTTGTTGAAAAATTACATCAACAATATCTATTTAAATGAAAATCACCTTAAATATTAATTACAATAAACTCTGTTAAATATTTTTTTAGATAGATAAATTAAATATACATAATATTTTTGATTGATATTCAATTATGAAAATATTTTTAAAATGATTATATATATAATTAAAAAAATTAATAAAGTTAAAAAAAAAAAATTTGCGTAAAATATATCACACTATATTGTCTTTAATAAATAATAATAATAATAAAGAGAAAACTATCTGTTTATTTGTTGTATAAAATTCATTTTGTTAGCATAAAATTTGATTAAATTACCATTATTTGTTCAAAATTAACAACAACTAGAAATAATGTTATTGTAAAAATGAATATGCACTTTAATTTTTTAAGGTAATATTGGAGAAATAAGTTGTCCGACTTATTTATTTACTTCTATATTAGTTATCTTTATATTAAAAATATGTATTGTGCATGCAAAATGATAAACATCACATCTACCTATTATTTTATTTAAAAATTAAAATAAAATATGAAAATAAATATTAATATAAAAAGAACATAGTCCATATAATTATGGTTATGTTTGGTTGGAGTTGTCCCAAAATTTTTACTATTGATGAGTGTGTTTGTTTGAGGGTATGGATTTTGAATCAAAGTTTGAAGGTATGGATTTTGAATCGAAGTTTGAATAGTAAAAATTTTGAATATAAATAGTTGTACGATGTGATATAAATAGGTATTGATGTGATGTTTTGAATATATAATTAATTTTAATATAATATAAAAAATAAAAAATAGATGTTTGAATGAACAGTAAAGTTAGGAGAAAATCCCCAAAACAAACACAATTGGGAGAAAATTGCAAAATAAAATAAAATAAAATAAAATAAAGGGTAAACTGTTTTTTCAGTTCCGTAACTGGACCCCCTTATCATTTTAGTCCCGTAAGTGGAGCATGTCGCAAACTAGTCCCATAAGTGAAAAATTTTCGCTGTTTTAGTCCTCCGGCGCCGGAGATGCCTGCGTGGCTCGCCGGAGGTGACGTGTCCGCCAGGTGTCGCTGACCTGGCGGACACGTGGATTTTTTTTTTTTCATTTTTTAAAATTTTTTTAAAACTTATTTTTAATTTATTTTAAGTTTATTTGTATTTTTTTTATTTGGTCCAATTATAAAAAATTAAAAAAAAATTTTAAAAAATAATAAAAAAAATCCACGTGTCCGCCAGGTGTCGCTGACCTGGCGGGACACCCGGCGGACACGTCACCTCCGGCGAGCCACGCGGGCGTCTCAGGCGCCGGATGGCTAAAACAACGAAATTTTTTCACTTATGGGACTAGTTTGCGACATGCTCCACTTACAGGACTAAAATGATAAAGGAGTCCAGTTACGGGACTAAAAAAACAGTTTACCCTAAAATAAATCATGTACATATGTCTAACTATCACTCTTATTTTTTTTTATTGTTACTCTAGTAAAATATATAATGCGAGGGTCACAACTTCGTTATTTAAGTACATTGACCGCGCTTGAATTTTACATCTTGTTAATTTTAAGCACTGCAGCCACTGAATGATACACGACACAATTTTGATAATATAAAATATGTACAAGATATTTTTAACAAAATTGTGACATATACCATGATATATTTTAGGTAAAGTGTCCATAAAGTGCAAATCCTGACATAGGAATTCACGCGTAGTCAGTATACTAAAATAGAAAAATTGTGACACATGGATAATATATTTTGTAAGGCTGATAATTAAGTATGCATCGAACAATTAATACTATTATACTCTCTCTGTCCCATAACAACTAATATTTTAATCATATATATCAAATTTATTTAAATATTATAATATTATTAATTATATACAATAATAAAATAATATCACAATTCATTATTAATGGAGAAGTATTAGTTTTTTTTACTGGTTTTTTTTTTAATATATTTGTATTGCTTTCCGTGCCACAATTTAATTGGAGACGGTGACAAGACAATATGCAAAAATTGACAACAATTTCTTAGGGTGATACCCACAACAAAATGACTTGGGTAATGACTGAAATATAAACATTATATATATATATATATATATTCAGTGGCGGAGCGAGAGTTATTTTGTGGAGGGGTTGAAGATTTTGTTCGGATCGAAAAATCATATATTTTTATTATTTTAAGCGAAAATTATGATAAAAAAAATTTATTTTAAATATTTAATCAATATAAAGATATTAATTTGACAAGAATTGATCGAATTTGAATGAGCAAACATCTATGTAATCAACAATATAATCAACTTAATATTGTGGACGAGGGCTTGGAGGGCTTGGGGCCCACGAGCCCCTACGTGGCTCCGCCACTATATATCCTGTAATAATAATAATAATAATAATAAGGGTAAATTGTTTTTTTAGTCCCGTAAATGGACCCCCTTATTACTTTAGTCCTGTAAGTGGAGCATGTCGCAAACTAGTCCCATAAGTGAAAGATTTTCGATGTTTTAGTCCTCCGGCGCCGGAGATGCCTGCGTGGCTCGCCGGAGGCGACACATGGCGGACACGTGGATTTTTTAATTTATTTTTCATTTTTTTAAAACTTATTTTTAATTTTTTTTGTATTTTTTTATTTTGTCTAATTAAAAAAAATGAAAAAAAAATGAAAAAAAAATTAATCCACGTGTCCGCCAGGTGTCGCTGACCTGGCGGGACACCTGGCGGACACGTCACCTCCGGTGAGTCACGCAGGCGTCTCCGACACCGGAGGACTAAAACAGCGAAAAGTTTTCACTTATGGGACTAGTTTGCGACAGACTCCACTTATGAGACTAAAATGATAAAAAGTCCAGTTACGGGACTAAAAAACAGTTTACCCTAATAATAAATAATGATAACATTGACATGCAATGGAGAGCCGGTTCTTAGCAGGAGCAAGATGAGCAATTGCTCAGACTTCTACTTAAAAAATGGTCTATATATATATTTTTTAATTTTAACTATTATTACATATATTAAAATTTATTTAAAATTTATCCTACAATTTTTTTCAACAATTACCTAATCTATTTTAATTCTAAAATTAAATTCTAATAAGAATTTTTCTATAATCTCATCTTACTCTCTCTACAATTCGTAAATATTTATAAAGTCCATAATTATTATTAGATATATTAAAATATAATTTAAATTTTATTTCATTAATTTTACAATCACCTAATCCAATTCTAATTCTAATAAATCATAACAAATTTTTTTCCTAGTCTTATATTCATTGCCTTTAAAATTTGTAATTAATATTATTGAATTATTGGCTTTATAATAATCAAAATATATATCACAAACAAGGTCCGACAATTCATCCCTTACGAGACACATATATTTCATGTATTATATATATATAATTAATTTGTAGAATTTATTATTGTATTATTCATTGACAGTATTTTGAGAAACAAAAAAATAAATAAATTCATAGGCCTATCAATTAATTTTACTTAGGCCTTAAAAAAGTTCGAGACGACGCTAGCGCAATGCAGTCAGTAGCAGAAACGTTAAGGTTTATTAACAAAATGGATTCTGCAGAGACGTAACGTTCTCTCAAACAACTATAGGGAATAAACAATTAATTGTGACAAAAATGAAGAAGATCAGGACAGGAAAATAATTAAAATACTATAGAAGACGTTGACCCCCCCCCCCCCCCCAACCCCTCCTTTTGTTTCTTTTTTTGTGTTTGTGTCTCTCTCTCTATAAATCTCCAAGAATTTGTCTGAAGATCAGTCAGCCAGTCAGTCTCCACATCTGGCCTTAATTTTGAAACCAGTAGTTATTTTTCTCCTCATTGTTTTTCAAAATTATATATAGAACAATGGCTGATGATGATGATATGTACTTTGTTGGTGGATGTTTTAATATTGTGTTCTTTCTGGGGTTACTTATTTTGTTATTACTATGGACAATGACGACATGGAAGAAGAAGCTAGGGCAGACTAAATCTTACAGTGCTGATCATACTCTGTGTAAGAATGGTTGCACAACAACCTCTGCCATGGATCAAAGATCTCAGCTTGGCGACGCCGACATTATAATTGTCGGCGCTGGAGTTTCCGGCGCCGCGCTGGCCTATGCTCTTGCCAAGGTTTAATTAACAATTGTTACTTCTTATATATATATATATATATATATATTCCTGAATTTTTGTTTACCAGTATCATGATATTTTTCATATATTTGTTATATATAGTCATTAATTTAGGGATTATGCATCTAAGTTTCTGTTCATATATTCATGTGTCAATTTGCTGCGCTGGTTATAAAATATATTGAATGGCACAAAAATATGTTATATGTTGTTTTGGATAATTAATAAAATATGTCTAACTTGATGCAATCTTGTCAATCTCTATTTTGAAGATTTTCTTTTAATTAAATTTTATATTTTTGTGCTCGCATATTTTTAATTAAATATCGAACCTGGACTCAACCCTCAAGCGAGGAATGTCTCACCTCTTGATGTACAAGGGTTTAACAGGAATTTTTGATTTGTTGCCACTTCACTGAATTGTACGGCTCTCCCTGAGTGGTACAGGATGAGCTAGTTGCATGGTCTTTTTTTCTTATGGTTGGGCCAATTTTTGATGATTCAGCATGTTAGGGTTTGACCTACGGATTTATATATATATACTTTTTATATTTTTTCTATAATTTACACATGAAATTACTGGTGCAAATATTTGGCTCGGATGCCCTAGACGTAGAAGTAAGATCATCCTGATCCAACTAGATCCACAAATTCTTGATGTTCTTGTGTGTTTTTCTTGATTTTCCATTATTTTCGTAACACAAACTAGATTTAGTGAGCCAGATATACTATTTAGGGTCTCAAATCGGACGTTTTTTCTATTTTTGATATTTTTCTTGTAATTTATTTGGGATGTAGGATTTTTTATTTTACAAATACTTAACTTTTCATTTTGTGTTTAGTTTTAATTTTTTAATAAAATATTTTCAATATTTGATAGTCAAAAACTCTTTTGTTCGACTATCTTTATTCTTGCATCGACATCATGCCTACATGCAGGATGGGAGACAAGTTCATATCATTGAAAGGGACTTAAAAGAATCAAACCGTATCATGGGTGAAATTCTACATCCTAAAGGACTCTCGAAATTGGCCGAGTTGGGGCTTCAAGGTAACATATGACAACCCCATGTCTAGATATCGGCTTCACAAATAACTACTAGATGATTAATTACAATGAGGTTGTGCCATTGTAGATTGCTTAAGCGATATTGATGCTCAAAAACTACTTGGCCTTGTTATATACGAGGGTGGTAGATGGATCAAGTTGCCATATCCCCCGGACAAAAATGGATTCGAGATATCGGGGATGTGCTTTCACCATGGCAAGTTTGTACAGAGGATGAGAGAAAAGGCAGAAGCTCTCCCGAAGTGAGTAGTTTCTTTCACTTCATTGCTAAAAAAATAATAATAATAATAAATAAAAATAAAAATTTAATTAGCTACAATATTTTTAACTAAGAAATAATATTATTGTTCAAACGTGTCAATTAGCAACAAATATTAATTTCATCTAAAAATAAATTATATACTTTAAAATTAATTTCGTCGCTAAAATTTTTCTGCTAGAAAATTATATTATCATAGCAAAAAGCTTTTAGCTTTAAAATTATTTTTCATAGTTAAAATCTTTTTGCCTAAAACGATCATACTTATTTTGTTGCTAAAACTCTTTTGATATGAATATTAATTTTATAGCAAAAGATCTTTAGCTACAAAATCATATTTTGTAGTTATATCTCTTTTTTTAACTTTCATTGCAAAAAACTTATATTTTGTTACGAAAGTCATATTTGTCGCCAAAGACCTTTACTAACGCGATATAGACGATGAAATGAATTTCGTCACAAAAATATTTTTGCTATGAATTCATCGCCTTTTTCTACGAAAATTTTTTGTAGTTAAATTTCAACTTTTTTGTAGTGCATACCGCCTTCAACTTTTAACACTACAAATGATGTGATGAATTAATTGCACACTGAGCTTAACAACAAGTTTGAATTTAATCACTAGTTGGAGTTGATTTTAGTTTCGGTGATTTAATGATGCCAATGCATTAATAGAGATAGTCAAACAAGAGAATAATTGTCGATCAATGATTGAAATTTTTTTATCCAACAAAAATTGCTTACAAATTGAGAACTTAATTTTTATATAGTCACATACCCTAAATCCCAAAATAAGAACAATTACAAATATTTAAAAAGTCCCAAAAGTAGAAAAATATCGATTTGAAACCATAAACGATATCGGCTGGCTAAGAAGACCTCATGACATGCAAAACAATGGCATTACGACTTGTTGGCCCATTTTGAATGAAGTACGTAAATTTCATCTAATACCGAGCACGCAAAAAAATATGATAAGTTGACAAGGTTTGACAATAGGTGATTTCTTTATAAGATTAGAAATAGTAACCTTGTTGTGGTTATTTCGAGTCCATTATTACTTATATCATTTAAGGTTAGTTGCTTTGCAAGTTTTGAGTCAAGACAAATAGTTCTTGGGAGAACATTGCTTTAACAGAATTTAAAGGAATTTATTACATTACCTATGTTAACAATATGTGCGTTCACCAAACAAAAAACACACACACACACAAAATATTCCAATTGTTTTATATATATGTGTTGACGGGACCAAATCAGTATGCAAATAGAAACAATATATATCCCTTTTTAGAGCCCATTTGATAGAACTTTCTAATCGATAATCACTACAAAAAAAATAGTATATTTGTAACGGAATTCCGTTCCTAAAGTTTACGTAGTTAACGTAATTTTATCTCTAATATCATTAGTAACGGATAAAGTGAATTTAGGAACGAAAAAACTTCAAAATTGATAATTTTTTGTAGTGGATTAGATAGCAGAACATGCTCAACTCATTGAAAGAAATAGGAGTTAAGAAATGATTTAAAAAAATGGCGTGAGACATAATCCATATAATGGATGTATCTATCTTTTCATTCCTATGTTTTGACAAAATTGGATATTGGTGAGATTTAAACAACAATTTTTCTGATTGCATCTATAATTAATCTTTTTCAGCTCAATGATGATTGTAGTATCCCTTCCATTAAATTTGTAAACCAAATATAGTTTGGTTAACTGTGATTCATTACTGAATCAAGTAGCCATTTCTAACATTTTGTGATCAAATCAGCGTACGATTCGAACAAGGGACAGTGGTTTCCCTTATCGAAGAAAATGGAGCGATTAAGGGAGTTCGATATAACACTAAAAACTCTCAAGTGGTAGCTTCAACTTATGCGCCGCTAACTATTGTTTGCGATGGCAGCTCTTCAAACTTGCGATGCACTCTATCTACTCCCATGGTGAATAAAACGACAATTTTTTAAGTAACTCTATTGATATCACATTCATTGTGCTTTCGTATGCTCTTTCTACTCTCTCTTATTTTTCTAAGTAACTAACTGCCTTATTTTTTTCGATGATGAAGGTGGAGTTTCAATCTACTCTGGTCTGTTTGATCTTGGAAAATTGTGAACTTCCATATCCTAACTACAATAATGTATTATTTAGAGGCTCTAACCAATTGTTACTTTATCGAATCAGTAGCACAGAAATTGGGCTTATTATTCCTTACTCGAAGCAAAACCAGTCATCCATTGCCATGGCCGATTACTTGAAAACTGTTGTGGCTTCTGAGGTAATTGGATTATACATACATATATATATATATATACTCTTTCTGTCCGGAAAATTATATAACTTTAGTTGGGTGGAAAGATTAAAAAATAATGATATATTAATATTAAAGTGGAGTGGGTAAAAGTAAGATGGGATATTATGAAAAATTTATTTAAGAGTTGATTGAAAAAATAGTGGAGGTAAGTAGAAAAAATAGTGACATTATTGTTAAAGTAAATGTGATAAAATTGTGTGTGGATGAAATTATTTAGTATAAATAGAATATGCATAAGTTTAATCAACGGCCAAATAAAGAAACAGTGATATAATTTTAGCAGATGAAGTATATCTTTTCAGGTTTTGATTAATTGAATCATGAGCTTGAACATGATAAACTCACAATGGAAATACTTAACTATGTGACCTAGATTCCTCCTATACTCTATGATGCATTCATGGCTGCGATCGATAAAGGAAATATAAGGACTACGCCAACCAAATCCATGCCGGGAAAGCCTAACCACACTCCCGGTGCAGTTCTGATCGGGGATGCTTTGAACATGCGGCATCCCATACTTGCAGCCGGCATGACTGTAGCCCTACACGACGTAGTTCTCCTACGAGACCTTCTTAGAGGTGTAAATGATCTACACGAGGAATATGCTCTATCCAACCTTATCGAATCATTCTATGCTCTAAGAAAGGTATGTTGTATGTTCGCGAAAATTGCAAACTTAATCTTGTATCTATGGTAAATTATCACTCTTTGTCATTTGTAGTTCACGTAGATATGTTTTAGTCGTAACTAAAAAGTATAGAATCAAAACACAACTGAAAAAACACACTAGACAAAAGTAGTACAAGATTAAATTTGTAATCTCTTCTCTATGTATGTATATGCTACACATCAAAATTATATTTGCAATATACCTTTATGCTTCATTTGAGAATTTTTTAAGCACGATATTCCAGAGTTTCGGTGATCAATAATATATATATATATAGTTAGTGGTTGTTATTTAGAAGATTTGTAGTTCTAATGAAAGAAGAGAATTTCAGTTTTACATAAACTAACACCAGATGTATTTTTATGTATTCTCTCGGTTTATTTAAGTAGACTTAAGGATACAAAATCTGTAATTTTGCCATCGTGAGTAAATTTATTTTTCGTTTTTACCCGTGAATGTAATCAACACGTTATTGGTGAACTATGTAAATCTGTGTCTTCTTTACCTTTTCTGTTTATTATTCGATCATTAGTTCTAATTCGTCACAACACTGCGCAATTGCAGCAATTTGCATTCACAATCAATCTTGTTTCTGGAGCACTATACAAAGTTTTTGAGGCTGCAACCGAAGCTCCTCCCGAGTTTACCGATGACCTAAAGGGGGCACTCTACGAATCATGTCTCGGCTATCTAAGCCTCGGAGGGTTTGTCGCGCGCAGCGTTATGGCGACAACCAGTGGCCTATCCCCACATCCTATAATGCTCTTAATCCATGCATTGGGTATTGCTGTTTATGGACTCATTCACATCATACTTCTTCCTTTTCCACCTTCACCCAAAAGACTATGGGTTGGAGCTAAGGTCTTATTATGGGTAGGTGCTCAGCTCCTTAATTATTCATTTATATATATTTATATACAGTGGCAGGAGCAACGTGAGCAACTGCAGGGCCTCTGTTTCGGAAGGATTCATATTTTTAAATTTTATAGCATTATTGGATATGTTAAAATATGATTTAAATTTAATTCCATATTTTTCTCTATAATTATCAAATTCAATTCTAATTCTAAAATTAAACTCTAACCATATTTTTTCTAAAATTAATATTATCTTTTTCTGCCTTTAAAATTCATAGTTATTATTATTGGTGGTTGCGAGTATATTTTATTTATTGGATGTATTATTAATATAATTATTACTTTTCTGTAGTTTATTTATTATATTTGTCGTGTACAATATTTTTTTAAAAAAAAAAATTAATTATTTATTTATAGGGCCTACTATTTAATTTTTGCTCAGGGCTTTGAAAAATTCCGAGACGATCCTGTATATAAATATATATTTATATATATATATATATATACTGTTTTTCTCATTTCAGTACAACATTAGTTATTAATTCATCTGTCTTCTTTGGTAATGATACATTTCTTCTTTTCTTTGTTTATGATTAGGGTGGACTGGTGGTTGTTTTCCCTGTTGTAAAGGCTGAGGGAATCACAGTTGAAATGCTATTTGATCTTGTTGTTCCTAGATGCTTTATTTCTTAAGAGGATATTTATGCTTCTTTCAATCTGCAGAATATTCATTGTTGTTTTTGTATTGAAATAAACATCAGCCATTTGATTAAAGATGCTTCTTTGTGATAGATTTTTTATCTATATATGCTGAAGAATGGAAATTCATGTGGTATTTTATGAGTTTGTTATTGTGTTGTGAAGCCGGAATTAGAGTTTGGAAAAGTATTGTACATTCAGCCAGTCGACTGCCATTTGACCTTGGCGATGAGGTAGTTGGGGGTCATAGAGGGGCAACCTATTGGGGTTCGGGGACTGTGCCCTCAAAATGATTTTTTTGGTCGTGCGCATAGTTTTTGGGCCGCATAAAAACGTAGATCATCCTAATTGAAACAAAATTATCGTATATTTGTGTGTGTTTGTATGCGTTCTTGATTATTTTTATTCTCACAATTTCCTTAACATTTGATTGGCGATATACCAAAATGATTTTCATAGGATTATGATGAAAAATAGAAAAACTAGTGTTGGCATACTTGATATTCGATTTTGGTTGATGTTGTCTACGGAGGGAAATTGCAAAATATATAATCCTGGTACATATAATTACTACTTTTGTCTTTTATTTATATCACTGACAAAATATATCATATATATTAGCAAAATTAGTTATTTTTGTTTTCCGGCAGCGCGTCATGTTCACACGACTGGTTGTTCCACACACAGTTAGATGATATAAATGACAACTTTTGCAGTACTTAGCGAGATAAATAGAAAATAAAAGTGATAACTGAATATATGTAAATAATATTTTTTCAATTTACCGTTATCTAAGGTGGTCAGTCGAGAAGAAGAGACTTATCATTGTAACTTTCAAATCATTTAAAGAGTGTACATTGCTTTCTTTGAGCATCAGGTGGCACAAAGAAGAATTTGGGGTGCAGAAAACATGTAGATGTTCACAATGAAAATATTGAAAAACTCTCATTTGCACATAAATAAATTAATAATGCATTTGTCTAACGGTTTGAATTTTTAAGGGAAACAATCATTTTGAATATTTGATGTTATGTTTCATTTAACGAAACAATTGACATGTTGCTGTTCCTGCAAGCTTCAATGCTTTCCTTAAGTCAGTAGTATATTTAGTCATTATTGGGTTTTATTTTTAATGAAGGGTGTTTTTGTTTGGGGTTTGGATTTTTTATTTGAATTTTGAATAGTTAAAATTTGAATTTGAATAATAATTTGATGCGATATAAATATAGATTTTGATGTTATGAGTTAAAAATTTTGTCTTTTTGAAACCTAATTCAAATAGTCCCTCAATAAATAAAATGAATTGACCACTTTTTAGTTCAGCTCACCAAATCAACTCAATTTTTTATTCCCAAACCCAAACCCAAACCCAAGCCGAAGCCCAATTAGTATGTTAGGTTAGAGTTTGGAGAAGTTTCTGAAAAAAGAGATATATAAATTAGTTCGAGGGGTTTTGGGTGAAAAAACAGCTAGTAAAAGATGGAGTATCCGACTAGTGTTTTCCGATGAGTTATGATGAGGTTTAGAAGCTCTTTCTGGCCGATTTCGATGGGTGTCGAGGTTTAGAGTCAGGAACCGACTTCCATCAATGCGGCGTGGTTACCTTAAGTCATTGAGCTGAATATGGTCATCCCTATCGCTAGAGAGAAGATTGGGGAGAAAGAAGCCGTTCGAGTCATCGGAGCTATCGTCATTCCAGTTTTAGTGTTTAATTTCAATTTTTGTACTTCCTTCGTCCCATAAAGAAGTATCCATTTGCTTTTTTCACATAATTTTAGAAATATTAGTATTATATTGGGATATAGTAGGAATAAAGTAGAAACGACTAAAATAACCTTATTAGTATATATGATATAAAATAATGGCATTTGTGTAATATATTGCAAGTTGTAAGAATATTTGTAATGTTAGGTAGATAGTACAATTACTAAAAAAAGAAAATGAATACTTTGTTATTAGACGGACTAAAATGGAAAAATGGATATTTTATTATGGGACGGATGGAGTATTAATTATTTTAAAATTTATTTGAATTTTGTTTCGCTATAATTTTGTATATTAGGTATTTTTTGAATAAAATCTACTTGATCCGGAGATAAATTCACGATATGATGTTTTGAATATATATACTAAATTTTATTTTAGTAACAAATTAAAATAAAAAATAAATTTTATTTGATATTTATTTTAGAAATTTTTTTTAAGAATGAATAGAAATTCTCCAAAAGTCCCTCGATAAGGTATCTTATGAGTTTGCATTGTTTATATTAAACATACATTTTATTATGTTTTATTGTTGTAATGATTTAATGTGCTTTTTATAATGTAAAATTACGACAACGGTTAAGATGCTGATTAGAATTAATTAATATTATGTGGATTAGGTATAATAACCATATATATATATATAAAAGAAAAGATAACACACTATTTTTAAGGCAAAGAGCATTACAGTGTATGCTTTGAAATCATGTGATGATAGTTCACGTGTAATGGTATTTTGTGATGTGTGAATATATAATGTCGGTTCATATATTGTATTTATATTATATTAATATAAATTTTTTATTATTATTTAATATTGTGTGAGATGCTTGCATGTAACACTAAAAAAAATAATATATTTGTAACGGAATTTCGTTCCTAAAGTTCACGTAGCTAACGTAATTTCATTTATATTTCCGTCTTTAATGTCATTAGTAACGAAAAAAAATAGATTTAGAAACAAAAAAATTTTGTTACATAAATAATTTTTTCTTTGTAGTGTGATAAGCTCGGGCTAATCAAGCGCTTGAAACAATACTTTAAAGAGCAATTTGGTATCAAGGAAATTAGAAAAAAAAAAAAAAGAAATTGAAGTAAATAATGAAATTACAGATAAAAAAAATTTATTAGAAAATAAAATTTACAAAAATGTGATATAATAAAAAAAAAAATGAGAATATTTGTTTAATATCAATTTATAATAATAATAACAATAATAAAAAGTAAACATAAATTTAAATTTTAAACAATGAAGAGAAGTACTAAATTTGATTAAAAACCAATACAAACAACTCGGGCTTTGTTCACCCACTACAAAAAAAAATAGTATATTAGTAACGGAATTCCGTTTCTAAAGTTTACGTAATTAATGCAATTCTCTTTTTAATTCCGTTTCTAGTGTCATTAGTAACGAAAAAAATGAATTTAGAGATGAAAAAACTTTGTTACAAAATTGATATTTTGTTGTTGTAACCAAGCCAATTTTTGAATTATAATTAAATAATAATAAAAAATATTAAAATAAAGTTAAAAAGTAAAAAAAAAATATCAAATACTTATTAAAAAGAAATCAAAAGTCAAATATTTAATTTAAAATATATATATATATATTTTTATACAATTCTTCGTACCGCATATTAAAATTCAATCCATAAAAAAAGCTGGGAACATAGTCATCCTATTTTAAATCAAATCCGAAATAAGCCAACAGGCAACAGATGCTATATGAACAGGCTGGGTCGGGTCGGGCCGGATCGGATCAAGATCGAATATCCAGTGAATGTAGATATAAGATTACATACATAAGAGATATTAATGCATTGAATAACAGGCAAAGGCGTGGCCCAGGGGCAAAAGAGTCAATTCATACGAAAAGGTTTTCAATCTGCAGCGAATAGAGAGCCCGTGTAAAATTTATATACCGAAAATACCCCCCGGCGAAATCTGCCCCTTCTCCCAAAACAAGGGTTTTCCTGTGAGACGCCCTACTACATAAAGCGCAACCCTCTCGCCATTCTTCCTCCTCCATTCTCCCTCCGTCTAGAGAGAGAGAGAGAGGAAAACCCAATAAAATTTCTCTCTCTAAAAGGGCTTCCTTCCTTATCCCTTCCTTCCTCCCACCATCACTTCGATCTCCCCATCTCGATCGGAATCTATATATATATATATATTTTGGATATATAGATCAATCGGTTTTTTGTTTGTTCGACGGGAGTTGTGCGGTAGATTGGACCAAAGTTTTTTGATTTGCGAGTTATGCAGGCTGATCAGACGGTTTTGAGCTTGAGACCAGGTGGCGGCACTCGCGGCGGAAGCAGAGTATTCGCCTCGCGCTCGGATTCCTCGTCGGCGCCGAATTCTGATCCGCTACTGCGTCCCCATGGCGCCGCCGCCGCTTCTGCGTTCCCTTCCTTCAAGGTTTGGTCTTTTCTGCACCGTTCTTTTGTAGATCTAGGGTTTTCTGATTTGTTGATGACTGTTTGTAGGGATGAGGTTCGGTTTTGTTTGTTTGTTTTTTTGTGTTTTTTTTTTTTTTTGGCTGATGTGGTAAAGTGTACTTCCTGCAGTTAATTGTATTTGTGCGAGAATTAAATTCGTTGGATTGAATCTACGATTTTGTTTTTCTGTTGCTTATTGTTGATTTATCCTCTTATCAGAACTGCCTTGAAAAAGTTTGATTCAATCGTGACTTTTCTGATTGTGTTAAATTAAGTGTTCTATCAATAATTACTTGGACATATTCGTTGTGTGTTCAAGATGGAAGATTTGGTAAAGGTTTTTTCTTCCAATATATATTTTATGATATAAAAAGCCTTGAGAATGTTACTAGTTTTTCTTTGTCCTAATTGGTGTATATATTTTTGGGAGTTCTTTAAGTTTTCTTTATATGTATATGCTCGATTATAGTTGAATGTCGTTGTCATTTCTTTTATTGCTTTTGGGTGTGCACGATCGATTGAAGATGGCTTGGGATGGTAAGTTCAAGATTGGGAAGTTATGTGAGTTGGCAGATGTTGATGTCCTAATTCTTGGCTGTGCACATGAGTTGTGTAATTGCTGTAAATATGGACGTAAAGCAACGTGCAGACTTTAGGTGGGCATGCAAGAAGTTATGGGATGTCCATAAAGAAATCTGCAAATATCGGAAAAATGAATCTATTGTACTTTAAGTTGTTTATGGTAAAAGAAATTGTATGGCTTTCAATTTTGAATTGGCCTAGTCTTAATTTGATACTGCTTTCATTGATTCTTGCATTTAATGATTACATCGAAAGGTGTTCTTGATGCGGGCAAGGTGATATTTAATAATTTATTAGAGATCCTACATGATTGATGCAAATGTAATCCTATATGCTTTGGTTGATGCTATTCCGTTTGGTGAATTCTTATGTTGTTTTTCCTTTTTTTTTTTGAATTGCTTGTTGTTAACCATCCGAATATATTTTGCCCTTTGCTATGTTTATATGTAATTATCTTAATCATCTCAATCTATTATTACTAACTATCGTGCATTTGTAAAATAGACTGGAGAATCTCAATTTGAGGGCCATGAACGGATCCGGTTTACTAGAGACATGCTGCTGCAGCTAAAAGGGGTAATGACTCTTTGTGATATATGCGCGATACACATAGTTTTTCTACTTCTGGTTAACACTTGTTAAATCATGTTGCTGCATTTATCCATCGCTTTTAACTAAAAATTTGATGTTTGACATTTCCCTTCTGTATGATGGGTTGCAGCTTGATCTTTTTCTGTTTCTTGTTCTGATTAGTGGGTGGATAAATATTTATATATTCCATATTATTCATACCGATATAATTATATGCTATATGTTTTAATAAGCTGAATTCTACTTAAAGTAATACAAGGAATTTGTTAAATCTGATACTGGATTTACATTCAGGTTCTATTCTGCTAGTAATTACAGTCATTTACCTTCGAAATACTGCTTGCCTTCGGTGATAATCTAAGACTTGTTATCTTCTCCCATAGTGTTTTAACTTCCAATTTTCAGGCGGTGGACACCATCCCAGATGAGATTTTGAAAGTGAAACAAGAAGTTGGATCTGAACTGTTCCTTACTGATCCAAGCTGGGGCCGCGGAGAAAACAATGTGAGTTCTTCTGTGTTAAACTTTTCAACTCTTTACCCAGTCGAATATTGATTGCAGGTTTTTTCTGTGATCTATATACCCTTCTTTTTAAGGCACTTCTGTCATATTTGTTGCTATTTGCAAATTTTTGAAGCTGTCTCTTTTTCTGGTATATCTATATTGTTGTTCCATCTAATGTGTTTGAGTTCTTGTTGAAACCCACAACCAGTCCCAGAGCCGGTATTCTGAACAGGACAACCGTGACTGGCGTGGCCGTTCTGCACAGTTGCCTCCTACAGAGGAGAGATCCTGGGAGGCTATACGAGACAGAGATTACGGTACCTGGTTTGACCCAAGGCAACAAGATGCAAATCAATACAATAAACAAGATCAGCTGAATTCCCAGTTTGCGAGAGCCCAATTGTCTTCCAACCAAGGGGTAAATGATGTTCTGCATCGTCTAATAATATTATATCTGCAACAATGCGCTATTATATAGTTATGAATTTTACATCCTGTACAATAATTGCACTGATAGAAGTATCCGAGCAAACAAGTCACTGTTCTTCGCAACCTGATAACCTTTTCCCTGCAGCTAGTTCATGTGGTGATAAACATGGAAATGGATTAGTGGGTTACTGAAGGGAACTTATGTGTGCTTTTACTTTCTGTCTTTATAATGCCTTCTATGTAGGATACTCATTCGTCTCACTGGGTGCTTGACCCTCAGTTAAGAAAGATTATTTAGTGTTAAAACTTGTTGGACTTGAGTTCAGAATATTTAGATTGAAGTTGGATAAAATTGATCTTTAGTTAAGACGAGCCTGTAAAACTAATTGTTGGTCATGTTGGCATGCGCTAATGATAATGTAGATATTAAATTTCCGATATCTTCTCATGCTTGCACATAATGGACTTGAATTAACAGATCTATCAAGAATCATTGTTTCCGGAAAAGACTAACGAATTTTCTCTGTTTCCTACATAGCAGGCTGCTCCGACTTTGGTTAAGGCTGAGGTGCCATGGTCTGCTCGTAGGGCAACTCTTTCTGATAAGGAACGAGTTTTAAAAACAGTGAAAGGGTAAGCCATTCTTGTATTTTCTGTGACTAGCCGATGATGGTTATCTTGTACTGCGATTTGTTTCTTGCTAAATTATAGGTTTGGAAGATGGTGCTAATTGTCATTATAAACGGAAGTTGTTTGTAACAGCTTTTTATTTCTTGCAGCATACTGAACAAGCTGACACCTGAAAAATTTGATCTACTAAAGGATCAACTGATTGATGCGGGTATAACATCGGCTGATATTCTGAAGGTGATAAATGCTGTAAATGAATATTTAGATAGCCATTAATGCTGCTGTCGAGTTGCTCGTGCTCCTTATTCAAAAGCTGATTTTGTTTCTCCTTCTCTCGACAGGAAGTTATTTCCTTGATATTCGATAAGGCTGTGTTGGAGCCGACTTTTTGCCCCATGTATGCGATGCTTTGTTCGGATTTGAATGAAAAGCTCCCGCCATTTCCCTCGGAAGAACCTGGTGGTAAAGAAATTACGTTTAAGCGAGTTCTCTTGAACAACTGCCAGGAGGCATTTGAAGGTGCTGACAAGTTGAGGGAAGAGGTTGGGCAGATGACTGCTCCTGAGCAAGAAGCGGAACGAAGAGATAAAGAGAGGTTAATCAGAATTCGTACTCTTGGCAACATTCGCCTTATCGGAGAACTCTTGAAACAGAAGATGGTCCCGGAGAAGATTGTTCATCATATTGTTCAGGTTATTTATTTATTTATTTATTATTTATGATTATTATTATTTTAAACTATGTTGTCTTATGACATTTGAGTATTATTGAGCAGGAACTCCTGGGACAGGACGTGAATAGCTGTCCCGCCGAGGAAAACGTCGAAGCCATATGCAAGTTCTTCAATACGATCGGAAAACAGCTCGACGAGAACCAGAAATCGAAGCGATTCAACGATGTGTACTTCCGTCGCTTGAAAGATCTGTCGACCAACCCTCAGCTTGCCTCGCGCTACAGGTTCATGCTCCGTGATGTCCTCGAGCTGCGCAGCAACAACTGGGTCCCGAGGAGGGAAGAGGTGACGTTTCCTAGACGATGATTATTTCCTTTACTGTCGATTTCTTTTCTAGAGGGCAGTCTAGAATTCGATTTTGTTTTTTCAGGTCAAAGCCAAAACCATTACTGAGATCCACTCAGAAGCCGAGAAAACTTTAGGTTTACGCCCGGGCGCAACTGCCAGCATCAGAAATAACCGATCCAACACTTCCGGAGCGCAAGGGAACATCAGCCCGGGCGGCTTCCCCATGAATCGGCCCGGTTCCGGCGGTATGATGCCCGGGATGCCCGGGACCCGGAAGATGCCCGGGGCGCCCGGAATGGACAACGACAATTGGGAGTATCCTAAATCACGATCCATGCCTAGAGGCGGCGGCGGCGACGGATCCAACAATCAGGCTCCGGCGCGCGGCGGCGGTCCGTCGCCCCTGATTGCGAAGACGCCGTTGAATCAGCGTCTTCTTCCCCAGGGCAGCGGCGGTTTTGTGGGCGGCCGTAGCGCCCTGGTGCAGGGCGGCGGTGGTACTGCCCCCCCTGCCCGACCTGTCACCCAAGCACCAAGTCCTGTTAAACAAGCGCCCACCCCCTCGATGGCCCCTGTGGTCGACAAACCGTCGGCTCCGGCGACAGCGAAATTCAGCGTTGACGAGCTCAGCAAGAAGACGAAGTCGCTGGTGGAGGAATACATAACGGTGCGGCTTCTGGACGAAGCGCTTTTGTGCGTCGAGGAATTGAAATCTCCGTCTTATCATCCGGAAGTTGTGAAGGAAGCGATTTCGCTCGGGTTGGAGAAAAGCCCGCCGTGCGTCGAACCGATCGGGAAGCTATTGGAGTATCTGTTCGCGAAGAAAGTCCTCGGCGCGGCGGACATTGCGACCGGGTGTCTTCTCTATGCGTCGCTTCTGGAAGATCTCGCCATCGATTTTCCGAAGGCGCCGCCCAATTTCGGCGAGATCGTCGGGATTTTGGTGCTCGTCGGAGCTTTGGACTTCAAGGTGGTTAAACAAATCCTGGAAAAGATCGGTGACGACTATGTCCAGAAACCCGTTCTCGCCGCCGTCTTGAATTCTGTCGGGTCTTCTCCATCGGGGAAGGAAATGTTGCGCGCGCAGGAATCTGACGTTAAAGCCTGCGAGGCCCTTCTCTAGGCGTCGGAAAAAAAGTCGGATCGGAATATTGATTCTTCTTAATTCTCATGTTGCCGATGGTTGCGCGGATTGGAGTTACAGGTAATGTTGGCGAATCGAACTACTCTTCTTTCTCTATATGTTTACTACTACTCTCGTTTTTTGACGCGATATTAGTGTGTTTTGTTGAATAGAGAAAAAAAAGTTTTTTAGAGTATAAAAAGGATTTTGAATTCTCCGGCGAGGGCTGTGGCTAATCACCGGCTGCCGCCGTTGCTCGGGGATGAAAAAATTGGGTCTCTTTGTGAGGATGGATCAACCCGTCCTTTGTCGTCGTCGTCGTTGCCGTTGTTTTTGTATTCGATTAGTTTTTAAATTTTATTTATTTTTGTTGACTTGGTTAAATTTTGACGCCCTCATTTATCTGGACTTTTGTATGATTTGGAGAATTGGATCGATGGATTATATGGCATTTTGTTTTTGCTGTTTTTTTGGGGGTCTTTTTTGCTCTTTTTGTTAATGTGTGATTTGATGGGTATATTTGTCTTGTTAATTGCCTTAGAATTGGTAGTAAATCTATTATGAATGTGTTTTAATATTTTCAAAAATACTATAGAATATGTTTTAAGGAAAAAAAAAAAAAAGTATATAGTGGATTTTTATTAGAAATAAAATGATTTTTCCTTCGTCTCATACAAGGTGCAATATTTTAAACATTTTATTTTGGCACGGGTTTTTTAAAAATGAAGTGATGTGATGGAGTGAAATATATATTTTATTTTTTATTTGGATGATGTGAGGGGATAAAATATGCGATATGTTAGCAGTACGGAGGGAGTATAAGATTGAACCTTTTAGTTGGTATTGATTTTATTCAATCAATATATGTTGTTTATAAAGAAGACTAAACATAGGAGTATATAATATAGGATGTTTTTACTGGTAAGGTTATTGTTTTTTGGTTTTGGTTTTGAATAGTAAAATCTTGAATTGAATAGTTTTTTATATAATATAAATATGTATTGATGTGATGTTTTGAATATAAATTTAGATTTTAGTGCAATAAGATAAATAAAAATTGGGTATTTGATATGAGATTTTTAAAGGAAAAGAAAAAAGTTAAAATAATAAAATAAGGAATAAAAACCAACCAACAAGTATACAAAACTTTATGTATAAAATGTACTATATCGTAATTTTAACATAATAAGAATATTATATGGCATAATATAAAATATAATGCATACATATTATATAATACTTCCTCTGTAATTTAACAATTTATTCAATTTTCTATTTAATTCGTCTTATAACAAAATATTCATCTTCTTAGTAAGGGTATTATTTTAGTCTTTTTATTTTTATTATATCTTAATATAATATTAATATTTTTAAAAGTTGGTGCAAAAACAAACGGATAGATAAGTATAATTTTGTGACGAAATATTATAATTTTGTGATAAAATATTGATTGCTAAGTTAGCGTGTTGATTTGATCAAATTAGTAAGGACTGAACAAATTCGTAGTTTTGTGATGACTATTGGTGTGTTTTTTAGGACGGTGGTTTGGGTTTGGAAAGTTTTGATATGTATTGATTTGATAAGTAATGAATATAATAATATAAATATGTATTAAATTTAATTAATAAAATTTATAGCAGTATAATTTGATTACAAATTTATGTTATATTAACATATATATTTTTAAATTTTTATTTATTTGTATTATAGAAAATTTTATTTCTACAAACTAACAACATATATATTGTGTATATATATATATTTAACCTATAATTATTATAAATATTAAATAAATTATTATTTAAATATTTTAAATTAAAAAAAAAAAACACAAACACAAGCATAAAGTTGCATATTGTAGATCAAGCGGTGAAACATTTCTCCGTTGAGGGTTGGGTCCCAAGTTAAATCCTGGGTGGGTGGCTTGTTTTGGGTGAAATTCCCGTCAAGGCATTGTTTTTTATTTTTTTTGAGAGTAATATAATTTTATAAATTTAATAGTTTGTATAAGAATAAATAATTAATGTGATAAATTATATCATATATTTATATATAAAGTAAATAAATACAAACTAATCACCAACATACAAATGTAGTTTGGATCTTTTGATTTGCTGCTCAATTCAACATCACATGTGACTAGCTTTTGAGATATTTTCACATATGCCATTGTCTCAATTATTGGTTAAATTTTAAATAAAATAATGAATACATTTCATTTGTATGACTTAAAATTGAATAAATATTTGGATGTGTTTGATTTGCATTTCAAACTTGGCATGATTATCAATAAAAAATTTATTATATTAATTTTCATAATACAATTTATCATATAAAAACTATTTTAAATCTAAAAGTATTCACAACATCTAATAGTACAACTATTCTATACTCCATCCATCCCAGAAAATATGAGACTATTACTATAGATACGAAAATTTAGGTAAAATATAATTAGTAAATAATTAAGAAGTGTATTAGTAAAAATAATTATTATTTAATAAAAATCATTATAAATTAAGATTAAGATAAGTAAATAGTTTAATTAAAATTAAAAAAATTATAAAATTTAAAATTTAAAATGCGATTAAAGTGCATAATTATATTTTCAAAAATAGAAAGGACAAGTTATGTGGGACGCACGAAAATAAAAAATAGGAACAAATTATGTGGAACGGATGGAGTATTTATTAACAATAAATGGATGTATTCATTTTTTGTTTTTTATTACATTGTTTTTATGTCATATTTGTATCGGATTGAATACTTTAAACGGATTAAATCACTTAATCCGAACCTGATCTATTTATCATTGTATCGAATTCGTATTGACCCTTATATATAATTGAATTGAAATCATTAATCTAAATTTAATTATTTCTTACAGGATTGTCATGTTATGCAAACATTTGTCGATTTTAGTATAATGTATATAATAATAAAATTAAATTAATATATATGACTAATAATCAAACTCAATTATCTCGTATGAATTCTCTTGTCAGACTCGTAACACATCCAATGATTCTATTCGAGATGGAAAATAGATTTCAATTAAAAAGTTCCAATCACAATTTTATCCTTTTTTTGAGATGTAGACTTTTAAATAATAATAACAATAATAATAATAATAACACGAAAAATACATTTAGATAAAAAAAAAAAAAAAAAAAAAATACTTTAAAATATGAAAAAGCACGAAGCAGATCCTGTGCATTATTTGTGGAAATAGTACCCCACTTTTTTGCAGTTCCACAATATGTTAAACAAAATTTAAGGATGTATTTACCTGACAACCTTTTTTATTTTCTCTACCATCCAATTCGATTTTCTACAAAAATAAACTATTTACTTTTACAAAAACATCGTATCAACACCAAAAAAATCAAATCAAAATTCAAAAAATTACCAAGTATGCAAAGCTAACACACAATCAAGCCAAAAATCAAATCAAATCAACCCCCCCCCCCCCCCCCCCCAAAGAAAAAACACTAAGGTTGTGTTTCTTGTGGACTTTAATACAACTTTTTACAATTCAAATTCTTTTTTTCCTCCAAAAATATCAAATCAAACATTTACTTTTCTTCTTTTTTTTTAATGTTATATAACAAATTTATTTTACATTCAAAATATTACATCAAACAACTATTTAAATTCAACTTTTTACTATTCATAAATCCAAACCCAAAACTCCAAACTCACAAACAAACACACTTGTGTTCTTTTGTGGGTTTTACCACAGGTTTTTACTATTCAAATTTTTTTTCCCTCCAACACATCAAAGAATTACTTTTTTTTTTTTTATATTATATTATAAATTTATTTTACATTCAAAACATCACATCAATCTCTATTTATATCACATCAAACAACTATTCAAATTCAACTTTTTACTATTCAAAAATCCAAACTAAAAAACTAAACCCACAAACAAACACATCCTAAGTATGCAAAGCTATAACTACAACATACAATGGTAAATGAATCCTTCGTAGTAAACAAATGTTCAATCTACTGACAATGCACAAATAAATTAACACAAGAAAGCGACACGAACCAATGGCAACAACCAGCTTCGACTAGAGACAAAATGAATTCTCATAGCAATGTACTGATTTCTGTAAAACATGAAGTATACATAAGCTGAGGCACTATTTATTTTTGTTATTCGAGAGTATTTACCATAATAAAAAATGATACAAGCAAGTCGAATATCTGGAATTCTTATGTAGAAAGTATTTAGGACTTGTATACCCGAGAAGACCTTTTCCACTAAGTCAGATTTCTATTAGTACTAACAAGTTCCTATTGTTTTACTACTAAACTAAAATCAGAACAAGAAGTTAATAATAAAGGCACTTAAGTTATCTAATTATCCTTATTTCGACAAGAAATATATAGACAATGGGAATGTGCAGCCTTACTTTACGTTAGAGATAGATACCTATGTGAGGTTTAAATAACAGCCAAGTGTTCGAGGAACATAAAGACAGCATAACATTCTTGTAACAAAATCCGACTGTTAAACCAATTTCATATATATGATTCAGAAACTCAAGAAAGAATCCTCTTTCGAACAAATTTCAGGCACCAATTCATAAACATATTTCTAAACAGGGTTCATACCATTACAAAAAATAAATTCATTCGACATTTGGTCCATGCTAGTGTCAAAAGGGGAGATTTTTGTTAGAGGAAATAACGACAAAAGATCAGTTTCTGAATCAAGACATGACAATAATCTGCAAACAAAGATTCATATCAACAAACTACTTCTTCGATCTATTTCAACGCAGACCTGCTCTAACTTTTAGTGCCAATGTCTATAACCTTAACCATCAAAATAAATGTCCATGCCAACACTCAAGATGGGAACTCATGGCCTATGATGTTGGTAGATTTGTTTCAAAGATTTTGGTTGATTTCCAAAATTCATAAAATCTCCCCAAAGAATCAAATCAAACATCTTTTTTTTTCTTTTCTTATATTATATTAAAATCAATTTTACATTCAAAATATCACATTAACACCTACTTATATCACATCGAACAACTATTCCAATTCAAAATTTTACTATTCAAATCAAAACTCCAAATCCAAGATCATCAAATCAAACATATTTTTTTACATTATACTTAAAAACTAATTTTAAATCCAAAACATTATATCAACCCCTATTTATATCCCATAAAATAACTATTCCAATTCAATATTTTACTAACCCCAAATCCAAAACTCCAAACAAACTATGGCTAAATAACAACCACAGTTAGTAATTTGAAAAAAGATAGAATTATACAGCATCCATTATGTAGGTCATGTTGCCACCAAATGTATTAAATCTAGAATTCCCAACACAGTGCAGTACAGATCAAAAGCATATCAAACCAATTCATGAAAATTGCTCAAAGCTATAAGATTTCCACCAATAAAAGTCATATTTCACAAAATAATCCGCATTTTCAAGTCTGGTTTCAAAATACAGCGCTTGGTAGTTGGTAAAGCATCTAAACAATATTGGAGTCCAATAGACCGCAATAAACAGAAATTAACATATAAACAACCAGAAATAAAAAACGGAATAGGAAATCAAGGATGAAACAAAAGGAGCTAAGCCGTCATACTAAGCGAGTTCGTAATAATCGCCGCGGAACCTATCGCGATCGATGAAGACGATTGCGTAGAGAGCGTAAATAATCCCAGGAATGTACCCCAAAATAGTTAGAACCAAGCAGATAAAGAATTCCACCTGTGAAATCAGAATTCTGCAGAATCAGCACAAATAACAACTAAAAAAAAAAAAAAACCCTTTCTTCGATGTAAAAATTGCTTACTGTGCAACAGCCATGACGGAGGCATACGCCGAGTGGAGGTAGCAAAATCGCGAGCAGGATCTCGCAGAGAATTTCGCATCTCGACGCCATCCCGATTAACTCCTCCCTCTCGATTGATTCTCTTCTGATTCAATCGGAATCGGAGAGAGAGACAGAGACGAGAAGAAGTTTCACGACTTAATTCTCTATGTCGGAGAAAATGTCTTATATTAGTATTAACAACAATAATTGAATAGGTCAATGTGATTAGTTGGCTACGTGTTATTTTTGTTTCTTTTAATGATACTCCTATAATGTTCTTTTTTAATTAAAAAATAATATTTTCTCTGTGTAAAATCATGTTATTTGATTGGTTATAAACTTTTTTAAAAAAAAAAAAAATAAAGTAAAATAAAAAAATTTCCATAAAAAAATTAAAATAAAAAAAAAATATTTTTTTATACAAAAATATTGAATAAGAATAAGTTTAGATGATAATAATAAAAAAAAAAAAAAACTTTGAATGACAAAAACGATAATATTTTAATTTTATATTTTTACTGTTGTTAGAATTTCCATAAATAAATTGAATTTTTTATATAATAATTAGAGTAGAATAACCTTCCCGGTTCATCATAAGGAAAACGAAAATCAAGATTTGCGGGAGCTACGAGTAAATAAAACACGTTTTGAAAGTATCAATACTGTGATATGAATCATAAATGCATGGATATGATGTACCAAAAAATCCGCGGTTCCTAACGGGATAAGCAAGAAAGCCACTTTGCTGCCCACTGCTACTAAATCACCACCCCCAGGTTAAACTAGTGTTTGCCGTTGCACTAGGAGCCGTTGCACTGGGTGCTAAAGCATGGGTGTTTTGTATATATATATATAAATATATAAATATATTTGGGGAATACAGTAGGTGTCAGGGAGGGATAAGGACGGGGTGGATACATTGTCCTATGGGTACCATTTAAGGTAAGGATAAGGGTTATGCCGAGGCTTGGAAGTAGTGTTGCTAGGGCGGGATGGCCTTGTGGGGCAATATTGTATAGTATGTTCCATGACAGTAATGACACTCCATATTGGGGCAATGACCAAAGTCATGATCAGATGATTGATATCGCTTGCAGCGAAGAGCACGATTTCGGGTGGAGACAACGAGAGCAGAATCAGGCGGGGAACGCTTAGCCATGTGAAGACGTGTTTCTTCAAAGAGAATGTCTTGAATAGCCGCATCCAACGCAGGGAGCGAGTGTCGATGTAACAGGGAGATACAAACTGCCTCATATTATGGACGAAGAGTCATCAAAATCTGAATGAGACGTATATGATCAGGACTGATCTCAACTTGATCTAACCTATGACAAATGGGTTGCACCTAGGCAAGAAAGTCGTTGACGGATTGACCTGGATCTTGCTTTAAATTATGTAGTGTGCTCCAGAGTTGATAATAATGTGTCAAACTAGTAGCACGAAAACGAACTGCCAAAAAATCTCAAGTTGCCCTAGCTATTTCAAATTGGCCAAACTGAAATTGGATCGCCGGAGTAGATGTATTATGCAGCCAGGTAAAAATATGATGATTCTTGCTGTCCTAATCCTCCAATTTCTCAATATATGCTTCAACAATTTTAGAGGTAGGCGTAGCTTCTCCTATAGTAATGGGAGCAACGTGAGCGACTATATCTCTTGTAACACTCCATCATAACTTTCTATCTATCAAGAAACTTTTAATCGATTGTGTCCATAGATTGTAATTATCTCCGGACAAGGTAATGTTTATCGGAACATGAACATCCATCTTTTTCAAAAAAATAAAATTGAGGATACGTAGTATCTCAAGCCGAAAACCAAATCAATAAAAGCACAGACAAAATCAAATCAAAATCGGAACAATAAAATCAGACGATCACGGAAAATTGTTCAAACTGAAGAAGTGAATATACCATCTGACAGGAAATTAAATTCCGAACACGCCAATCAAAGAATCTCCGGAAACTGCTGCCGCACGCGCCTCCATGCGCCGACGAGGCGTCCGGCGAGTTGTTTTTCATTAGGCGCGTAACGGTCACACGCGCCGCCATTTGGGCGGATTTTCCGGCAGTCGGCTCGTCTCACGGAGGCACTTCCGATGGTGGTGGCGGTGACGGTCGGAGTGGATCGGCGAGATAGATTTGAGACTATCGATGTTTTGGTTTTTTTAGATTGTACAGGGAGAAATCAAGGTTTTAATACCAATTTAAAATTTACGGAAATAAACTGAATTTCTCAAATAATTATTATGCTACAATGTCATATATATATATATATATATATACAAGAGATATTGGGCCGGACTATATATAAATATATATAATATATATCAAAAACTATTTGTCTTACAAAGACATAATAATATAGTTCTATAAGGAATGACCTGATGGTATGTTACCATTAGATAGGGTGTATTCTTTTTGTTTTTTTTTTTACATAAAATTAATTAATTACATATATTCATTATTTTTATATTACATACACAATTATCTATACTCTACAATGCCTACTTTTTTTTTTTAATGACATGAGAATATGCAACCGCTATCCGAAAGTGCGCACTGGGTAAACTCATGGCCGAAACTCATACCTTTCAAACGAGACCCGACAGACAAGTCACACTAGACGAACCACGTGTGACAGGTGACTTGATGCGCTAGGGGTTTAAACCCATGACCTCACGGTCACACGTTCAATCCCCACAATACCAGACCATCCCTTTATTTAGGCGTAGTGGATCATGGATATCTGTACACAAAATTATACAAATATAAGGACATTTTTAATGTTAAATACAATGACGCAAAAAGTAAATATAATTTTTAAAGACGGACGGAGGAAGTATTACCTATAAAGTATTAATATACTAAGTTTTAAGTAGAAAAAATAAATAATTACTTCGTTCAAAAAGAAAAAAAGAAAAAAAAAAACATATATTTTACTTCATAAAAAAGAACCGTCTAAATTAAATATAATCGAAAAATACAAACCAAACATACCCAAGTATACTTTCTTCTCTCTACAATTACTCCAAAAAAAAAACATGTGTAAGCAAGATTGTATTCAATTTGTCCACTATTTTCGTATCTTCCACTTAATTTTTTGAAAATATAATTATACATTTTAATCTTTAAAATTTATAATTTATAATTTTTTTTATTTTAATAAAATTATTTAGTCATCTTAATTTTAATCTAAAATTATTTTTATTAAATTATAATTATTTTTACTAATACATTTCTTAATTACTCACTAATACAATTATACGGGTCACATTTATTTTTTTTGTCATTATACTTAATATTTTTGAAATATTCTTATATTATTTGTATAATTTTTTTCTATTAGTATTATAAGACACTAATTTAAATATTTTTACATTTTTTTTAATTTATATTATATTTTTATATAATAATTAATATTTAAAAATATAACGTTAAAAAAAAAAAATGATAAATGAGTTCTTTAAACGGGAGCCGAAGTATATCATACTTTTTATTTTGTCATTCCCACGTATAATGCTAAAAATAATATCATATTAATTATATTTTAAATTGTATAATCTATAGTAATTTTTTTAAAATTTTAATTATATTAATCATAATTTTAATTTTAATTCATAATTATTTTTAATCCTAAATTTCAGTGAGGGTGTATTAAATTTTTAAAAGCAACACGCCCGTGCTTTCTGCTAGCTTGCAACCCTTGTTGCTTGATTTTTGTGGTCCAACCAACTCACACTTTCATGGCTACACAGATTCCTTAAGGGAAACAGTTTCGAATCTTCGATCCCACGCATCCCACGCGATCATTTCTGCGCTGCGTGGACTCGGTGGTTTGGTCTTTTCTCTCCTCGAATTTTCTTTTATGTTTTGTCCGCTCGCTGACTGATCAGAAGTTGAACGATTACAGATGATATAGAGAATAATATTGGAGTGATCTATAATCAATTTTCAGCAAACGCCTTTTGGTTGCCGAGGAAGCCGCTCGAGGTTCGTACATTCTCTCATCGCTTCTGTATTTCTTCCTCTTTTTGTGCATTTATTGGTATATATCATTTGTCTACTTCAAGGTGTGAAATTTTTAGTTCCTAGTTTTATTTTTTGCCGTTGCACACAGTGAATGCTGCTAGAGTATATGACGTTTGTCGATATGATTCTCAATTAGTTTTTTTTTTTTTTTTAAATAATTTGATTTTAATTTTTAATTTTTTTTCTCTTCTGCCATGAGGCACACTAACTGATTCGCATAAATGCGTACAAATAGAGTATCGTCTTCAACAGAGTGTGTTTGTCATGTGTGAATCAGTGAAAGATTATGCAAGTTTATTTTGTTCCATGGCTAATGTCACTGATACTTTGAATTTTTTATCATCGCTCTAGTTTTGTTTTAAAATTTTAAATGGACAGACTTTGTGTTATTCTAAATATTATGCAAAATTTGTAACTTTGCAGCAAAGAAAGATAAGCAGCATATATAGTTGATCTTGAGAGGAGAGACATTTATCTAGTGCATTTCATCAAAGTTCAAGAACATAAAATTTGTGGGATTCATTGAACATGGAAGGAATGATGGGAAACAGTTGTTTTGAAACTAATGGTGCTTACTGTCCTGGAATACTTGGCTATTTCATTCATATTCCCTTGGCAAAACAAACTTCTAAATTTACCATATTCTGTGGGTGATTAGTGGTTAGTTGGCTTCACTAAATAGAGTTCAGGTTAGAGTTTTATTGCACCCCCTTATTCATTGTTATTTTTTCCGCTAAGTTTGTTTTGTGTTTTGACCATGTTTCAGTAAGCTATATGGGATCGAACTTGGGTGTTTATCCTGACCCTCTCCACCCCCCTTACCTTAATAATATGCACGAGGCGCTTCAAATTGAAATTGAAAAGGAGCAGACTAGAGGGGAGGTAATCTTATCTGAGATTGCAAGAATGCATAATCTGATGACTGCAATGGAACTGGCTCTGCCAATAGGTGGTGACAGTTTCCCATTTGGACTTTCTCAACACACGAATAACATTGATTCACCATCGGGGACTCGATTGGAGCACATGTCTCCAGCGGAAATAATTAACATGGGAGTAGAGGAGATGAAAAGGCTATATAGAATGTGCGGAAGTGGAGACTTTAATACGCCAGTGCTTACACCAAACAAGGGGAATAAAATCAAAGAATGCAATGTTCAGGTTAGTATGCATTGCTTGCTCTCCCCTCTCTGTGTGCTGGTAAAAATGCCTTATCATCTTATGTTTTTCTTATGAACTCCATTAGATTAACGCTTTATAACCTATTATCTTCTCACTTTCAAGAGTAATTTTGTAATAAATCATGAAAGCGAACCTTTTATGTTTTGGTTAAATGAATCACATATTCTGGTGTATGAGGTTTACAGATTTTCAGCAACTAGGTTATTGCAGTAACAGTGCCTTGTATGAACATTGTTTTGAAATTTGTAGGCTAAACCTGGTGATGATGTATCTAGAGCAAAGAGTGAGGTTTCACTACCTGCCATTGATCAAAAGCTTGATGGGAAGTGTAGTTGTGACCTTTGCCATGTTAGTATGCCCAATGAAAGATCACTTAATGAGCATCTTCGGGGAAAGAAACACAGGCGGAAATTACAGATAGAAGAAACCATAAATTTAAGCTCTCTTAAGGGGGTGGAAACTTCAATTGAATCAGCGCCACTTGTCAAGACTGAAGCATCCTTGATGGAATGGGATCTGTCTCCAGTGCAGGAGAACCTGATTGTGGATCATTTAAAAGAAGATAAATGTGCAGTTCAAGAGTTTGAATGGAGTTGTGCCCTTTGTCAATTTACTTCTCCTAATGAACAAGCTCTGAATGAGCATCTGCAGCGAAAGAAACACAAGGTGATGGAGTCTGCATTAAGAGTCGATGGAGAAGGGAAAAACTGTGGCATGGAGCTTTCTCCTGGGAAATCTACAATCTATGCCCCCACAGATCCATGCACAGATGAGGCAATGAAATGTGGATTGGAACCTTTGCTGCCTAACACTGAGGAGGCTAGTGTAAAGAAACATGATCTTCCTCTATTTCCAGAAAATATGAATTCAGACGATTTGAGGAAAAACCAATTCACATTCGATCAAAAGGCGAAATGGAATTGTGACCTTTGTAAAATTGTTGCCACCAATGAATATTCACTAAAGGAGCACCTGCAGGGAAAGAAGCACAAGTCAAAGGAGGCTGGAAGTAATATGTTCTTAGTGGCAGTTACCAAACCTGAGCAAGATATAGAAGCCACAGATTCAAGGATGGACCAAGGAGTTAATTTTACACTGAAACCTTTACTACATATGAAGACAGAGAAAACATTCTTAAATGAGTGTGATCAATCTCTGTTGCTGGAGAACATGGACAAGGGTGATTTGAAGAGAACTCAGATTTCATTTGATCAAAGTGTAGAGAGTTCTCAATTTATTGCTACGAGCGGAAGAGCTCTTCATGAGCACGTGGAGGGTACGGAACACAAATCGATGGAAGAAGGAAGAAGCTCTAGTATTGGACCTTCTATTAAAGCTCCTAAGTCTGTTCAGGTTGTAGGAACTGGCCATCCGAGCACAGAGGAGAGAATAAAATTCACACCTAAACCAATACTGCTTAAGAAGACTGGGGAGGTAAGCCTAGAGGAACAGAAATTGCTTGTGTTGGAAAATAACCTGAACAGGGATGATGCAGAGAAAAATAATTCCATGTTAGTTCAAAAGGTAGAGTGGAGTTGCACTCTTTGCGAAGTTTTTACTCCCAATGAACAAGAACTAAATGAGCACTTGAAGGGAAAAAAACACAAGTTAAGGGAAGCTGCAGTAATAGCTGGGGAGGCTGAAAACAACTGTTGCATTGAATTATCCCCACTGGAAACTGCTAGTTTGGTCCAGGTTTCTGAAAGCAGAGAGATGAGCATGGCAGAGAGGATGGAGTTTACAACCCAATCTTTGTTGCTTAAGAAGACTGTGGAAGCAAAGTTGGAGTTTCCATTGCAAGAGAAATTGAGTTCCGGAGACTTAACAAAAAGTTCGTGTGCATTAAGTCAAAAGTTGGATTGGACTTGTTCCCTTTGCCAAATTAGTGCTCCCAATGAAAGAGCTCTAAATGAGCATCTCAAGGGAAAGAAACATAATTTAAAAGCGGCTATATTAAGATGTGAGGAGAATGAAAAATACAATGGTGTTGAACTTCCTACTATGACCGTCACTAACTCTGTTAATGTAGCAGGAATAAGTGATCTGAATGAGGACAGTGCTGAATTTTTTTCTGAATCATTTGAGAAGACTGTGGAACCAAGCTTGAAGGAACAGAGGTTGCCTCCATTGCCAGACGACCTGAAATTGGAGGAGCTGAAGAAACATCATTCTACAGTACCACATAAGATGGAGTGGAGTTGCGCCCTCTGCCAAATTACTGCTCCCAACGAAAAAGCTTTGAATGATCATCTGCAGGGAAAGAAACACAAGTTGAAGGAAGCTTCATTAATAGCTGAGGGGGCTGGGAGTAACTTTGGCATGGAACTTCCCCCAAGTATAGCCCCCATTGAAGAAGCCTTAAAAGAGAACTTACAGGGAAAAAAGCACAAGCTGAAGGAGATTGCATTAAGAGTGGAAGAGACTGGAGACAATTCCAGCATTGACATATCCTCACAGGCATCTGACTTGGTCCAGGGTGCTGAAACCGTAGATATAAGCATGGAGGAAACAGAGATGTCTACAAGTGAATCCTGGCTGTTCAAGCAAACTGTGAGTTCAAACTTGAAGGAAATGGATATGTTTCCATTGCAAGAAAAACTGATTTCAGGAGATATGGCAAAAATTTCCTGTGCATTAAATCAAATGTTGGAGCAGAGTTGTTCCCCTTGCCAAATTGTTGCTCCCGATCCAAGAGCTCTAAATAATCATCTCATGGGAAGGAAACATGATTTAAAGCTGGCAGTATTAAGTGAGGTGTATGGAAACCACTGTTGTGTTGAACTTCCTCCAGTGACTGTTAAGAACTCTGGTCATACTGCTGGAACCATTGATCTGAATGAGGCCAGGGATAAACTTTTATCTGAAACCATCCTCTTTGAGAAGACTACAAAGTCTAGCTTGGGGGAGCAGAATCATCCTTCTTTGCTAGATGACCAGAAAGTGGAGGATTTAATCAACTATCAGTGTTCATTCGAACCTAAGGTGGAGTGGAGTTGTGGCCTTTGCCAAATTACTGCTACCAGTGAAAAGAATCTGAATGATCATCTGCAGGGGAAAAAACACAAGTTGAAGGAGACTGCCTTAAGAACTGAGGGTGCCAGGAAATGCTCTGGCATGGGACTTTCTCCAAGGACAGCTACTACTTGTTCTGCCATGGAAACTGTAGATCCATGCACCTGTGGGGGAGTGAAGTTTACAGCTGAACCTGTACTGCCTATAAAGACTGGTGAGGCAACCTCAATGGAACAGGATCTTCCTCAATTTCCAGAGAATATGAAGTCAGATGATTTGAAGAAAATTCAATCATCATCAGATCAAACATTGAAGTGGAATTGTCACCTTTGCAAAGTTGTTGCTCCCAATGAATGTGCTCTTATTGAGCATTGGCAGGGTAAGAAACATAAGTTAAAGGAGGCTGGAGTGTCCTCAGTAACTGCTACCAAACCTCCATTGCTTCTGAACATGAATACAGATGTAAAGACAAATCAAGTTACATTAGCTCACCATATGGAGTGGAGTTGTTCCCCTTGCCAGGTTACAGCTCCCAACAAAAGGGTTCTCGATGAGCCCATGCAGGGGAAGAAACACAATTTGAAGGATCTTGAAGTTTCTAGTGGTGAACCATTCCTTATCACCGATGCCAAGCCTGACCATATTGCAGGAATGATAAATCCAATCACAGAAGAGGGAATAAAATTGAAAGATGACCCGTTACTGCTTAAGAAGAGTTTGGGGACAACCTTAGAGGAACCGGGCATGCATATGTTGCAAGAAAACCTGGACTCAAATGTTTTGAAGAAGGTGGAGTGGAGTTGTGGCCTTTGTGAATTTGTAGCTAACAATGAAAGAGCTCTTAATGTGCACCTGCACGGAGAAAAGCACGGGTTGGGGGAGACTGCGACAAGCTGTAGCATTGAATCTTCAACTATGGCTATGAATTCAGTCCATGATGCTGGAAGAATAGATGTAATTATGGAGGAGAGGGTGAAATTTACAGGTGAGTCATTGGTACTTCAGAAGACTGGGGAAGTGAACTCAAAAGAAAAGAATATGGCTCTGTTGCAAGGGAAAGTGAATTCAGATCCTTTGATGAAAAACTTGTGTGCATCAAGTCCTAAGTTGGAGTGGAATTGTGTACTTTGTGGAATTGTTGCTCCTAATGAAAGAGCACTAGATGAGCATCATAAAGGGAGAAAACACAATTCGAAGGTGGCTGCATTGAGAGCAGAGGGAGATGGGAAAAACAGTATCATTGGACTTCCTGCATCGACTGTAAGTAATTCCAATCATGTTGTTAAACCCATTGATCTGGATGGAAAGGATGTTAAACCTTTGGTCTGTGAGATTACTGGGGAGGCAAGGTTGAAAGAAAGGAGTCGACCTCCTTTGCAATATGACCTGAAACCTGAGAATTCAAACAATAATCAACTTTCCCAAGTTACTGCTGATGTTCGAGATTTGAATGATCAGTTATGTGGAAAGGAAAGCGAGTTAAAAAAGGATGCATTAAATGATAAGGCGACTGGAAAAAGCTATAAAACTGTATACATCCCAGTGAAAGCAGCTAAGCCTGCTCAGGCTGACGGATCCATGGCGACAAGCACAGATGTGGGAGTGCAACATACTGACGAAACTTTGCTACTTATGAACACCAAGCAGACAAGATCAGCCTTGGCTCCATTGTTGGACAATTCGAATTCAGATGTTTTGAAGGAAAAACAGTCTCCAATTTCAGTTGAAAATGCAAAGTGGTGTTCTTCACTTTGCCAAACTATTGCTCCCAATGAACGAGTTCCAAATGAGCGCCTGCAGGGAATGAAGCACAAATTGAATGAGGCTGATTCAAGTACTGCAGGAACTACATATTCACCATTGAAAGATGAAATGGTATCTGCATCCAAATCTTTACTAGAGAATATTGACAGTTTGCCTCCATTGCAGGCAAATCTGGACTCAGGTGATTTGAATCAACACAAGTCTTCATTAGCTCACAATGTAGAGTGGAGGTGTGCCCTTTGCCAAATTACTGCGTCCAGCGAAAGATCTCTGAATGAGCATCTTCATGGAAAGAAACATAAATCAAGAGAAGCCGAATTAGTAACTGAGGGTTCTGAAAAAAACCCAACTTCGATGAGTGCTGCTAAGTCTGTGCAGGCTGTTGGAATCATGGATCAGAGTGTGGATAGGAGACCCTCGTTTTTATCTGATGGATCTTTCCTGCCTAGGAATATTAGGGATCCGGAGGATCTGCCTCCATGCGACGATAACCAGAACTCTGATGATTTCAATGATGCAGCATTTTCTCAAGAGATGGATTGGAGTTGTGCCCTTTGCCAAGTTCTTGCTCCCAATGAAAAAGCTTTGAATGAGCACATGCAAGGAAAGAAACACAGGTTGAAGGACGAATCATTAAGATCTAAGGGGGCTCGGAAAATTTATATTATCAAATCTACGGGGAAGGTAGCTACTAATTCTGTTGACGTTAAATCAGTAGTGCCAAGCTCAGAGAAGGGAACAAATTCTACAGTTAAACCTTTTCAGCCGAAGACAACCAGCGAAGCAAGATCAAGGGGATTGGATGTGCAACCATTTCCAGTTAGCCCAAATTCAAACAACTTGAATGAAAGTAAGTCTATGGGGGCTCGGAAAATTTATGTAGTTAAGTCAACTGGGAAGGTAGCTACTAATTCTGATGATGGAGGAGCAGTACATCCAAGCGCAGAGAACGGAACAACCATTACAGTTGAACGCTCTCAGCCTACGATGACTAGCGAAGCAAGCTCAAGGGGATTCGATGTGCAACCATTTCCAGTTAGCCCAAATTCAAACAACTTGAATGAAAGTAAGTCTACAGGGGCTCGGAAAATTTATGTAGCTAAGTCAACTGGGAAAGTAGCTGCTAATTATGACGATGGAAGATCAGTAGTTCCAAGCTCAGAGAAGGGAACAACCTTTACAGATGAATGTTCTCAGCCTAAGATGAATAGTGAAGCAAGCTCAAGGGGATTGGATGTGCAACCATTTCTAGTTGGGCCAAATTCAAACAACTTGAATGAAAGTAAGTCTATGGGGGCTCGGAAAATGTATGTAGTTAAGTCAACTGGGAAGGTAGCTACTAATTCTGATGATGGAAGATCAGTGGCTACAAGCTCGGAGAACGGAACAACTTTTACAGTTGAATGTTCTCAGCCTAAGATGACTAGTGAAGCAAGCTCAAAGGGACTGGATGTGCAACCATTTCCAGATAGCCTAAAGACCTTGAATGAAAATGAGTCTGCATTTGATCCTAATGTGCAGAAAAATGTTAATCCAAGACAAGAAAAGTATACATACTGGTGTGAGCTTTGCAATGTAGGGACCTTGTGTGAGACAGCCATGAGGGGTCATGAAAAGGGGAAGAAACACATCAAGCAGCTGTCTAAAAGTGACAGAAAATGTGAGGCCAGTAATCCCAATCCAGAGGAGACAACCATGGCTACAGAATGTGTTGCTGAGTGTGGAAAGAACATTACTTCAAAACATATTGGCAAGATGCTCCAGGTAACAAGATCCGAAGTTGATGATCTCATGCCTGTGCCAGTGAAGGACACAGTGAGGTTGTATGGATCTAAGAGCAAGAAGATGGTCTGGCAAATGACTGGCCAGTGACTGGTAATTGAATAAAATGGTATGAAGATATATTACTTTTAGATATATATATATATATATATACACCTCCAGGGTTCGTGTTCTGCAGTTTCTGATGTAGCTATGAATTGGATCTAAATGTTACAGGCAGCTTCCAGAAGAATATGAGAGATCCCAATTATGACACGATGTACAGCAAGATTGTATGAGAAGGTAAGTTCCTCAGATGGATCATGTTATGATAATCTGTTTTGTTTGAAATCTGATTTGTAACAAGAAGACAATTTGGTGAAAAAATTCTTACAAATTCAAAGGGAAAAGTTGCAATTATATACACGTACTCTATTTTAATGCCCATAAATTAGCAATGAAATTTACTAGAATGCTATCAAATTGATTGAGTTGATATGCAATATTGCAATACACACACACACACACACGCATATATATATGTATATATATATATATAAATATTTCTTGGACAGCTTCTGAAGGTTACTTATTGTAATTGTGGAATAGCTTTACTGCTATTTTCTTGTACACACCTGGAGAAACCATTCATTGTTCAAAGTTTATGTTTGAACATTTCACATTTATTTATATTTACATTTTTATTTATCTATTAGTTATATTTGACAGCTTGGGTTTGTTTCCATTGGTCCTTGTGTATGGGCCACCAGAGCCCTCTTGGTAGCGCGCCCAATATTTGAATATTGGGGGTTAGCAACACCAATGCCTTAGTAAATACATCCACTATTTGCTTTCAAGAGCTTTTAAGAGAGTGTGAACAAAGTACAAATCTTTTTATTCATCAGTACCTCTTGAATGAAATGACAATCAACTTTGATATGTGTGATGAAACTACGAACTATTGGCCATGTGCATATTTTGCTAATTGTCACGATACATATGACTGGTCTGTTCATATTTGTACCATATATGGCTCTCCAAACAGATCTTTTAGCTACAGGACTTCAACACTTGTTAGTGTCGTAGCCCAATTGTAAGCTTCTGCACTAGTATTTTATCACATGTTCTTTAGGCCAAAAAATTGTTGGGAAGGATTTTTTCTTCCTCCTCCTAAGTCTTTTTTCTGTATAAACACATAAAGAACTTATAATCTCTGCCAAACAGAAAGCTCCAAGTAAACAATAAATATTTGAATGTGTAACCTTAAATCACCATTTATTCATAACACTATATATAATGAAATATTGTATTATTTAGATGCTACCTGAATTTAATCTAAACTTACATTAGGTTTACCTACTTAGTCTTAAAGTCCCATTCACAATAATTGTAAGGTGAGTGGAGACAAAGTTCATTGGGATGTGTAGAGTTATCCAAATCATTGGGAAGTGTTAACTCCCAATATATTTCCTACTCTTTTAATATGACCATTTTAACAAGTCTGAGTTTGAAAATATATTCAAATAATTTTTAAGTTGAGCAAGATTTCACAAGATGGTAAAATTATATCTTTATGTTATACTCCCTCTATCTTACTTAATTTGTCCTATATTTTTATTTTTGTCCATCCCACATAATTTGTTATTTTTTTCTGGAAATATAATGGTACACTTTAATCATATTTTAAAATTGATAATTTATAATTTTTTTTTATTTTAATTAAATTATTTAATCATCTTAATTTTAATCTATAATTATTTTATTAAACCATAATTATTTTCACTAATACATTTTTTAATTACTTACTAATTACACAATACTTAAAACTCTGTGCCTAAGCTAAATAGGACAATTTAGCTGGGACGGAGGGAGTATTTGTTAGGGTAAACATGTGTATAATACATGCATTTTACTGTAAATGTGTGAAATACCCTGCATAATTTTTATTAGGATTTTGTGCATAAATATAGATATTCTATACATTATTTTGACTAACATAATGGTGAATCATACGGAAAATATATGCAGTGTTCTTCATATATTTGTGTTAGAACATGTAATTTTTGTTACAAACTAGATAAGGCTGACTACTGCACACTTAATCTATAAGGCCCTTCAGTGTTTTTCAAGCCATCACCTGAAACAACTTCTCAGGTCGAGCTTTGCATGCTATGCAATTCTGACAACCTTCACCAAGAAAAGCTTTTATTGTCCAAACCAGCAGTATAATGGCTGATGCCCAAACCTCATCATTGCTCTTCACTCCTGCATGTTATACTTACAATCAAACTGCAGATCAAATCAGCACTGTACTCAACTATGTAGCTGAATCTGATGATCTCATTGGAGCATCTCAGTTTGTTCAAACCAGGGTAATATAATAATTTATTTTATATTATAACTGATATTATTATTAGCTGAAAGAATTTACGGTTCTATCTGCATATTAATGTTTTGTATGTAATTTATTCGGTATAATTCATTGTGTACAGATTGAGAGGTACATTTCCAATCCCAGATATTACTTCCAAGTGAATGAAGAGTATGTGAAGAACAAGTTGAAGGTGGTTCTGTTTCCATTTCTGCACAAGGTACAATGATCATACGTAGAGCTTGTTATTATGATGATGATGATGACTGTGTGGCGGTGATATGTTATGCTTGTTTTTATGTATTGATTTTTCAGCATTAAGTTATAGTATAATCTGGGATCTGGTGTTGAAAATTAAAATCTGATGGATTATGTGTTCAACATATACAGATTTTGTATGTGATTCAATCGTATATTTTATATTGTACAATACCCCATTTTCTAAATTATATTATGTAGTCACAGTTAGATTAAACAAATAAGTCATTGTTTGTTGAGATTGCATTCTCAGTGACATGCATTTCTCTACATTATCTAATCGCTATTAATTTTCGGTCGAGATTGTGTTCAAAGCATGTTTTATATCGTTCAAAATATTTTTTATGTAGTTTTCAAGAAATTTTCGTAACATTCAGTAACATAATCGTGAAAAACCTCCACATATTATCCACTCTCTTAAAGTTATATCCTTGTTGAGTGCAAATTGTAGGGACACTGGATGAGGACAGTGGAGGGTGATGGTGGAAAATTGAAGTTAACATTCAAGCCTCCGATGGACGACGTAAATGCACCCGATCTCTACATTCCGGTGATGGCATTCGCAACGTATGTTCTTCTTGCAGGTTTCCTCCTTGGATTTCATCACAAGTATGCTCTCATTACCTGATATGTTTTCTCGTTATTCTTGTTATTATGTGGGCATACATGAGCTAGTGTCTGGATGTATATGTCCCAATCCGCTGGAGTCTTAATAGGAATCATCAGAGTGTCTCCATTTATTTACTTTCCAAATTTTACTCGAAAGTTTTTATAGCCATTCAAAAAATTTTAGCTCCGAAAACAGAGAAATGAATAATGTTGCTAAAAGTAGAGATTGTTTGAGAGGTTTAGAATCAGAATGTGGTATTTTTAGGAGGAAGAAATGAATTTGCAATCTACATACAAATTAGAGTTGTTAATCGAGTCGAACCGAGCCATATTTTGTAGCTTTAAAGCATTATTCGAACCTCTAGGAATCAAGATTCGAGCACAATTTTATTAATAGATATGAGTCTAGATGTCATATCAAATTCGATTACTCAAATCAACTGCTCATTGGACTTCTTATATTGAATCGATCCTTCTGAGCACCTCGTCTTAACACATTATTACTATCAGTTATTACATTTTCGACTCTTATAAATGTCTCATTTTTCGCAATCGTTTGTTTTATGAATAGAGGAGCAATTTTTGGCAGGTTCAGCCCCGAAATGTTATCCGTGCAGTTCAACACAGGATTGCTGTGTTGGCTGCTGCAAGTCCTACTGGTCGAAGCCACGCTACACGTCTTAGGAGGCGGCGGGGATGTTCCGTTGCTCGATATCATCGCCTATTCCGGGTACACATTTGTCGGGGCAAGTGTGGTCTTGGCGACGAGGTTGTTTACGAGCTCTTTGTATCATGCAGTTGCCTTGTTCGAGAGCTTCTGCATGGGAGTGTTTCTGGTGAAGACGATGAAGAGGATATTGATTTCGGAAGTGCAAAGCTTCGAGAAGAATTCGACTAAACGGAACTATGTCTTGCTTTTCATGGCTTCAGCTCAGATACCGCTTTTATTTTTATTGGGAACAGTAGGGCTTTGATGCTCGGTAAGTTTAGTTTTATGTCCGGGCTTTACAATTAGCGCTGAAATAATTTTATTCGATTCGATATTCGATTTAAAATTTGAATAGATATTTGATTGATAATCAAATACTCATTATGATAAGTATTACTCATATTTTTGTTTTGTTCTTCTCCTCTTGCACAAAGCAGTCGAACCATTTGCAATTAATTAATAAAAATTAAGAAGTGAAAAAACTTATTTTATTTTATTTTTTACTTAATTAATAATATATATATGTATTGATGACATGATAACTCGTAGCCGCTGTCGAAGTACGCACTGAGTAAACTTCCGAACGAACCCTAAACTTAATACGGTGCAGACTCTAGGATGTCACTTTGATTTTAAGATAATACCTTCTATGATGTTTGTTTGATCATGTTTTGGTGTTTTGGTGCGCATTCAAAAAAGGAAAAAATTCTATTTCATCGGTCTTATTCAAAAAATATTATTTTTTTATTTTAATAAAAATTAATTATATATTAATATTAAAATACTTTAATTTTTAGCTAAATTTAAAATATATAATTATATATATAATTAATTAATACATGATAATAAAAAGCCGAAAATGTAATTTTTTTTTATATTTTTATTAACTAATAAAATAATATTATTTAGGGTGTGTTTGTTTGGGGGTTTGGATTTTGAGTTGAGATTTGAATAGTAAAAATTTTGAATTTGAATAGTTGTATGATGTGATATAAATAGGTGATGATGTGATGTTTTGAATGTAAAATTGATTTTTAGTATAATATAAAAAATAAAAAATAGGTGTTTGATTTGATGTTTTTTGGGGGGAAAATTTTGGATGAATAGTAAGATTTTGTCCAAATCTCTCAACCGAACACACCCTTAATCTACTACAGAACTCCAAATGACTCTTTGGATTGAAACAAAGGAAATAAAAATTTAGAATTAAAATATACTTGATGTAATATTTAAATAAAAAGTAAGTTTGTTAAATAAACTCCGGTTATGGAAAATATATATGTGGTCTTTTTTGTGCTTATTTGGATACCTGCATTGACTACTTGTCATTCACTATTATTGACATACTAAAATTTAGGGCTCTGCTTTTCTTTTTTTTTTTTTTTTTTTAATAATTTGGAATTGAATTGAAAAAACTTAAAAGTATTTGATACGATGTTTTAAAGAAAAAGATTTCATTATTGTCGATGAATAGTACTTAAACTTTTAAAATATATATGTAAACTGTTGGGATTCCCGTTTACGGATATATGAATAATGATTTAGTTTTCCTAACGATTCGAGCTTTTAGGTGAGACAGTCTTTAGCATTCGACATGGTATCAGAGCCTAGGTTAGCTCTCGATCTATTAGTGTTTCGATATATATGGTATTCGGTGATTCTTTGGAAATAATTGAAGGTTTTCTTAAACACAAGGTGTGTTGATGCATTTATCATTTAAGTTGTTAAGAGATTTTATTGTATTATCGATTTGTTTCTAAAATTAGTCAACGACTTGTTTCTTATTGTGGAATGATAATGGTGCAAGGGTTTTGCTCTTCAATTGTGGTGTTTTGTTTTTTCTTTCTTTAAAGGAAGAAGAAACCTATAGCTATCAAAATAGGTTAGGTCTTCGAGTTAATTTACCCCGCTAGGCTTAAAGGAGGATTGGGTTAACTTTTTATTTTTTTTAATTTTTTTTTATGACGTGGAAATCTGCCGTCGCTATCCGAAAGTGCGCACCGGGTAAACCTTCGGCCGAACCTAATACCCTGCAAACTAAGTTAACTTTTTTTTTTTTTTTTTGAATGATGTGGGAACCCGCAAGCGTTACCCGAAAGTGTAAACCTCCGGCTGAACTTAATACCTTGCAAACCAGGTCCGACGAGAAAGTCACACTAGGCGAACCATGGGGTTAACTCATTTTTAACCCTCTCTCGTCGTGGTTTGTCTAGTCAAAATTCATCGACTCATGTGTTTAGCATTAGCTTGTCATGTGGGTCAATTTTGACAACTCTAATATTGAACCTTATTATCCAAACTACTTAAAGAAAATTGATCATTTGGCCTTTGACATTAATATTAGAAACTGTATAAAATATATAAAAGACTGTGAAGGTAGGATATAAAGTTATATAAAAAAACTGTCAAAATAAACCTCCCTTCCTTATGATTTTTCAAGGTTTGTGTTTATATAAGGTACATGTTTAAACTCCAAAATAACATGACTATCTTTAGATAGAGATTTTTATTTTATTTTTATTAATTTTACTTTTACTTTTACTTTTTATCTTTTAGTTTTAGAAAACAAAATAAGTATATAATGTGAGATTTTGCAATATATATATACGTTGGCGGATCTAGGATTTTGAATTTGGTGGGTCGATAAATTAATATAATTAAATGAAAATAAATAAATAAATAATTAATTAATAAAAATTTACATTAGAAATATACGAAAAAATTAACAATCACTTATACATCAAAATAGTTATAAGTGTTTATGACGAGATCTTATATTTTGGTATCGCATGACAATAGCATCTATATTAACTTTTTCGTAAACACACCTCTTTCTAAAAAAAAGTAACAAAAACAATTATTTAATAATTATTTTTTCATGCTATTATGTAATTTCTTTTTATTATCGTTATAGTTGAAAATAGTCTTTCCACGTTTGCAGTTGCTATTTTTATTTGTCTCAACAAGTTTCATAGAAAATTCATTTAAATGATCCAAATCCCAAAATATTTCATCACATTAAACATCGATTTTGCTTCTGACAATTCTGTAGAATATAATTATGCAAGTAGTTGCAATATCTTTTTATTAAAAGAGGAAAGTCGATTGGAGGGAAAAAAAGCAAGACATCAATAATTCTTTTGATGGATCTTGTCGAATACCGAAATTGATTCATGAAATAAAAATAGAACTAATATTTAACGATATATTTGTAATTTAGTGATAATTAGTATTATTTTTAATTTTTTTTTGTGGGTCAAGCCTAATACTGCATCCGCCCCTATCCCTATATATATATAGATATAGAATAGTTGTTGTGATGTTTTTTTTAAATAACCTTTAAGTTTTTTAAAAAGTGTCTATTTTATATGTTCATTTACATTTAGTAAACAAGTACATTTTGTTCTTTAAATTTATAATCACTATTTTCCATTTATTTATACAAATATTAGTGATGGAGTCCACATATTTCCTAAACATATTCTACTTTAATGCAAACATTTTATTAATAACCTTATAAAAGTTCAATTATATCTTTATAACAACTACAAAAGTAATAGTATTAAAATGCTATTTTTTTAAAAAAAAAAAATTCATGCTCAATTTTTTTGAGCATTTATAAGATGGAGGGAGTATTGTTGATAAATAATATCAAAATTTCTTGTTGATGTTATATTGGTGTGGTATTAAACTTGTTGATGATTTTAAATCATATATAAACATTGCAACATTATTGGATTGGCATATGCTTAACTGTGTTTTATTTGCTTTCCATTTTCTATTTTTATTTTTTTGAATAACAAGCTAAAATGGAATATATGTTGAACATAGATTGAATCCATTCAATAATACTCAGCTCCATTTAGATAGAAGTTTTGGAGTTTTGAAACTATTAAAAAATTGGTATTTGATGTAATACTTCTTAAAAATGATATCTTAAAGTGTCCATATAAACACAATCTTATAGTTTGATATATGAATTCAATATGTTTGTTTGGCTAAATTGGAAGCATGCTTGACCATGGATTAAATATATTAGACTATTTGAAATAGGTGTTAAACCATGTGTGATTTGTGTTGAACCAAAAGAATTGTTTGCTAACTTCTTTACTATAATGCACTATTTAGTATTGCATATATTCTTTGTAGGGTTAAAAGATATATCATTATATCTTACAATATATAAATAATTAATTTCTATAGAAGCTTCATATATATATAGATAAATATTTTTCCCACAAGTTATATTATTTTGTAATACTTGATTTTCGAAAAATAGTCACAATAACTAAGTCTGACTTTTTTCATCCAACTTACTTTAATAGGCCTAGAAAATTTATTTTTTATATATAGACCAATTGATGTAATGTGAAAACGAACCAATTCTTACTAAATGGAAGACCATCACTTCAAAAACATGAATTTTTTTTTTTGAGCGGGAACACCAGAGGCACCAATTTCCATTTAGAGTAAAATTTTGAGAATAACTTGAAACACGTTTTTATTTTTATCTTTTAGTAGCGATTTCAATCTAGAGAAAGTTTATGTCCGTTTTGAATTTAACCCTAGAATAAATTTTGTTTTCACCGGTGGATCTGACATTTAGATTTGTTCTTTGGTAATCTAGATTCTTCGAAGGGCATCAAAGGTTTTCTTAACCACAAGGTGTGTTGATGCATTTACCATCTGAGTTGTTAAGAGATTTTTTATTGCCGATTTGTTTCTAAAATTAGGCGATGACTTGTTTCTTGTTGCGTCACTAGATTTTATTGAATGGAATGATAATGGTTTTTAAGGTTTTTGTTCATCAATATGGAGTTTTGCTTGTAGCTTTTTTCAGAGGAAGTAGTAACCTAGAGCTGTTAAATGGATTAAACCTATCGAGTTAGTCAGTCCCGCACCACCTTAAAGAAGGTTTGGGCTAAGTCATTCTAAACCCGCCCCTGTTGTGGCTCACCTCGTCAAAATCCGTCAAATTATGTATTGTAGGTTAGCTCATCTTACCTATCATAACAACTCTAATATTGAATTTTATTATCCAAAATAGTTTGAATATTAGTCATTTGGCTTTGGACAATTACCACTACAAAGTATATAAAACAATTGTGAAAGTAAAATAAAATTTATTCCAATAAAATATATAAAACTGTCATTAATTAGGTGAGCCTAGAGGTTATCTGCCTGACTCCCTGCCTTGAGAGGGAGGGTTGGTTAATTAAGTGTGTTCTTTAAATATAGTTCATGGCACTTGAATTTGTTTTGTATTTCCTCTAAAATAGTTGCTTAAACATGTTTTTAGTGATGTTATTAGCATGACATTAAACTTGTTGATATTTTTAAAATCATATATAAATATTGCAATATTGTTGGATTGACATGCTTAATTATGTTTTATTTCCTTTCATCTCGTTGCGAATAACGAGAATAATATGGAACATATGTTCAATCATAGATCGAATATGCTCAATAAGATATGATATTTTGTGAGATTTTTATAGTTTTAAAAAATATTGGTGTGATGGTTTGTGTTATTTTGGGATCATGAATTGAACACGTTTTAGCTAAATTGCAAGCATGCTTAATTAACCATGTATTGAATATATTAAATCATTTGAAATAGCTAGCTAGGTGTTCAACCTTGTGGGATTTATGTTGAACCAAAATGTGTTGCTTTATATATAACTTCTTTACTATAACAAAACTAATTATATAAAATTCATAATTTACCTATAAGAAATTATCTAACAGTGTTGAATTTGGTATTGGATATATTATTTATAGAGTTTAAAAATATATCATTATATTTCACAATATATAAATGATGAATGTCTATACAAGGTTCATATGTTTATATTTGTTTCCAAAATTTTGTGATGCTTGATTTTCTTAATACGGGTAGTATATAATTTCCTTATTATCACTTATATTCTCACAAGTAGTATTAAAAATAGTAGCACTATATATTATCATAATCAAATTGTTATGTAATATATAATAATATATGTATATAGATATATAGATAAATAGGCAAATAATATATTATGCCGTATATATCTATGTGCACGGGTACTATGTCTGATAGAATATAAATATAGATATACTATATAAGGATGTATATATATATATATATATATAGTGGCGGAACCAGGATAGGGGGACTATTTTTTTAAATTAATAAAAAATACTCATTCCGTCTCGAAACAATAAGGACATTTGGATTTGGCTCGAAATTTTGAAGGGGAAGTGGTTCGAATTCACTCCGGGGTATGGCATAAGTTCCAGGAAAGGTAATAATAATATTAGGTTGAAAATGAATATAAAGTAAATAGTAAAATACTAAAATATCATTAATAGTGTAGTGTATTTGTGTAAAAAATAATAACATTTGTGTAATAATAATGAAACCATGGTTGAGACATTAATTTGTCTCAAAACAAGGTTTTGTGATGCAAGATTATCTCAATGTTTTTTCTTTCGAGACAATTTTCGAGATGAACTTGCAATTTTGTGGTATAAGTATATATCTAGGGAGCGATTAGGGTGATGAATTAGAAAAATCAGTCAGCACCCGTAATATATACAAACAACACACAATCTTATTATATACAACACATGTTCTATATAATAATGACAGGTAATGTTGCTTAATTTATAATTATAGCATGTTTTATAATAATATGTGGTGTACTGAAATCAATTAGTATTTGTGTTGTATAAGACTATAGCTTGTGCTGTCAGTTCATGTGTTGTATTTGTGTTGTTGGTTCATAATTACAAGTGTGTTATATAACATTATGTGGTGTGCTGAAATCAAGTATTGATTATGTTGTATAAAACTTTAGTTTATATGTTGTATTTGTATTATATGAATGCAGACGATGTGCTGCCGATAGTAATACCGTGTGCTGTCTGACAGCACACCGTTGTGCTGTGGTGTCAGCATAGATATATCTATGTGTATGTGTGATAGAATATAAGTATAGATATACTCCCTCCGTCCCACATACCGTGTCTGCTACACTGTATACACGGTATTTTAGGAGGGGTGTAATTAGTAGATAATTAAGAATGTATTAGTGAAAATAATTATCCTATAATATAAATAATTATAAATTAAGATTAAGATAACTAATTAATTTAATTAAAAATTAAAAAAAATAAATTAAAAAGTTAAAATGAGATTTTCCAAAAAAAAGAAAGTGACATGGAATATAGGACGGACTGAAACGGCAACGTGGACATGGTATGTGGGACGGATGAAATATTATATAAGGATATATATATATATACACACACGAGAGAGAGACTGAAGTTTTGATTTTCTGTCACCAACTTGCATTGCTTGACATTATATAATTAATAAAAACAACTACATTGCTTGAAATTACATAATTAATAAAAACTTCTATTTGTAAATATATGTAATGATGCATGTGAAATTGACATCACAAATATATATATGTTGACACCAAAAGTACAATACATTGCAAAGTGCATACACTGAAAAATATGGTTAATTTGAATTTTGATTTAAATATTTTGATTGAAAAACTAAGGGTGTGTTCGTTTGTAGGATTTTGTCAAAATCCTATTATTCATCCAAAATTTTCCCCCCAAGAACATCAAATCAAACACCTATTTTTCATTTTTTATATTATACTAAAAATCAATTTTACATTCAAAACATCACATCAACACCTATTTACATCACATCATACAACTATTCAAATTCAAAATTTTTACTATTCAAATCCCAATCCAAAATCCAAACCCCCAAACAAACACACCCTAAGTATTCCGTCACCAAATTTACTCTAAGTTTTGTTTTTTTGGTCTGTTTTCTAAATTTATTTCATTATTAATTTTCGCAAAATCAATAATTCAACATTTAATTATTAATTCCACCGAGGATAGATTCATATTACCTTTTTTTTTTTTAATCAGATGGACAGATTCATAATACTTTTTCTTTTTTTTTGATCGGATGGGTAGATTCATAATACTTCTACCAACAATAATTGGTTTAAGATTTGTGGTATGACAACATGCATTTTTATTTATTTTATCCCTTTCTATTTATGAAAGGAAAATTATTAAGAGTAATATCAAATGAATGCAAAGGTTGAACTAAAATCAACCTCAAACTGAGCCGAAAGAAAACTCAAAAAATATATAATAACAAAAATAAAAATGACCATTCTTATGATGTCGAAGTTATCTATTGGTATCCTAACATTTGGCTTCCATTTTGTAGGATATTGAGATGGCATACAAATCAATTTTAAAAGGAAACTTTCTTCTTGATGAAGCAAGACTGACATATATTATGCACGGGCAGGTATTATGAGTATTTTGCATATTGTCACTTTAAATGCAATCACAAATTTCTTGAGATTATCGAGTCTATATATATATTTTATAATTATCAATGTTCCATAACATTTATTACGGAGCGATATTACTCGATGGGACCAAGAAAGGCGATGATATCTCGTGCTCATGTTGTAATAAAGTGGTATTTGTTTTTATTTAGTAATAATCACAGTTATAATTGTAAAGTTCCACTCTTATCTTTATTTTCATAATTGTTTTATTTCTAATGTTGGTAACCTCACCATACATGAATAGCTTAGCGCCACCGAGTTTGAAGAGCATGCGGGGTATCGCCATCAAAGAAAGCCGTAAGTATCTCTCTAAATTTATTATTTTTCTCATAACTTATTGCCCTATAATTTTTCTATTGCACCTCAATGTTTCAGCCTACATACCTCAATAGTTTTAGGCGGTAAATATGAAATTTTATGTCGACCATACAAATAGAGCTACTCGTCAAGTATTACCGTTTCTTTTCTTTTCCTTTTTTTCTTTGTTAATTTATAGTTCTTTATGTTTCATCTTAATTAGCTAGAGACTGTTCTTTTTTGCAGCTACACAAACATATGCACATCGAAAAATGAATCCCTTGAAAAACTTTCTGGAAGGCTTGAAGCTGCACTGATTGCAGGCAGTGCTTTGTGCAGCAAATGTCATGATGGCGGAGATCTATTGCTTTGCAAAGAATGCCGTCGTAGTTTTCACACAGGTGCGCGCATGCGTATTGCCTTATTTTCGCAATAAAAATATAAAAAAAGTAAATAAATAAATCTATTGTGCTAGTATTATAGATTAGAAAGATCAAAGATTTGGAAGAAGAATAATTTTTGTTTTCTGTTTTTTTTTTTGTTGGATGCACCGAACAAACTAAGCACTTTCTTCGAACAAACAAGCACTTGAATGTGACTTCTTTTTTTTTTTTTTTTTTTTTTTTTTTTTTTTTTTTTTTCTATTCAAGCCCCAATTCGATCATTTTATAAAACTTATTACTATTATTAAATCTCTTCTCGGTTTCTCTCCTACAGAATGTGTCGATCAATTACTAAAGACAAGAAACAAATTTGCAAATATTGCAAAGACATGTTCATAGAGAAACATCATAACGTGAATGATGCTGAAGAAACTGTTGCCACTGCTCAATCCATAGAGGCGTTGACGCCGAGCAGCAGTGGTAGCGATGATCATTGTAAAGACGACATATATAAATGCTTCCTTTGCAGGTAAATTCGAAAAGACAAGTTATTCAAAACACATTTTTAAATTTAGAATGAAATGTAGAAAAATATGTATTGGTACTTGCAGGGATAACTCTTTTTCCAAGAATACCTTCGACGACCAGACAGTTATGATATGTGAGCAGGTATATATAATATATGATTTTATTCACTTCGGATTTTACAAAGATTGATTTGGTTAGGTTTATTTAGGTTTAATAGAACTTGGGCTGATATATAATTCAAATTCCATTGATGGAGAATTACCATGGATATAATTTTTTTTTATATATAAACCTACATAAAGTCTAATTTTAAATATAATAAGTTCTTGATCCTACTAAATTGAATTGAATTGATTCATTCTACTAGAGATTTATTTTAAAAATCCAAATATTGCACTAGCATGATGACAATGGCTTTCGTTTTTGCAGTGTGAGAGAGAATTTCATGTCGGATGTTTGAGAAAGAAAATGAACAATGATTTAAGGGTTTGCTACATTAAAACCATGGTTATGATTCGTTTTAGTCTACTAACAACTTATTGATTATTTTCTTAGTTAATGGCTTCATACAAAGTGCAGGCATTGCCCGAACATAAATGGTTCTGTGGTGCACAATGCAAGAAAATTCATTCAACTCTTCAGACGTTTGTTGCCAAAGGCGATTTGGAGCTTCCTGAAACTGTTGGGAAGATTTTGAAGAAGAAATTTAAGGGAAAAGCTTCGAAGCCGAGCCAAACTTATTCTAATATGAAGTGGAGAATCTTGAAACCAAATTCAAATTCTGAAGACAATGGGGCATTGCTTACTAGAGTCAAAACAATCTTAGAGGTGAGTATCTTTAGTTAGTTTCTTCTCTTTTAATAGAGCCAGCATTGATCTTCGATATGCTAATATTTTATACCATTCAATAGATTTCTCATGTAGTTCAATAAATTTCTTACATCTCAACCAAATTTATCACCATAATCTACTCACTTCAAAAATATATTTTATCCATAATTTGTCTCATTTTTTTCAATGGCAAAATGCTTTTTATATTCAGGAACAATTTCCGGAACTTGCACTCAGAAAAGTCGATGGCTCTCTTGACGAAAGGCTTATTCATACGATGGTTTTCGGGTATTGAATTGTTGTTCATAGTTCTTTCATGTGTTTCTACATTTCATTATTTATCTAATCCCATATAACCCGGTGCACATAATTGTAGGGAAAAAATAGACCGTCATGACTTCTTTGGAATGCATTCCGCAGTATTGATGATCAAGTAAGAAAAAATAAGATTAAAGTTTCCACAACTTCTTCTTAATTTTGATCTGTAACGCTACGTGTATCTTTTACAAAGGTCGGAAATTGTGTGTGTTGGAATATTCCGAGTGTTTGGGGAGGAAGTCGCGGAACTCCCACTAGTTGCAACTGAGAAGGACAATGAGAAGAAGGTGGTGTTCGGATATTCCAATGGTATTTGGATATGCATTTGTACTATTACACGGGAACGTTTTACATACTACATATCTATTCTATTTCAGGGGTACTGCAAGGCGCTTCTCTTATGTATGGAGGATCTTTTATCGACTCTACAAGTAAAAACCTTGATTCTTCCATCTGCCAGTTCTATGAAAGCAATGTGGAAAAGAAAATTTTGGTTCAAGAATCTCAAGAAAAAACAGGTTAGTTTATATATTTATAGGATCATACCATAGTCGATTTTGTGTTGTATTTTAATTAATTTCTATATTTTATTCTAAGTCTTAATTACCTCAATGTTGTTCTACAGCTGGAGAAATACACAGACAATTATCAAAAAATTATGCCATTTGAGGACACAATAGTCCTTCACAAACTCATCCACAAATCTTGAACTTTCAAGGGGACTGATAGCGTTGGGAAGGAGAGAAGGAAGGGAATTTGCACCATAGACTATCATGGACCAAAAAAGTTCTCTAGACATGGTTGTATAACATTTGTGTAAAGCTTTTATCGTCGACATTATTTATTTGGGGTCTGAGTTTTCGAAAGGTGATTGTCCTGTTGGATATTTGGGGAGTGATTAGTGAGTTTTGTACAGTATGATTTTCTCTATTTTGAATTGTTTCACTTGAGGGATTAGGGTTCGATTCTTTTGGTAGGATAGAGGTGTCAACTGGTGCCGTATGGCGCCGGAGTTCGTTCGTCTTTGTTCTTACCTCCTTTTGTTAATAAGGGTTGCCGTCACATGTCTTGGTCAGGCTTCGAGGTGGGCGCGGTATGGTTTTCCCGTACTTAAGATTTTCTATTGTGCAAAGAAATTTGCTCAAAGTCTGTGGAAGATTCTAGATGGGCATATTCCTGGCATATTTTGGACAAGTTTGAAAAGAGAATATTCTTTAGCATATTTAGGAACTATTTGAAAAAAAAGAATATGCTTTAGCATATTTAGAAATTATTTTGGAAAATGCATTCTAGATCGTTATAGAAAGAAAATGACTCAAACTCTGCCGAAGGTTCTAGACAGGTATATTCTCTGACATATTCTGGACCATTTTGAAAAAGGAATATTCTTTTGCATATTCAAGAACTATTTTGAAAAAAAGAATATACTTTAACATATCAGAAACTATTTTGGAAAGTGCATTTTAGATCGTTATAGAAAGGAAATAACTCAAACTTGGCCGAAGGTTATAGACAGGCATATTCTCTGGCATATTCTGGACCATTTTGAAAAAGGAATATTCTTTTGCATATTCAAGAACTATTTTGAAAAAAAGAATATACTTTAACATATCAGAAACTATTTTGGAAAGTGCATTTTAGATTAAATAACTCAAACTTGGCCGAAGGTTCTAGACAGGCATATTCTTTGGCATATTCTGGACCATGTCAAAAAGGGAATATTCTTTAGCATATTCAAGAACTATTTTGAAAAAAAGAATATACTTTAGCATATTCAGAAATTATTTTGGAAAGTGCATTTTAGATCGTTATAGAAAGAAAATGACTCAAACTCGGACGAAGGTTCTAGACAGGCATATTCTCTGGCATATTCTGGACCATTTTGAAAAGAGAATATTCTTTAGCATATTCATAAACTATTTTAGAAAGGGCATTTTAGATCTTGTACATATAGGTTTGATAATTGTACATTCTAGAATACTCTTTTTGAAAATCTGCTGGCCTATAAAAGTCTTCCACTCATCTCATTGTAATCACTCAAGCATTGAAGTGTTCATCATTTCTCTTCGTATTTTCTCTCTCTAGAAAGTTGCTGAAGGAGTGAGTTAAGGTCGGTATTCTTTGTTAGTGTTTGTTTACTGTTGTGTGTTTTCAATTTTCTACTAAATAAAACCTTTGTGTTTTTCATTTCAATCCAAAAAATTACAATCTACATGAAGTTTAATTTTTAAATATTCTTTATAAATATAATAAAATTGATGTGATTCGATTCATTCTGCTTTCAATTTTTTTTAAAATACAAATATTGCACTAGCATGATGATAATGGCTTTGTGTTTTTGCAGTGTGAGAGAATTTCACATCGAATGTTTGAAACAGGAAAGGATGGATGATACAAGGGTTTGCTACGTTAAAACTATGCTTCTGATTATTTTTAGTTTAATTTACCAACAACTATTGATCCATTTCTTAGTTAATGGTTTCATACAAACTGCAGGCATTGCCCGAAGATGAATGGTTCTGTCGTGTAGAATGCAAAAGGATTCATTCACCTCTTCGGAAGTTTGTCTCCGATTGTGATATGGAACTTCCCGAAACTGTTGTGGAGATTTTGAAGAAGAAAGTTAAGGGAAAAGCTTCAAAGCCGAGCCCAAATTATTCCAATATGAAGTGGAGAATCTTGAAACCAAATTCAAATTCTGAAGACAATAGGGCATGGCTTTCTAATGTCAAAACAATCTTAGAGGTGAGTATCATTAAAATTACAATTACAATTATAAAATTTCACTCTTATCTTTACTTTCATAGTTGTTTTATTTCTAATGTTGATAACTTCACTATACATGAATAGCTTAGTGCCACCGAGTTTGAAGAGCATGATGGGTATGGTCATCGAAGAAAGCGGTAAGTATCTCTCTCAATTTATTATTATTCTCATACAAATAGAGGTATTTGTCAAGTATTGCTATTTTTTAAGTTAATAGTTCATTTTCTTTCTTCTTAGCTAGAGACCACTTTTTTTGTTTTTTTGCAGGTACACAAACATATGCACCTCGAAAAATGAATCCCTCGAGGAACTTTCTTCAAGGCTTCAAGCTGCACAGACGATAGCAGGCAGTGCTTTGTGCAGCAAATGCCATGATGGTGGAGATCTATTGCTCTGCAAAGAATGCCGGCATAGTTTTCACACAGGTGCGCGTGTGCATGTTTCCTTATTAATCATCGCAATCAATATATATATATATATATGTTGTGCTATTATAGAACAAAAATATGGAAGATTTGGAAGAATGAATTATTTTATTTTTTATTTTTTTGATGCACCAAACTCACTAAGTTCTTTCTTTGAACAAAGAAGCATTAGAATGTTATTTGTTTTTTACTATTCAAACTCCAATTCGACGTATTACTATTAATTTCTCTTCCTGGTGATTTCTCGTATAGAATGTGTCCATCTCTCCACTACTAAAGACAACAAACAAATTTGCGAATATTGCAAAGACATGTTGAGAGAGAAACAGGATACCGTGGATGATGCTCCAGCAGCCCTTCCCACGGCTAAATCCTTAGAGGCAGCGACGCCGAGCAGCAGTGGTAGCGATGATCATTGTGAAGACGACTTATACAAATGCTTCCTTTGCAGGTAAATTCTAAAAGACAAGTTAACAAAAAAAATACATTTCATTTAGAATGGAATGTAAATGCATAAAACAAAATGCTGAGAAAGTTTGCCGATGTATTGGTTCTTGCAGGGGTAACTCTTTTTCCAAGAAAAATCTTCGATGACCCGACAATTATGATATACGAGCAGGTATCATACCATTGTTGATTTCATATTGCAGTCGAATTTCTATGTTCAATTCTAATTCTTTAACCTCAATGTTGCTCTACAGCTCGAGAAATACACAAACGATTATCAGAAAATTATGTCATTCAAGGACACAAAGGTCCTTCACAAACTAATCCACAAATCGTGAACTTTGGAGCATTGCCGTTGCCTCTCAGGGACCATAAAAGTTCTATAATGACATAGTTGTATGGTATTAGTACTGTTACATTTTGTGAAATGTCAGTGGCCCGGCCATTTTTTATGTGGGTGCACATCAAAAGGAGGCATATTGGACTACACTTTATCCTTACTTTGTACTAAACTTTTGTCTCAAAGTTTTAACACGAAGCATCGTGTAGGAATCAAAATAATATTGCCATATATGATCAATCAAAATATATCATCCCACAAAATTGAACTTAACATGCACCCCGCTTTCGACAATGATTATAGTTTTGAATTGTTTGTTTTTGTTTTTTGTCTCTCTTTTTTGTAGGCATTGACTGCATCAATAAAAAATTACTAGTAACAAGGTAGTAACGCAAATGCGGGAGATTTTGGAAGATTCCCACCAAAATCGAACTTTTTGAACCAATTATATAATTAACAATATATATAAATGATAAAACATATATACCCTAAATACACCTCGATCCAGTGACTGGTTTAATTTGTGAGGAAGGATCGCCTAATGCTCTATCCAACGGCTCTTTTAGATAAATGATTCGGTGCCGATTGCACCCATTGAGGTAGCCGAACAGGATAAATTTTCCTATCAACATCGAATATCATTTTATTAATGAAAGCTAAAAATAAAATCGAAGAAAAAGCACTAGATACTTCGATAAAATAAAGCCCACAAGAAATAAGCCCAAAATACAAAAAAAAAAAAAAAAGAAAAAGAAAAAGTCCCCAAACATAGAAAAATTCCATTATACTAAACGTAGGATATCATTGCATAGGAGATGCAATGAGTCTAGCTTGCATAGTGATTCAATGGGACCCAAACTCAATCTTAATCAACTCTGTTCTAAAGGTTACGGTACACTTTACTTACTTTCATGTATCAAAATCATATTCGAGAAATTTAATGGTGTGTTTGTTTGGAGGAGTTGTACAGATTTTAACTGTTCACCCAATTTTTTCACCTTAAAAAATAAAATACTTATTTTTCATTTTTTATATTATACTAAAAATTAATTTTACATTCAATACCTGTTTATATCATGTCATACAACTATTTCAATTTAATTTTTTTACTATTCAAATCCCAACTCAATATCCGAATCCCCGACCAAACACACATTTAGTGATCAATTCCAAAGTGGAAGTTGATTCACGCCTGAGAAAATCAAAGAAATCACCGGCATCAAAAGAGTTTTTGTTTCACTACCAGCACTACTTTCTTTTCTTTCAATTTAGGCTCTTCCTTTCTCCATCTGAAGCCAGTGCAGAGCCAATGAATCACTTCACCTGAAGAAACTAATGAGATCAAAAAGATTATGCACCGAGGAGCTGTTGTGCTGTGTTGACTGCTGTAAATAATACTAATCGTCGAAGCCACAATGCGTGCCATAGGAGGCGGTGGGGATGTTCCATTCCTATCGTACGTTTCCAATTCCAAGTGCATATTTGTTGGGGCAAGCGTAGTCTTGACGACGAGGTTGTTTGCGAGCTCTTGTATTGTGCAGTATGAGAACTTCTGTACGGGATCGAGTATTGATGGTAATAATATGAAGAGTATGTTGATTTCCGAAGTGCAAAGCTTCGAGAAGAATTCAACTTAACCGAATTGCAAAGCTTCGAGAAGAATTCAACTTAACGAAACTATGTCTTGCTTTTCAAGGCTGCAAAGCGCTATCGTTGGCATGTAAAAGATAAGTGAGCAAAATATTCGAACCGAGACATTGAACCATGGGATCAAATTATTCGAACCAAAAAGAGTTTATTTATGTTATTATAATTAAAATTTTATATTAATAGTAATATTATACACCATAAATGACATATTTTAGATATTTATATGAATGTACTTTTACATTAAATATGTTTGCAATTGTGGTTCAATTTGTTTTTGTTTGAAATATTTGCGAATATATTCAATTCATGTGAATTCCGCTCATTTATTTGATGTATTTTATTATATTCGGTTTGGTTCGAATATTATATGTAAATAATGTAAATATTTTCAGTCAGTCAAAAATTTGATTACCGAAAATTTCGGTTCTAATAGAGTCACAGTTTCAAATATTTATTGGTTTGGCTAGGATATCAAATACATGTATATTTACAAATAAACAAAAACCGTGTTCACTTCGATATGTAAAACCCTTTATGTGCTAATGGATCTTTTATTGAAGCACTAGTAGTATAGATTATGCATGATGTTGGATTGATATTCGCAATGCCATTGAAAATTTGCAATTCAAAATTGAGTCAAATAGTGTGAATAGCTAGTATAGTATAGACCAATTGATAAAATGTGAAAACGAACCAACATTTATTAAATTGGAAGGTCATTACCACTTTCATAATATGAATTTTTTTAGAGCGGGAACACCGAAGGCACAATTTTTTCGTTTAAAATAAAATTTTGAGAAAAACTTGAAATATATTTTATTTTTATCTTTATTTTTAGTAGCGATTTTAAAATATAGAATGTTGATGTCTGCCAAAATTTAACCCTATAAATTTCATTTACCAAAGTACCTAGAAGACATTGACAGTGGATCTACTAGTATTTTGATTTATTCTCTAGTAGTTGGTGATTCTTTAAAGAATATTGAAGGATTTCTTTTCCACAAGGTGTGTTGATTCATTCAGTATTTGGGTATTAAAGATTTTTTTATTGTCAATTTGTTTTTAAAATTGGCCGATGACTTGTTTCTTGTTGTGTCATTTGATTTTCTTGAATGGAATGATAATGATTTTTTAGGGTTTTGTTCATCAATACAGTTTTTTTTTTCTTCTTTTTTCAAATGAAAAGTAACATAGAGTTGTTGAATGGATTAAACCTATCGAGTTAGTCAACTAGCCCCACCCCAACCCACCTTAAAGGAGGATATTGAGCTAAGTCGTTCTAAACACGCCCCTGTTGTGGCTTGTGTTGTCCAAATCTGTGAAATTATATATTGTGGGTTAGCTCGATCTTCTCAATCTATATTAGCAACTCTAATATTCAATTTTATTCCAAAATAATTTCAATATTGGCCATTTGGCTTTAGGCCATTAACGCTAAGAAGTATTACCTAAAATAGCTCCATTAACCATGTTTTCGTTGATGTTATGGGTGGGGTTTTAAACTTGGTGATGATATTTAAATCATACATAAACATTATTGGACTTATATATGCTTAACTGTGTTTTATTTGCTTTTTTTTTTTTTTTTTTTTTTTTGACATATATGTTGAACTATAGATTATATGTTCAAAGTCCCGTAAGGGATTCCGATCAAAAAAAAAAAAAAGTTCCGTAATGGATGACCTGATGGGATGAGGTAGACTCGTTACCGTGAGGTTATGGTTCAATAGAAGTTTGGAGTTTTGAAAATCAGGCCTAATTTGCGGGAGTCAAAATTGGGTATTTAACTTGATACCTTTTAAAAAATAATATTTTTAAATATATTAAACTATTTGAAATAGGTGTTCATGCTTGTGTGATTTGTGTTGAACCAAAAGAATTGTTTGCTAACTTCTTTATCTTCGTAGGGCTAAAGATGTATCATTATATTTCACAATATACTTTTTTCATCCAACTTACTTTGATAGGTTAAGAAATTTTATTTTGTACTGTAAAGTATAGACTAATTGATGTAATGTGAAAATCATTACAAAAAAGTTGAAATTTAAATACAAAAAATTTTGTATCAAAAGAGAATGAATTCATAACAAAAACGGTTTTGCGACGAAACTCATCTCGTCACCCATACGGTGTTACTAAAGGTTTTTGGCGAGACATATGACTTTCGAAATGAAAAACAAGTTTTTTGCATTGAAAGCTAAGAAAAAAGATATAGCTATGAAAATCATCACTCTTTTGCTATAAAAATCATTTTAAAAAGAAAATATGCATGATTTTTTTAGTCAATAATTTTCTAGCTAAAACCCTTTTGCTGTGAAAATAAAATTTTCTACCAAAAAATTTTAGCGAAAATTAATTTTGTAGTACATAATTTATCTTTAATGATGAAATTAACTTTTGTTGCTAAAAGATATATTTTAACTACAAAAATTTTTCGTAGCTAAAAATATGATAGCTAATTAGATACGTTTTTGAAGTGAATGTACCAATTCTTACTAAATTGGAAGACAAGCAGGAATACCAAAATAACTTGAATTTTTTCAAGCAGGAATACTAAAGACACAATTTTTCGGTTTAAAGTAAAATTCTGAAATAACTTGAAACACATTTTTATTTTTATCTTTTAGTAGCGATTTTAAAATATAGAATGTTGATGTCATATCTGAATTTAACCCTAGTATAAATATCATTTTCACCACGAACCTAGAAGAAATCGATGGTTGATCTTCTATAGCATTTCGATTTGTTCTCTGTTAGTCGGTTATTCTATATAACAGTATTGAAGGCTTTCTTAACCACGAGGTGTGTTGATGCATTTACCATTTTGGCGTTGTTAAGGGATTTGTTTTTGCTGATTTGTTTCTAAATTTAACCGATGGCTTGTTTCTTCTTGCGTCATTACATTTTCTTGAAGGGAATGATAATAGTTTTTGAGGGTTTTGTTCATCAATATGGATTTTTGCTACTGGATTTTTTCAAAGGAAATAGTAACCTAGTTTTGTTAAATGGATTAAACCTATCAAGTTAGTCAGCCCCGTAAAAACTTAAAGGTGGTTAAAAAATTTTATTTTGTATTGTAAAGTATAGACCAACTGATGTGATGTGTAAATGTACCAATTCTTACTAAATTGGAGGACCATCACTTCCATAACATGAATTTTGTCAAGCAGGAATACCAAAGACACAATTTTTCTGTTTAAAGTAAAAATTTGAAAATAACTTGAAACACGTCTTAATTTTTATCTTTTAGTAGCGATTTCAAAGTATAGAATGTTGATGTCCCGTCAGAATTCCACCCTAGTATAAATTTCATTTTCACTAAGAACCTAGAAGACATCAACGGCGGATCTACTATAGCATTTCAATTTGTTCTCTAGCAGTTGGTTATTGTTCAAAGAGTATTGAAGGCTTTCTTAACCACAAGGTGTGTTGATGCATTTACCATTTGAGTTGTTAAGGGATTTGTTTTCGCTGATTTGTTTCTAAAAATTAACCGATGACTTGCTTTTTTTGCTTCATTAGATTTTCTTGGAGGGAATGAAAATAGTTTTTGAGGGTCTTGTTCATCAATATGAATTTCTGCTTCTGGCTTTTTTCAAAGAAAGTAGTAATCTAGTGTTGTTAAATGGGTTAAACCTATCGACTTAGTCAGCGCCGAACTACCTAAAAGGTGGTTACGAAATTTTTTGTTTGTATTGTAAAGTATAGACCAATTGATGTCTTGTCAAAATGTGCCAATTCTTACTAAATTGGAAGACCATCACTTCAATAACATGAATTTTTTCGAGCGGGAATACCAAAGACACAATTTTTCCGTTTAAAGTAAAATTTTGAAAATAACTTGAAACATGTTTTTATTTTTATTTTTTAGTGGCGATTTCAAAATATACATTGTTGATGTCCTGTCAGAATTTAACCCTGGTATAAATTTCATTTTCACCAAGAACCTAGAAGGCATCGACGACGGCGGATCTACTATAAACTTTCGATTTGTTCTCTAGTAGTCGGTTATTGTTCAAAGAGTATTGAAGGATTTCTTAACCACAAGGTATGTTGACGCATTTACCATTTTGAGTTGTTAAGAGATTTGTTTTCGGTGATTTGTTTCTAAATTTTACCAAGAGTTGTTTCTTCTTGCGTCATTACATTTTCTTGAAGGGAATGATAATAGTTTTTTTAGGGTTTTGTTCATCAATATGGGGTTTTTCTACTGGATTTTTTGAAAGGAAGTAGTAATCTAGTTTTGTTAAATGGATTAAACCTATCGAGTTAGTCAGGCCGGCACCAACTTCAAGGTGGTTAAGAATTTTTATTTTGTATTGTAAAGTATAGACCAATTGATGTAATGTGTAAATTTACCAATTCTTACTAAATTGGAAGACCATCACTTCCATAACATGAATTTTGTCAAGCGGGAATACCGAAGACACAATTTTTCCGCTTAAAGTAAAAATTTGAAAATAACTTGAAACACGTCTTTATTTTTATCTTTTAGTAGTGATTTCAAAATATAGAATGTTGATGTCCCGTCAGAATTCAACCCTAGTATAAATTTCATTTTCACCAAGAACCTAGATGACATTGACGGCGGGTCTAATATAGCATTTCAATTTGTTCTCTAGTAGTCGGTTATTGTTCAAAGAGTATTGAAGGCTTTCTTAACCACAAGATGTGTTGATGCATTTACCATTTGAGTTGTTAAGAGATTTGTTTTGGTTGATTTGTTTCTAAAAATAATCTAGTGTTGTTAAATGGGTTAAACCTATCGACTTAGTCAGCGCCGAACCACCTAAAAGGTGGCTAAGAATTTTTTATTTTATTTTTTTGTATTGTAAAGTATAGACCAATTGATGTCTTGTGAAAATGTCTCAATTCTTACTAAATTGGAAGGCCATCACTTTGATAACATGAATTTTTCGAGCGTG